GAAACACAAGAAGCTCTTGGTACTTCGCCTCCAATTGAAATCAACGGCAGTGCCGGTATCCTGATGAATTATTTAAGGACCAACGGCAGAGGCAACCATCAATTGGCGTTGACATCGCTGGCTTTCTTTATTCCAAGCCAACGAGCACGCGATGCTCCGAAGGAGGTACATCTATTGGCATTTTATGTCTAACAGCTTGATTAATTGAAAATGAGTTTATAATTAGCAGCCAAGTGACTGTAATTGACGTCATGTGGTGGAAATAATTTAGTCCTTTTTCCCCACCCAACGGACTCAGATTCGATTCCGACTTCACTGAGGCGTACCCGAAAAAAATGAAAGCCAATTTGGTGGCGGAAAATTACAAAAGTATAGCTTGGGGCCAGTCGGGAACTTCTTTTTATCAAACTTCACATCAAAGACACTGGAGCAGCCCGGAAGAAGCAGCTGTGGGTGTGGCTTTTCAGCGTCTTTGAAGGCGGAGTTTATCTTTGAATTGCGACGGAGATGGTGGCTTCCGATACCTGAAATATGTTGTAGTCCTTCCCCTGACTTGATGGGGTTTCAATAGTCTAGTTAGCAGAAGTCTATATCTTCAACTCAGCTTATGGCATTAAATTAATTAACCCTTTCCGAATTGCGTGTTCAGCGGTTACGCTCCATGAGTCCTTCCGCCTCGTCCTTTTGGAATTTTTTCTGCTCAAGCGCCTGTTTGTGCAGCTCGAACAAAACATTTAACATATTTTAGAAAGAACAACGCGGGAGATCGCGTCTAGGAGAGCATACACCTGAAAAATTAAATGAAAAATTATATATTACATATAAAAATTTCAAGAAAGTTGCATTAATGTATATATTTTTGTAACCTATAAGACAGCGAAATATATATGATGTTTTTAAGAGTTATGTAAAAAAGCAATATAAATATCAAGCAGTTTAAATATGTTAAAAGGTCCTTTTATTTTAAATACCAATTCGATTTCTATAAGATCTAGTAAGGACAAAAATTTCTTAAATTTCATAATTCAAAAGGGTTATTTAATTAATATCCTATACTGTTTTTAGCAGTACTATTCAAACTTTAAGTTTATATTTCCTTTTTCTCCAGATGTATTTGCGTACGTGTGTTACGGAGTCCTTTGTGGGTGCGGCTCCTGCCAGACGGTGATGTGCGCATTTTGGGCGCGGTCGCATGTTGGCAGCTCCGTTGGCCAGTTGCGACGGGAAATGCGCCAAATCACGTTCCGTCAACAAATATTGAGGTATTCTGCTTTAACCCATTTTTTCCTGGTCATTCTCCACGCACAAATTAGCATGTCCGTCGATAATTGTCCTTCCGTGGAGATGACCCGCTGAGATAACTGTCCATAGTTGTAACTGATTTCGGCGGCAGACTTTTCCTCGGAGAATTTGATTTCGCCATTAGAATTTTATTGGAAAATCGCGTGCAGCTAATGGGGAAAAACTGGCTTTTCTTTTCATATCCCGATCGGTATACCCCTTTTGGACTTCCTTCAACTTTGACGGAATGAATTACGTTGGCAAAACAAATTAAGACTGAAATAAAATGAAATTATTCGGGTAAATGCAAATATAAATGCGAAAAAAATGATATTTAATTATGGCCGTAGCCCTTCCGCCATTCAGACTTGGCAGACTCCGCCAACTTTTCCATTTTCCTCCATTTTGAATAAATTTGCATTTCTCTTGAAGCGGCGCAACAATAAAGGCGAGCAGCAACAGCAAGAACAACAATAATAAGGGGCAATTGAAAACTTTTGCATAAGTCGCGACCGAGCTAAGTGAGTTAAAACTGAAGCGGAAGTTCCGTAACGTCTTTCCAAAAAGGCAGAGAAGTGGGACAGTGTTGCCAGGTTCACGGGAGAAAAGTAGCTAAGACTTGAATTAGCTTTGGGGAAAATTCTGTTATATTTATTGGAATATTAGTGGTACTTAAATACCTATTTGGGTTGAAGCTTAAATTTAATAGATATCAAACATACAAGTACTTGTTGGTTAGGAGAAATCTATAATTTTGCACAATAAATGAACAAAACTCTTTTAAAAACTAAACATTTAAACCTACTCCAAGATTTAATTTACAAAATGTATTATTAATTTCAGTTTCACCAATATTATATTTCATTTCACTTAAAAATATTATAAAGGAACGACCCAATTACAATGATCAAATTCATTTCTGATTGAAAACTGTTTAAGTTTTTAATCCTTGAACATTAAATAGGTACTTATTTTTTTCCAAAAGTAAATATGTTTTTAATTTAAAGACAGTCTGCTTTACAAAATAGCTATTTGGGCAACACTGCTGTTGAAACTTCTGGTTCTGGCTCACTGTTCCCTGGAGAAGTCATTCGAGGAACCGAAATCATCCAACAGGCAGACAACCAGGACCAGGAAGCTGCCAAGTCGGTGTAGAAAATTGAAGTTTAATTTGTTTTTACAAGCATAATTATAAGCTATGATCACTTCAAAATGGGCCATTTTCGTAGCAAAAAGCTTACTGAAATCCCCAAAAATAAAACGTATTTAAATTCGTGTTACGGCATTAAAGAAGTGTAGTAGTAGCTTCATCTGCAGCCATCTGTATCTGAGAGATACTTACCCAAAGGTAGATTAAGCGCTATTTAAACGCTAAATAAGCAAACGCGGAAAACTTACTCCCTGGATAAAGAGAACGCGAGACAGATTATGCGGCCCCTTTTCATTTCCGCTCCTTTGAATTACTTTGAGCCCTTTGCTTTTGTTGAACCCTTGCCATGGGTTTGTTTGTTTATTTATTTCGCTTCGACAACAGCGAAGCCCAACGCAGATGGAGTGGTGCTATCAGGATGCTGATGACGAGTCTGCGAACACCTTGCGGCTAACAAGTGCAAACCCACCCATCATCAGGACCCACACTGCATCCCAATTCAAACAAACTCAGACCGTCTATATCATGGCCGCCATCCACTGTCATTCGGCTTTTTCAGCCATCACAAACAAGCTGTGTTTTTCCTACTCCCCGGGAAGTACCCTATTGAAAGGGGTTTATAACATATGTAAAAGAAAGGTATATTTAATGATCTAAAGAATACAGTGTTAAAAAGATAGTTTGTTAAGTCTTAAAACCATTTTCCTACCTTGATATTGGTCAAGATTAAGTGGAATATCGGGTCATCTTGAACTCTGTACTAGGCATACAATCAATCTGTTTATTTACTAATTTCATAAATGATTTAAATTTCCTTTAATTACAAATCGAAATGGTATCTCTTGCTTAATGTCCCAATAACCATCAGATCCTTAATTGTTTAAACTTTAAAGTAAAGTATTTAGACTTCGGTTTCATAAACTCTTTCTCTATTGCATTTCATTTCGTTCGCTGCCTGTATTTGCGCATTTTCGATTTTAAATGAAAGCGGCGGTGAAATGTCGCTGGCGAATGCAAGTCACGGCTTCTCCAACCCAAAACTCCTGCCTCTCCAGCCTCTCACCTGTCCGCGGTTCCAATTCCAAGGGAATGCGCAGGTGTGTGCTGAAAAACATGCTAAACCACCCGGCAAACGTTAAACGATTTTCGAATGAATTCAAATTCGCGATTCTTGTTGCCCCCGAAACGCTTACCTTTTCTCTTTTTTGTGGCAGAAAGGATGATGATCGTCGAGCGTGTGCAAACAATTTGGTGGCTTAAATGAGTCCCAAATGAGACGTTTTTATGCTCCGACACAGTTTATGCAACATCATAAAGTCCAAGCGGCCTTACACCATGGCCCTCTAATCCGACGACGATTAATGTTAGTGTTGGGTGGTGGCTTAGTCTCCTCATGCCAGTATGCTCCTGGCCAGAAGGTTCTGCCATGGCAGAACCCTGCTCTGTTCCCCTCTGCTCCATATCAGCTCTAAAATTAAGTTATTTCTTTTCAATATTGAATTTATCAGGGCACCATGAGAGGCGGGATACGTGTCCGGAATAGATATGCTGAAAGCGACGACACCCGATGCCTGACATTAAAAGTGTCGCTTGTATTTAAATATCCAATTGTCTCACGGACAAGGATGTGAAACATTTAAAAATGCGTTGCCCTTCCCAGGGGGGGAGGGGCTTGAGATTTCGGAGGACACCCTCCTGTCAGAGCTGGATTATTCAATTGGTTTGTTGCCTAGAAAATGACACCCGATGGTCTTTGAATTTTAAAATAAACCCAACGAACCAAGTCGGAATCCAAGGTGTATTCGAATAGGACGTGTTCCCACTGCCCAAATTTTGAGCACTTGGGGTGGATTTGGTTTGGTTCCAGCCCAGTTCCATCCACAAATGGGTGCGATTGTTATTTACATTCTTTTGGGCTGCATTTGCTTTTATGTGGTGGCAATTTATTCAAATTGAGACATTAGACAAATTAAATTTACACGTATTTCACTTGATTGTTATCGCCTGTATATCCATTTAATTATTACATTATCCACCAAAAGCACATTTGCATTTTGTTATACGAATAAACATTTATTGTTATGCCTCATAGATATGAAAATGCAATTTAATCTCCTGGCATACGGAAGAACTTTTTGAAGAGAGCTTCATGAGCAATTCAAATGTAGTCCAAAAAGTATGCAGACATTTTTTAGAATATAGACCAGGGATTCCAATTTCAAATAACTTTATTCAAAATGAATATTAAAAGTAAAATATACTTAATGTAATAATGTTTGGAGTTCTATAAACAAATAACATTGTAAAGAGAATAAGAATATCAATATGGTAGTGGGAATTTCTCGTATAATTTAAAGTTGAAAGCCCTTGACTCTCTTTAGTTGAAATCCCAGAACTTTAACTATATAAAAAATAAAATATATATTTAATATTAAGCTTAATGTTGGTCAACTATATATCCCACCGCTATCTTATAATAATCCTTAACATTTTGTTAAAAGAGAGAGTTAAAATGATGTTGATAATGTTTATAAATCCATCTGCCAAAAATTAGTAGTTCTTTCGAAAAGTATGCTATGCCTCTTTCAACTTCAGATACCTCTTACTATTAAAATTAAATTGAGTTTCTAATTTAGAATTTCGGCTTGGCGCTTTAAAATTTGTATATTTCCTCAACTAAATCTTTAGTGGCAACCAAATTTGTTGTAACAGATCCGCAATGGACGACACCCGCACTCTAAAGTACACCATTAAGTGGGATGAGTTCGAGGGAATGCTCATAACTGACATTAACTTCAAGCAAGTGACGCACAAAAATGACATCTGAAACGATGGCCAACTAAGAAAATTATTCATTTCTTTCAGGTATTACGACATGGTGATAGAGTTCATGTGGACCCAATCTTTTTTGAAAAGCTTGGTGTTTGAGAGTCTCGGACTATTCAATCTGCCGGACATGAAGGAGACTTATTCCAAGTAAGATTCAATTACAATTCTATTCGAATTTAAATCTAGCTTAATAGTGTTTAAATTTTTCCCTATTATTAATTAGATATGTCCTTCACATACTGAGAAACGAGTGTTCGGTGATGATGATTAGCGAGGATGAGAAGCAAATTAAGGCCGTGGGTCTGCTCGAGTGGATGACAGAGGAATGGCACTCCTGGGTCTTCTTCCCCTCATCGATGCCCCGGAATTTGTTTCAACAGATCATCATGATGAAGAAGGAGCTCATCGATGCCACCAAGGAGAACCTCGGCATCTCCACATACGATGCCCTGATGGTTCACGAGATTGCCTTTCCGGACGAGCTGTACTTCAACAAGGACTTCCTAATGGTCATGTTCGACGCCTTCGCCTCGGTGGCCCAGCACATGCACATGCCCCGAGTGAGCTTTATCGCACTGAGTACTGCGGACCAGGAGGCAGCAAGCCTGATCGAGTACGATGAGATTGGACGCACCATTTACTCCATTTATAAGGTGGGAAACACCCGGCCCTTCGATATCCTGCGTGAGCTGGACGAGATGTATGCGCTGCTCTTTGAGCTGCCGCTTCCTCCGCTTCTCAAGTACGTAGATATGCCCGGCTTTGAGGAGTTCCACGAGGCATTGGATGCCAGATTGGCCAAGGAGGCTGCCGAAAAGAGGGATGATGACTTCTAGTTCCTGGGTTACCCCACATGACGCCTACTTTTGGGCTCAGCTCTCGAGCAGCTTCCCAAAAACGCAATGACTGGGAGCGGTAGTCGACGGTTTACAGCGACAGGCGGTACATTTTCAAGCTGATTTGTGATAAGCTTATCATCCGATCCCTGTTGTTGCGGAAAGTGGTTTCCGATTGCGGTTTTGATAAGGCCTCTCAGCTGCGTATACACAGCGAGAAATGTCACAAAACTATCTAAAATTTCGCGTCCTATCCCATATTTGAACCTTCAATATTTCTGTGTAGTTTCGAAATGTATTTCTTTTAAATAAGTAAAGCTTATATGCTTTTCATAAATTGGTGTTAATTTACTCTGAGAAGGGAAAACGTAATTGGTAATTTGTATTTAAGACTAAGAAGATTATACTTTGTTTTTATTTTTATATATTTAAATATCCTTAAAACTGAATGATAAGTAATTCCTGAAACTAATTTTTACTTGGCACAGAAATTGAACTGAAAATTGAATTTAATTCTGAAAGACACTATAAAATTCTTTATCACCGAAGTATTTTTCTTATAAGGTTCACTTGTAACTTCTGAAGGATATAATATCAATATCGAGCTTTGGGTACTTTATTTCTCGACTGTATATTATCAGCCTGTTATTTTCCAGCTTACACCTTGCCCTACAGTTTCGATGTGATATTGGCAGCCAGGAGAAGATCCAAAACATCGTCGGCACAGCCCCAGCACAGGGTGACCCCGCTGCCACCATGTCCGTAGTTGTGGATGAGGAGCTTCCTGCCACGCCGTTCTGACTCGAGTCGGAGCTCTCCACGACCCGGCCGGAAACCCACCCAGTCGAAGAGGGTCTCGGTGTGCTCCAGGCCAGGAATGAATCGTCGACAGCCGTTCACAATGAACTGTCTATCACGCTCGCAAACCTGTCTGTTGTAGTCCCCCTCCTGATGAGTGCCACCCAGGACCACGCTCTCGGTGCTGAGGGAAGAGAAAGACAACTCTCATTAGGGGCATCATTAAACTGTACCAACCAGTAGAGTTACTAACTTGGGTATTATGTAGTTTCCATCATCGCTCTCATCCAGCACTGCCGAAAAGATCCAATTAGCCTTCACCCGCGACACTTGCCCACGCACAGAGTACATCTGCTCGTCGTTGAGTAGTTTCCGGGATCCCAGACCCGAACAGTTGACAATAACATCATATCCAGAATCAGTAATGAAGGCATCAAGGTCTTCTATCTTTCGCCGGACAATTTTACCACCATTGCGAAGGAATCTCTTCATCAGATACGGAAGTAGCTTGACGGGCTCCGAGGTATAAGTGATAAAGGATAGGCCTGATGTGAACTTTACGCTCCTGCCCACATTGTAGACGGCCAACTGGTCCGCGGTTAAGTCCATCGCTCCATATACAATATTGCGCCAAAAGTCCTCTACGGAGTCCACTGTCGAGGTGCTCAATCGGACGCAGGGCAGCAGACAAACTCCAGCCTCTCCAGCGTCCTCGCTCAGCCAGATCTTCTCCAGGAACTGGTGCATACTCTGCGACCACTTGCTGCAGGAAAATAACTCAAAGTTAATTATATAGGACCTGGAGATTCCTAAACATAATTACTAGACTTTCGATTGCGGTGTACCGCCCAGCAGATAGGGGCCCCAGAGTCCCGCCGAACCATCCCCAGTGGTATTGGGCGTGAAGTCCTCCGATATAATCGTGACGCTTATCGGCTGCCCCTCGGCCAGGTAGTGCTCCAGTATCTTAATGGCACTGGCGACTCCGTTCACCCCGGCCCCGATAACTGCAATGTTTGGCATTGCGATGACGATCCGATCAGCTTGATAATTCAGAGGGAACTGAATAGCACCGAGTCCGTTCCTCAACCGAAAAAAACGCTCATATGCCTGATACCAGAGAGCTTTCGCTGGAGTAGGGGCATTCATCGCTTTGAGATTATTTTATTCGCAATGCAACTACAACTGGAATGATTTTCTAATCTGTATATACATAAGTAAGTATTATAAGGGCATATTATAACTTTTCTGTGGAGAGAGGCTTAAAGTTTTTGCTGATAGAACAATCAGGCAAAGATAACTTAAATTAATTTTAAAATGTACAAGATAAAAGTACATTCAACTAATGTTTGAGTACGATTAACTAAAAGCTTTATTGGTGGAAGCGTAACAGACTCTCCAAACAAACTAATGCACTTGTCTTCTAGAAAAAAAACAATCTATGTGTGATCTTACTTATTATAGAGTATAGATTTAAGTGTATTCAAACAAGTAGTTAGGTCTTCAGATACAAAAAATATAGTCTTTTTCTGATAAAATAATAATAACTATTGAATCGATTACATAATTCTGTTTCCCGTACATCTAGTAGGCCATAAATATCCATAAAGTATGCCATGACTCCCAACTCAAACCGAACCGCCGTCTCAACCCTACCTTATCAACGATGTAACAAGCAATATTCATTCTATTTCACACTCTCGGACCATTCATTTCGGCCAACTTCTAAATTTATCAAAATTCTTAGTTTTATTTTCTAACAAATTTTAACCAAAAAGTGAGTTTTATTAATCGTAAAAAGTGGTAAAAAGTGTTAATATTTAATAAACTTTATCCTTGCCATGCAGCGCCCAAGTCCTTAACATGTGTGACGGCGGATCGATGGAGGTAAGTGTTGGATGCCACTGCATCCTGTTTCGATCTGTTAACCAATCGATCTCCTGCAGCCCCGGGGATGCCAGAGTCGCGAGCTGCGATGTGGCATTATGTACACCACTTGTGACTGTGTGAAGCGCAACGGGCTCCAGGACAAGTGCCCACGATCCGCATGCCAGGGCCGGCCGGCGTGCCTGTGTTTCCCCTTCCCGTCCTGCGGTCCGGCTGCCTTCCCGCTGCGCTTCGCCAACATGACCATGGGCGTGAACAATAAGCGCATGCGTTGCGCCGCCACAGGAGCTGCGTCTGGCGGTGCTGACTGCGGTGGTCGCGTAGCCGGCGGATGCTGCGGAGGCGGTGGTGGTGGCGGCGGCTCTGGATGCGGTGGCTCTGGAGGTGGCTGCTTCGGACCTTGTAATGAAACACCATGCTGTGGCCCACACAGTCCGCCGTGCGGAGCTCCTTCACCCATTCCCTGTTCCCCGGCACCGGGCATGTGCGTGCCCCCACTGCCCGAGGGCGGTATTCCCGATCCGCGTGTCTGGAATTACTGTAACACACCCCCAACGTATCCATGTAAGTCAAGTCGGTCCGTCCCCGAAACTCCCCCGACCCGAGTCCCAGAATCCCTTCCCGTCTGTCCGATAGTAAGTCCTGATAGATAAAAGGTCCTAGTTGGAGCATGAAATGCGCGTTGACTGTGCGGGCCACTGCATCTGGATTTTTGACCTGTAAATTCAGATGTTGTGATGCTCTGCCTTCTCCCGTTAAGCTCAAGGACCAAGGATAATGAACAAGGACAACATGCCCTGTGTCTGGTGTGCGCCGTGCAAGGCCCACTGTTACAACACGCCACCCAAGTGCTGTTGCTAGGGTCCGAGTTCCATCCGGTTTGTCCCTAGTCCCAATCTCTGTCCCGTCCCGAGTAAGTAGGTGTGGTAGCTGTCCTATTCACGGGTGCTTACGCTCTCTCTTCACAGGTGGCTTCTAAATAATCCTCCGAGATCTTCTGCGTCCCCCCTACAAGTCGGGAGAGAGGGATGTGATACGGATGGGACATGTTGAGCAAGTACTTGTGTGGCGATCTTTTGGTTGATACAAAATTCAAAGTGGCCTGAGTCAGGACAGGTGATGCTGCGGTAACTATCCATCGGCTGGCGGAGATCACCAGTACGGACCGCTGCATTCAGGACAACTTTCTGACTTTCGCTTCTACATTCTTAATTTGTTCACTCTTTTGGCAATAAATTATAAAAATGGAGCTGAAAATAAAGGTGCAATAGATAGGGATATTATCCTATTGGTTTTCTTATTCGTAACTTGACACGAACATTTCATCGGTTTAAAAAATGTGTTCTTGCAGAATCGCTTTTATATTAAATACAGACTTTAAAAATCAATCGATGGAGATCTATATTAGAGTGGATGCCACAGAGACTATCGGGAAAATTTGTATCAATATAGGAATCTGGCTTGCAAAAGTATTATTGGTCTTTGGAATTTTATGTTCTTAATTAAATTTGACACATTGTTTTGAAACTTTTTCTTGTATTAAGGAAATAAAGCTACAAAGTACGATTTTGAATAAATACAAATAAATTCCACAGAAGAACGAGCGATTAAAATATTGATTGAATGTGGGTTAATCATAAATTAAGCAACATTAATGGAAAGCCAAGGCTATATGTATAACATTTTTTTTTTCTCCCTCGAAGAACATGTCTGTTGCTACACAGAATTAAATTGGAGGAAAATTTTAGAGAGGAGAGGAAAGTAAAATTCAAAGCGAAAGAGGCCTTCTCAGAGTCTAATGTCATTGATTGATTTGATTTGTCTATATAAATAACCTAACCAAAATCGTTAAAAAAAGACTTCCCTATACCGAAGCATGTCGAGGATGGAGCGCACCGTGTTCGGCGCCTTCGATGATCCGGGCGTCTCGATCTTCGCCACCGACGCCCAGGAGCCAATCCCCAATATGCTGACATATATGAAACCCTTGCCGCACAATGCCTGTGACGACGGCATGGACGCGTGTCCGATGGTGAAGCAGGCCTCTGGGGCGGATCGCTATCTGTACCGCCTGGTCAAGGCACAGGTGGATGAGGTGGCCGCCGAACGCCACAAGTCCATTCTATCGCAGCAGCGGGAGCGGCAGGAGCGAATGGATCACGAAATCACAAAGGGCCTGGCAGATGAGCTGCACCGGCAGCAGGTGGAGGCCAGCCGATGCCTCCAGATCCAGCTCAATGTGCCCGAGATGCGGGACCTCAGAGTAGAGGTGGAGCGAGCACAGACCGCGCTGGCCGTGAAGGAAACTATCCAGACCATTGCCAGGGAAACGGCGGAGGAAAAGCAGCGGGAACGCGCCGAGGCTCTGGCGGCACAGCGTGCGCTGGATCAGGAATGTTCGGAGGAAAAGCGACAGCGCCTTCAGAAGAAACGAGCCTACGGCATTGCTCTAATGGCGCAGATGACGGAGACACGCTCCAACCGGCTGAAGGATCAGCGCAAGGCCAACGAGGAAGGTCGCCGCGAGTTGCGGGAGTGCGAGGAGAAGGTGGCGCAGGGCGTTAAACAGGATGCGCTGAACAAGGCACATCAACGCCAGATGCTTCAGGAGGCACAGTTACAGTCGGAGGCCATGTTGAAGGCCACCCGGGAGGCCAATGCGGCCTGGCAGAACCGCCAGGGCAAGGAAAGGGGTATCCTGGACGGCCTGGGACCCATGACGGACCACTTTACCTCAGCAGCGCGAAAGCGTCGCCAGGACCTGGCAAAGGCTCGGGAGACCACCGCCGCTCGCCTGGGCTTCCAACTGAACCGCATCCGGCAGGACCGAGAGGCACGTGATCAGCTGATCATCAACCTCGGCATCGGAGAGTTTGAGGCCAGGGAGTACGAGATGGCGATGGATCACGCCAAGAACAAGCTGCCTCGCAAGCGGGAGATCCGAGACCAGTTGCTTGCCCATCGCGATGAGCAAAAGTTCGTCCGGGACAAGGCTGTCCAGGAGGCCCTTAACCGCCCCAAGGATCCCACATGCTTCGGTGAGCGACAGAATCGCATTCAAGTGGATCAGCAGGAGAGCCATAAGCGCCAGGCCGTGCAGCACTGTAAGGACTTGGAGAAGAAGGCGCTGGAGGACAAAGCACGCAAGGTCATCGAAGCCGAGGAGCAGCGGGTCATGATTCAGTCCATCTACGATTACCAGATCCAACAGGATGCCTTTGTGACCTCCGAGCGGATGAAGCTCCTTGCCAGTCAGCCGGTCGAGGTGCTGCGCGCCATCAAGCCCTCCTGCCTCACGGAGAACGAGCTCAAGGCCTTTAACCTGAAGCAGTGATCACAGCGACCTTATACTCCATTCAAAGCCCCAGACTCTACACCCAACTCCTACAAATGTGTAAATTCCTATTTTGTGATTCATGTTTTTTTTTTTCAAAATTTATGTTGCATTAAATGATGAATTTTCTTGTATTAGAAAGAAGAAATTATAGATTTATTGATGATGATTTAAATTTAATTTTGTTTAAAAACGTCGATATTACTACATAGTTCTGGAATCCAATCGAAAATAAGGAATATTTATACACATGGTATTCAGTTTTCCACCTTCCTAATTGATGTCCACAGAATGCAGGGTAATTTTGAATATTTCACGAATAAATCACAGAAAGCAGATCCCTCTCACAGTATGTACATCAGTAGTTGGTTTGATAGGTGTACTCATCTGGAATTGTGGTTTCCTTTTCCAAGGGAGTAAATAATCCAACGATCAGCACAATTGATATGATGACAATAATTAAGGTCAGAACCCCAATCACGGCATAAACCACAATATTCTGTTTGCCTGCCATGGTTACAAATAAGCGTGTTCAGAACCTGTAAAACAGGAATGGCGTTGGCCAGAAATCTCCCTTTAGGCTTTCAACTTACCAGGCAATATAATTAAGAATTAAAAACTCCCTTTTTTAAAGAATTCAAGGCTTGACAGAACAATCTTTATCCATGTAATGCGCTTCTGATTGTAATTTCAAAGCAGTCTTTTATATCAAGGTAACTAAATCTAGCCTCGGGGGACCATATATACGTATATATTCAGATTTCTTAAGTTCATTTTATATAAAAAACGCACATTTTCAAAAGCAAATAAAATAAGAAAAAACTTAATAGAAAGCCCCATCCATATGTGAATTAAAAATGTGAATTAAATATTTGTACACCAAAAGGAAATATCTTTATTAAAAATTTCACAGAGTATGCCTTTATTTCCCTTAAATAGACTTAAATTTGTATTTTCTATATTTAGGAATATAAAGATGCTTTGATTTTAACGTCATTCCAGTACCTGTCAGTAAATCAACACAACTATTCGAAATCACCACGCCACACGGCATCAAAAATTGTTTCTCTCTAAAAAAGTTTTGGTACTGTTTGTATTAAACATTGATTGTAAATGGAGACCAAAGGTATTATTGTAACTTTCTCAGTTATCGTAATCGTGCTTTTGATACTCGACATTATCTTGGTCGTCGGCATTTTAATCACGCGCAGATTCAATTATTACGAAAAAATTTATCAAATTCCAGCAGTAAGTATTTTGTATTCATAATGCAATGATTAAATGAAACGTGTATGGTGAGCTACAAATATCCAAATATGTAATTTTATTTCAATATAGAGAAAGCCCTTTGCTCAGTGCTGTGTGGGAAAGAATGAGACGTGTTAGGGTTAAGGATTTTTTCATAAAAAAGAACTCAGCAGCTTTCTTCTATGTTAATTTCAGACTAACATTTAAGCTATGAGCCTCACAACTTTTATTTCATTTTCGAAATATTCTTTCATTTCAAAATTAATTTTCAATCATCTGTATATCCAACGTTATACTCTTGCAGGGTTTTATATTTATTTGCCAGAAGTTGGCAACACAGAGGTGGCAAATGTTAGCAAAAATGTGACTTTCTCTAATATACTTTCAAATTATTATTTATTATAATTTATTATGTAAAAAATTAAGGAAAAAGTGCCAAACTCTTTCTACCTCATGGCCACCTTTATAATAAGCTGCCTCCAGGTACAATTACATTGTTTTGCAATTTCAAATGGGGTTCTAAATGTCTAATTCCACATTTGGTACGTAAAAAATTAATAATATGTACATTAAATAATTTTTAGTTTATTAGTGATATTTTAAGAGTTTTGTTTTCCCAAAAAATTTCAGAAAATTATCGATTTAAAGTCTCTATATATGAAGAAATTTGAAGTCTTGAAGGTTATACAAAAATCGTTCATTAAAAACAAAATTTTAATAATGGTTGTTTTTATAAAAGAGATGTTTTATTAATAGCATATCCAAATCGTCCATTGACCATTGCCATTTTATTTAGTAATCAAATATTTATTGAATCAGTTTTGTTTCTTCCAAATCAAGAATGGTTTGAATTGTTTTTCAGTTCTCTGAATTCACCACAAGTTATTGAAAAAAAAATCCAATATATTTAAGATACAACACTATATTCAGAAAATATTTAACATAGTGGTGACCCTCCCAAAATTCCAACAAGTACGCGTTTCCTTTCATGTCTTGTCTTTCTAAAATCGTATATTTCGACTGTGTAAAATAACTTACCGTCTCGCATTACTCAAACATTATTTTTTTACTTTTCTCTCCCCAAGGATCCTGTCATTCTTCCTTCTCTAGGATTTAGATCATGGAAACCCGCACGCTTCTCATAATTATCGGCGTATTCGCAATTCTCGGCCTCTGTGTTATGAATATTATAATCCTTGCATACATTATCGATAATCCGTACAAGTACACAACCACAACAACGACTCCAAAATCTTCCTTTAACGTAACTCAAGCAGCTGCAGCCGTTGGCGGAGAAGACGCTTAAGCAACTTAGCCCCAGAAATGTGAGTAATTGTAAAAGAGTAGTTCTAGAACGTCGGCAGCGCGTTGCTTTTCGGTCAAAAGTAATGCATTACATATGTACATCATAGTAGTCGTTTTTTTAGTCAAGCGTAGAATAAAGTTGGCCTATCGCTAGAATCATTGTCGTTTATTCGGGGATCAAGTAAGCGTTGAACCAGTATTCATAAACATTTCAACGTCTAGTTTCATTGCTTCAACCCAACGTCATAATGGAAAACCCAAAACTAGCACTGATTCTAGTGATTGTGTGTGTAATACTTTTTATTTTGCTTATGGTGCTATTTTTCGTGTTCGTGAACGGTGATAGATTCCAAACGGAATATACAAAAGGACATTAACAAATAATAATTTACGGAAACATCAAAAACCATCAAGAAACAAAAATCACATTTTAAGCCACAATAATGGAGAAAACTACAATAATTACAATCGGTCTGGTCCTCATTGTATTTCTGTTCCTGATGCTGTTGACCCTAATCGCGATGTTCCTTTTCCGCGGCGAGTCAAAGAAGAGTTACAACGCGCGGAGCGGTCACTAACCGCATTTCACATTTTGATTATTCAGGTAAGTGATATTCCCTCTTCCTACCTCTTGCGCGCTTACCTTACCGCGATCGGATTGTTCGGTTTAAAAAGGAAAACGGAAGTCGCGGAAAACTTTTCCTGAATATCAATCCGCCCTCTGGCGTCAGTACTGCGAACGTGCCTTTTATCTGAAACGCAAACCAGACATTGTTTCCGCTAGCGCCACCAATCAGGTGCCACGCGTAATGCAACGACCTCTGTTGGTCAAACGCGCCATTTTTCGTTCGTACAAGGGACAAGCATAAAATTTAATTTTCTAATGTGACGTAAGGATCAAAGGCAACCGCATGCTTTTCCATTTATTGAATAACAATCCAGTCTCGAGTGCAGCCCTCTGCTGTCAATGCCGCGAACTTGCAGTTAGTTCTCCGTAATTTGTGTGGTAGAGCCACCTAGCGTGAATCTTTCGGAATGCAACTACCTTCATTGGTCGAAAACGCCATCTGGCTTTGAATCGTACTATGACAAGCAGTTTAGCCGAACAAAGTAGGCTTTTGTGTTCATATTAATTGACGTAACATCAATTTAAATTTTCTAACGTGTCGTAACGGTCGCAGGTTAATTACCGCATGTTTTTCCATTCATGTTCGCGGTAAATGCGCGTTAATGAACGTCCATCGCGATTCTAATGCACTTCGAACCGAATCACCGACGTGTGGGCAGCATCCAACGCGACCCGCGACCCGAACGGAGGCCGAGCGCCGTTCCATGTGCACAGCAAGTGGTCACAGTGCCAAAGGAAGCCATATTTCATTCAGCAATTAATGCAATGATCAACGCTAATTCCACCGGCTGCCACAACTGCTGCTACTGCTGGGATTTGTCACGGCGACGAGCGATAAACCCAGCTACGATCTTAACGTCCAATTAAGCGCGAATTGTGTCACGCGCCGAGACCTGCGTCTTCTACGGCAGCCACCGGAGATGCCGATGGCGATGCCACTGCCACCGCCACCGTCCCGCGCATTTCCGCAACCGAAACATCACACATAGAACCAGGCACTAATCAAAGCCCGACTTGCGTATTCCAGCATTTCGTTTCAGCATATATCACACCCCAACACTGGCGATGGCTCGGCTTCTTCACAAATTCAGATTCAGATCAGTGTCGCGCGGCGCACAGCGGTGTCAACTTGTTGTGCAGCAGAGTGCGAGTATCCATATACCCATTACCCATTTAAATCACGGACCAGACCGGACCAGACCGGACCACACCGGACACCGAGCCGAGGCCAACGCCAGCACAGATCCCGACACAGAGGACAGCCTCACATACATAACAGCGTACGGAGCACGCTGAACTCGATATACGGATTTTTAAATCGATCAGCAGGCTCATACTCACCAGAAACCGACGATCCTTGAAGCGATCGACACACCTACACATCCACATCCACACCTGCAACTTCTACATTCGGAGCCCGAAGTCGCACCGCCGCTGAACTGAGGAAGAAACGGCCAGTCAAGTTTAACAAGAGTGGAAGAATGCCGACCATCACCGAGGACTGCATCGATGGCTTCCAACAGTACTATGCCCGGCCACCGGAGAGGCCCAAGAAGAAGTCCCTGAAGCAGATGATCCACGATTCCGAGGATAACTCCTACTTTGGTCGCTCCATCGACAGCTGGGGTGAGTCTTCTACTTGGGGTTACGTAAACCTAGCATCGCGACGTAGCGTAGTCTTAATAAAAGCCCGACCTTAATCAGCGACAGTCTCTTTGTCGTCGCATTAGCGCTAGCGGCAAATGCAGATTGCTGTGGATGTGGGTGGATTTATGTATTCCACTTACCGGCCTCCCGCCGAGACCTCCGTCCTCCATCCTCCGACCTCCGTCCGTCCGTCCGTCCGTCCGAGTCGAGAGTCTGAATCCGAAGCCGTGTCCATTTTATTGCCCGCCCAATGGCGATTCCGTTTCGCTGGCCCCGCGGCGCGACTAGATCTGTGTGTTTGGGGCACTTGTCCACAATATCGGTCAATTACGCCATTATGCAATCAGATTGCGGTGAACCCACGAGCGTGTTCTCCAGAACCATCTCCAGTTCCGAGGGAAGGTCGTTGCCAGGGCCCGCCGAATGATGGCCCTCGCGGTTGCGTAACTTCCCTCTTGGCCAGGATTTATACAGGCACTTGACTATAATTATTCCCATATGAAGGATCAAGTGTCAGCGAAATCATGCTTCAGCTTAAACGAACTTTTGACCTTAGTGGGGGAAATATGTTGAGTATATATTATAAATAATAATACGGATTTATGTACTTGTTCTAATTCACCCGGAAACAAACCAACCTACCAAATTCTAAAGAATCTAATTCGAGATCTTTTTTAAGGACTAGCGCTTTTTTATTGTGGGATCATGATAGTAAGGCATAATTTGCTCATTTTGCTAAACATTAAAAATATATAGCATTGTATCCTTAAGAACAAGAAAATAATGAAGTAAACGTTATAAAGTATTGGCAAATACAAATAGTTTAAAAGGATATTAAATTAAAAAATAAATAACTTTGAAACTATTACGATGTCCGCTGTTGTATCCTTGTCAAAGTCCCTTAAATGTATAACTTCAGCGGCGCGTAGTTTATCCAGCGGAAGAGCGAGCTCTCCAAGGAAACCCACCCCTGTGCGTGCGAGTACAGCAACTCCATCGTGTGGCCCACTTTTCGAACATCCTTTGGCCGCATTCGAAACCAGTTCCTGGCCCAGTTTGTTGTTGTTTTAGCACCAGATTTAACACCAAACACAGGTTTGGCGTGTATCAGTTAAATGCTAATTGCACTTTCCTTAAAAGAGATTGTATAGAATGAGCAGCTTAGATCTTTTAATTACTAACTTCCTGGGCATAGAATTTTTCATCAATTTAAATTAATACTACTTGTTAAAGAACACTATAAAATATTTACACATGGTTTTTAATAAGAGTTAAATAGATAGAAATTTGTTTTTATGACATAATTTTATCTAGTAGTTCTACATTCAGCCTCTTTTAATTAAATAATTAAGTATGTAAGCGTCTTTGGTTTTGGTTCTTATTTCGCTTTAAAGAAAATAAATTTCATCCGTAAGATTTGACCTTAATTGGCATTTTTCCAATGAAAAATTTTACAGAAACGGACCTTCGCCTTTATGACATCATTTTATCTGATACTTTAAACAGCGTTTTGTCATTTAAAGGAACATGTCAGACTGTAAGGATTGAATTTAAGAAAAAAATATGTTTTTTGTTAGAAAACAACAAAAACAACCTAAAAATATTTAAAATAAATTACTTTAGCTAGAACAAAAGCCATTGAAGGATGCTTTTGGTGGAAAAATCCATATCAAACGGCCTTTGCCTGAGTGACATCATTTTATCTCATAATTTAAGCAGAATTTGTTTATGTATATAAAGCATCAAGGGAATTTATTAGAATGGTGTAAGAGAGTTTTTAAATAAATATAAAAAAGAACTATAAGAACATGGATAATAACATTTGCAAGAATTAAACCCAATGACAAATGGCCTCAGCCTTCATTGTTTCATTTACTACAAATACACCCCGCTATTATGCGTAATTTTAATAAGATAATAAACTAAACAAATCACCTTCACTTAAAATAAACCCGATATTAATAGCTAAGACAAGGTTTAACTTTGAGAGAAACCACTTCAACCGATGGCAATCTCAATGGCCACATCCTGCGCTACCCTGGTGAATTTCCAATTTGCAATTCGCGTTTTCCCTTTCCCCCTCCTTTCACCCCTCATCTCGATGGTCACTAAACCTAAATGAGCTGCAGTGGCAGCGGCACCGGCATCGCCCAATTAAAACAAGTGCAACGTAGGAGCAGCTTTTCCACGGCAATTACAACGCTTCCGAATCTCGGTCCGCAATGCATTGCAACCCAACCCAACCCAACCCAGACCAAATCCCAAACTCAGACCCAGACCAGACCATTGCAACTTGACTCACAACAACCCTAGGTCCCAGAGATCCCATTCGATTCGTTTCAAAGCGAGGCAGGCTATTTCACTCAACTGCGAAATGCCGCCAAAAGCGTTCACATTCACATTCACTCAAAACAAAACTCGGCTCGGGAGAGCCAAAGACTGAGGCAGAGAACAACTTGGCTGTTACACTCACAAAAATATATCTGTTATTAAAAGATGTCAGCTCTTGAATATTTTTCTTAACATAGGGACAATTAATTTTCATTTCATATATAATCGATATTCTACTAAAGATCAACGGCAGATCAACAACAAATAATAGTTCATGATTTTAAATAATTTGTTGGTTTAAGATAAGCTAACTTATTTAAAAAGCACATACAAATAGTTACCAAAATTACAAATTAAATTAAATAGTACAAATGAAGGCGAAATAAGCCCTCGCACTCTTTTCGTGACCAAATAGTCACCGACTCTCTTTAATTTCTACCACCTTTTCTGTCAGTGTACATATCTGACTCAAGCCTGGTCCGTTGCTTGGCTCGCCAGCGGCTGCTATGGACGGAGTTCAGTTTCGGGGTTCAGTCAGAAATTTGTTTTGAGCGACGACCAAACGTGCTGCGGAGAACAACTCGTGGCGTGGTCCTGACGCGTTTCGCTACCAAACAATAACTTAACTAGTTTGTGGTCTGTGCGGAGGTTTATTTTCTTTTTTTGTGGCAACGTTCGCGGCTCCTTCGAGCAGGGCGAAATGCACCAATAGATCCAAGAACAGTCTTCCGATTCCGACACGCCTTCAAACCACGCAGCAGTTTTAAAATATTAGTTGTAAATTGAAGAATCTTGAAGAACGCTCCGCAGTTTCTTCAAAAAGGTGTGGTTGTTTGTATGTTGTGGCCAAGCGCTAAGAGCGCCAGCTAAGAGATACAGATACAACTCACTCACACCGCTGCGTGAGTGTGTGTGCGCGGAAAGAGCGGTCACTCTTGCCGTTTGTTTTTGTAGCTGCTGGCTGTTGACGTTCGAATAAGTGGATAAAATAAGTGTTTCAACGAAAATAGGGCACCCACTGCCAGTGCCGGGTCAAAGCCAATGCGCCAGTGAAAAGTCCGGAAAAACGCGGAAGTGCTCTGCTGCAACAGGCGCCCTTTTTCGCCAGCCAGTCCACCAGTTGCAGGTGGCCCCTCCATTGTCTGCCCCTACTGGGAGTGGGGAGAGGGGGCCAAAAAAAGGCGCCAACTGCCTTGCAGGACCAGAGGGTTGCAACGGCAGGGACTCGAGAGAGAGTGTTTCACCGAGAGAGCAGAGAGAAGTTCAGAGAGGAATCCAGAGCGCAATCCAGGGAGAAATCCGGGGAGAGCTCGGCAGCAGGCAGGACGAGTGAAAACACAATATTTGTGTACATCTGTACAACGCGGTGGCAGTGCATAAAATAACTCAGAAAACCGTGAAACGAAATTAAAGGAAATAACAAGTGAACAAGTGAAGACCGCCAAAAAAGGCAGTTCAGTGAAAATATTTCATAGGGATTTTTGTTTGGTGCATTTCTCTTTGAAGTCCTAGGGTTCTCTTGAAATAGATTATTTCCTTTGTGTTCATTTATAAATTATTCAGAAACTACATTGATTTCCATTTAATTACTGCCTAATTGTTTCCAATTTAATTACCCTTACACGTGCAGTGACCTATTAATAGTCTCAATTAAATATAAAATCAATATTAAATATTAAATAATAATTCCTCTTGGTTCACATTACGTACGAAAAATGAGAATTTATAAGTAATAAAAATGATTAATTAATTTTTAATTAAATTAAAGGGAAATATATCGTTTACAAGAGACCTAATTTAGGGCAACATTTTTTAATAACCATACTCCATCTGAACTGTATAGGCCTTTAGATCCAAAGAAAAAACCCACCGCTGAAACATGTCCAAGCCCGTACCAATGAGCACGTCCTTTACGGACGAGGATCTACACAACCTGCGCAAGCCCATACCGTTCCATCTTGGCCGCTTCTTATATAACGCCGAGGAGGGCACGGTGATGGGCCGCGATCGTACGTCATGGGGTAAGTTTATGGCACTCTAAATACTCATTACTTTTTTGTGTACAGGCACGTAGCTGCTGTAAATCAAACCCTTACGATGGGGTTTTTAACTGTTCTAGATTGGTGTCACGCTGTTACTAACCTAGTCGAGAATTATATTTAATAGCACTTTGCTACGAAAGTGCCGCCCACTGCAAGTACCGATAGTTGTAGTCGGGCGCAAAGAAAGGGAGTAAGAAAATTAACAACAGTTTGGGTTCGGGTTGGGTGGGGTGGAGATGTTGCATCTGGTTTTTCCCTCAATTACCGCCAGTTAAGCTGCCCGCTACACCGTTTATCATCAATTGGACGTTGCTAGGTTTTTCAGTGCACGCCAATATTGGCATTCAAAAGTTTTTCTTGGCATGTCCAAGGCCCTGTCTAAATATAGTTGGTATATAGTCGGGTGTGCAATGCAATTATGCTGCAGAACAGGGGGGCCAAAGCAGAGGCAGAGAATATGCCAAAATGGAAATATACACACGTGAGTGTGTGCGTGTGTACATGAGCTTTGTTTCCCAGCTCTGCAGCTCTTGGGCTTGATTCCCAATTCTCCACATGAAAATAGTGCTGCTACTCTCACTTCCCAACTTCCCAACTCTTCTGATCGCTGTTGAGGTTATGTCGCATATCTGTGAATATCGTTAAGAGCGATCGGCGGCAGCGCCTCACTCTTGAGTGCTTAGCACTCATTAGGCGCCGCTCTCTTGGGCCAAGTCTAAGAGCGCCGGAATGCTTAGAGCTGGCGATGATTCAGTGGAGAGAAATTTATCGGCGTCATCTTGCCAGCCACTCCGAACTTGAGAAGCCGACCCAGCTTTGGCTTGGGGTGGGTTCCCATTTGTTTATGAAGTCCACAGGCATTGCCGGCTGTCGTTAATTATCGGGTTAACCCATGGCTGACCGCGGGGTCTGCCGTCAAGTGATTAATTCAATCAAACCCATTTGCATTGACTGGCGATCGCTGTAATCGCAATAATTCAATGAAGCTCATCCTGTTCTACCCCCCATCTCTTCCCGCATATAGCTAAAATCGGAATCTTCTATGTGGCCTTCTACGGAGTACTCGCCGCCCTGGTGGCCATCTGCATGTGGGCCTTCTTCCAAACCCTCGATCCTCGCATACCCAAATGGACACTAGACCGTTCCCTGATCGGCACCAATCCAGGTGAGTTTCATGATTTCACAGCCTCCAAAATTGTGTCTCTAATTAATCTTTATGGTTTCAGGTTTGGGTTTCCGCCCCTTGCCCCCGGTGGACAACGTGGAGAGCACCTTGATCTGGTACAAAGGCACCCAGCACGAGAACTACAAACACTGGACAGACTCCCTCGATGATTTCCTAGCGGGTAAGAAAATAGCGAAGAAAAATCGTGTCTGGTTGTAAACAAAACAGTATTTCTAACGAATGAATCAGATATCCATAGCTCTGGAAACAATTGAGGAATGCAGTAATTTATCTTCAAATATTTCAAATATTTATACTAAAGTGTTTTATAATAATAGCTTTTCCAGTAGTGTAATTAGGTTTCATGGGAATAACTCAGTTAATCTATAAATATTTCGAATATTTCTAATAATATGTTTACCCTTCATCCTTTCAGTTTACAAAGTTCCCGGCCTTACTCCCGGCCGTGGCCAGAACATCTACAACTGTGACTACAACCAGCCGCCACCAAAGGGTCAGGTTTGCGATGTGGACATCAAGTCGTGGTCTCCATGCACCAAGGAAAACAACTACAGCTACCACAAGAGTGCCCCGTGCATCTTCCTGAAGCTCAACAAGATATACGGCTGGATACCAGAATACTATAACGATTCACGTGACCTGCCGGAGTCCATGCCCTCGAGCCTGAAGACCTACATCGGGGAGATGGAGAAAACCCAGCCACACAAGGTGAGTTGAGAGTCGGACAAAGATTTGGTCTTTAGACTGACATCTTGATCTTTTCCAGCTAAACACAATCTGGGTGTCGTGCGAGGGCGAGAACCCAGCTGACCAGGAAAACATTGGTGCTGTCAATTATCTGCCGATCAGGGGCTTCCCCGGCTACTTCTATCCTTACCAGAACTCCGAGGGCTATCTGAGTCCCCTGGTGGCCGTTCACTTCCAACGTCCGAAACGTGAGTAGCTCTGGCTCCCATCGATTACCATCGATCTAATCTTGTGACCTCTTCCCATCCAGGCGGCATCATCATCAACGTCGAGTGCAAGGCTTGGGCTCGCAACATTATCCACGATCGCAAGGACAGAATCGGTTCCGTGCACTATGAGCTGCTAATCGATTAATTGTTTTAAACGTTAACCCATTACATAATGTATAACAGATTGTGTGAGGAGCAACAATCTTGGAGTAGAGTGGAGAGGAACAGGCGGTGACAGACAATCCCAACAGAGCCACCCTGTTTAGATGTTTTGTGGTTGCTTTTTAAATCCGTATTTTCGACATTGCAAGCTTTGTAAAATGTTTTATTTCCCTATAATTAACATGCATTAAATCATTCGCAACACAACAATTCCGCCTAGAAAGAATATATACCGCCTAAAATATACAAATTTTGAACTATGAGCAATTTTTATGCACTCTTCACATTAGTTTATAACGAAATGACACCAAGGAAACCATTAACGGGATCGATCGATCGTAGTAGCCAGACGTGAATCTCATTTAGCGCTGACCCAAACAAATGCAACAAATTTATAACAATCAATCCAAACTGCCATTTCCGATAGATCAACAAAAATCGAATCCTTAGATAATACAATTTATATCGAAATTTTACGGATTACATTTTTGTGTCTGCTATATATTTAACCAGACCAGACCAATTTTGTCAACCAAAACTAATCACTTTTACTAATTACATATAGATTCAGAATATTTACACATTTCTTAGTCAAAAGTGAGAGCTCTCAACATCACACTTTGTTAAATACAACAAAAGATATACAAAAATTGGCTACGGAAACGCTGAGCTGCGGTTAATTTGTAAGTTTAAAATATTTAAGACGTACGAAGAGAAAGATGTAAAATTACTTGAATTGAAACTGCTAAGAGACATGATATATCGCTTTCAAATCTTTTTCAATAAAAATAAAATGTAAGTAGTGAGAAGTCATTTCGAATGTAGTATTTAACTCGTAAATTAAGGGGCTAGCTATGAGCTCTGATTGAGATATTTTGGGTCTGGTAGCAACCTTGTTCTGTGCCGGCATATGGCATACTTTTGGCTCTACATGAACGTAGTTATTGCCCTGAGGTGATAAGATAGCCAACGATGAGGGGACACGGGAACGGACCGATGATAAAGGCGTATCTCTGAAATCTCTGCCGTCACACCTGGAACTGGTCAGCCGCCTCGAGAAGCCAACTGATAAATAAACTTAAAGCCAGATTGATTCGCTTTTCAACCAACCTATTCAATAATCATAATTATTTTATTTGTTCGTTGCTGGTACATTTATTTAGTACTTATCGGGCCAAGGAATAAGTCGGCGAATTGCGTCATTGGAAATCATTGACCAAACTCTGCTGTTTGCATTTTGATATATGGTTTATTTTTAAACATTTTTCTCAGCCAAAGCAATCAAACAAGCACTTGAGGATACAAATTTATTAATGATGTGCACAAGCACGTTCCACGTTGTAGATGTTTCCCCCTAATTAAATTTTAACAAATTTAAAGTTATTTTAAATATTTACATTGCCACAAAATTAAATATATGCATATTTGTAGATCATAAGTAAAAAATTCTGTATATCTAAATTATTTAGAGCTAGCTGAAGTATCGGAAAAGTATTTAGTTGAAAGAAATTACAATGACGTCAAAGATCAGTGTCACATACTGATCACATCGATCCCGTGCAATTCCATTGAACGGTAATTATTGTGGTCAGTTCAGTGCATAAATGGCAATAATGACTATCCGCTAATTAAGAGCTAATTAGCTGAATGTCAGATATGTATTGTCCCATCTGATGACGGAGAAGCGAAGCCAGATAATCGCTAAAGATCTTTCGCTAAATGGAAAAATCAAAACGCATCTCTAATGAGGAAGCTCTCTGAGATTGAAAGATCGACACGGTCACGCATACAGAAAATTTGCTGGAAAATCGGTTCAGACCAGATAAACTGGTTCCTAGAAGAGAGTACACCCTTCTTGTTTGTGATGTATAATTACATTTGCTAATTTAGAGTTCAAATTTAAAGTAAGTAACGAGGCAGTTTCTTTCATAGGCAGTTGAATTCCATATAAGGATGAACATGACTTTGAAGATATCTAAAGTTTTTTAAGTATTTATTTAAATTTATTTAAATGTAGCTGCAAAATATTACATTCTATAAAGTTAAGAACTTATGTTTAATAAAAAAAACTCACCTTTTCAATTTCAGATAACTAAATTGTATCTCAAAGATAATTACCTTCACTTAGCTTGGTATACATCTCCTGTTTCCATAAGCCCCTCCCATCGGAGAACCCAATAAACTCAGTTGGAGCAATTGCGACTTACAATTGAGATGTCGGCATAATGTACTTTGGCGTTGTCAAGTGTAATTTAATCAACTTATGATTATTACAACAGTGAAGCGTAGAGATACGCAAACATAAAGCCGTATCCATTTATTTGTGCATCCATTTATCCGCAATCAGCATCAGCATCAGCATCAGTCCAAGAAGACGGAAAATTGGCAATGGCAACCCATTTCAATGGAGTTGGGGGTTCCCCATGTGGGGGTCATACAGGAGGAAATGCTCGTTTATGGGAATTAATCAACTCGAATGTGCTTGACACTTGGCAACGGTCCCTACACTGAAAAAAGACTGTAACACTGTATAAATTATTTGCAATTGAGTTAAAAATAAATGGAAAACATGAGAGTTATTGAGTTAAAATAAATCCACAATAATTTCTCACTTCAAATTTCAAAAAATATCTTGAACAAACGAAAAGTGTTTCTTTGAGTGCAGCACTGGGAGCAATAGCCCAGAAAGTTTTCCCGTTTTCCGCATGGAAATTTTCGAAACGGAGAGCAGCCGAAAAAATGATCCAACTGTTTGAGTGAGCATAGGAAGAATACAACAAAAGCGAGAGGAAAATAATGAGCATAATGAGAGAGCGTAACCTGCGAGCAGTGCGAAGTGGGCTGGAGTGGAGTGGGGTGGAGTGGAGCCAACGTACTCAACTCTCGACGCACGTCAGTGAGATGGACAGGGGGGGCGCCCAAGCGGGAAAGGCCGGATTAGTGTGCGTGCGATTTTCTTTGTGCTTTCGTTGTAATATTAACATATATATGGGCCAGGGGCGCATCCATGCTCTAGCAGGGGGCCGAATACCATTAGACTCTAAGATGATTCCTGCACTGGGAAAAACTCTGGCCCCAAGCAACTGCCTCCGAGTGTGTTGTTGTCTGGCCGCTGTCTGCACTCAATCATTTATTCTATTTGCGTAGCAAGCCACTGAGAGAGAGAGAGAGAGGCCGAGAGAAAGACAAGGTAAAGCACACACGAAACCCAGCACACTCACATATACCACCAACACTAACACTGCCACCCACAGCCCCCCCTGGCCAAGAAGCTTTTGCTTTGGCCTTTTCCCGTGTTGCTTGGCAAAGTGTCGAAAACGTTCAACAGCTGTCAGTGGCACACTGAGGGAAATGCCATCTGCAGGAGTAAACGGTAATGGGTTTCCTCATAAATCAGCTGAAATACATATCTAAAACATGGAAATTAACTGCCCTTCTGGAATTTAGAACAGTAAAAGAGTTGTAAACAATTGAATATGCGACATGTCTTTCCTTAAGAAGATTCCTTTAGTTTGCTTAATAATAAATATTTTTAATTGAAATACATTTTTTCGGTTAAAAAAGCGTTTTAAATGGTTTGGAAATTCTAATCCACTCTTTGTACTCTTTACTGCACTCTTTGGTTTGGCTCAATTAATTGAGCTAGGCTAGATAAGACTTGAAGTAGCAAAAATACTCACATAATTTGAGACACTGACCTATCTAGACTCTCTTTTAACACCTTTCGTTCCCACTCCAGTAAGCTGCTGTGCAGTATAGGCCACTAAATAATTTTAGGCTGATTTTGCGTATCTCCCTCCCTCTAGTCTTTTCTTCCAGTGCACCCCTCTTATCTTGGAGCTTTCGGTGGGAGAGTGCGACAGCGAGAGCGGCGCGTGTGCGTGTATGAGTGTTGAGTGTTGAGTGGCGAAGACCGCGTCGGCGTTGTTTTCGCTGTGCTGTGTTTGGTTAGTTGGTGATCTTTCGCTGAGAGCGCAGCAACACGCAGCAAGCTTCTCGAGTCCGCTGCCAAGGAAGAGCCCGAGTCCGAGAGTTTGCCCAAACTTCTCGTATCTCCCAATACCGTCTGTTTGTGCGCCTCCGTTCTGGCCTTTCGCGTCCAGGAATAACACCCAACTCACCTAGGAATTACAAGTTACAACCTTGCTAAACAATCCGCGTACTCGAACCGCTTTTAATTGCATAATTACAAGTTTTTCAATATACACCCAAGAGTGCTGCGAGTGCGAAAATAAAAAGAATATACTACCCGCTGCTGAATCATCGCGTATACACAGCGAGTCGTATACATAAATCAGTTTTCATAGCCTTCGCCCCGCGGCACACCGTCCACGTCATCAACGAAATATATTAACCAAATTTTCAAATCCAAAACTATAACCGTAAACAAGTGCGAAGGAAGAGCGCCAAAATGTCGAAGAATAACGGAAAAGGCGCCAAGGGTGAATTCGAATTCCCGCAGCCAGCGAAGAAGCAAACACTCGGCGAGATGATCTACAATCCACAGGAAGGAACATTTTTCGGACGGACAGGGAAGAACTGGAGTAAGTAAACATACTACTTAAACTTTTAATTAAAATTAGGGTAGATTTGGCTTTAATTGATTTTTAGTGAGTCAATAAATGGGAACAGAGGCATTAAGTGAGTTAAGTTATCATTTCTGGGAATGTCATAATAGGCTTATCTATTAAAAATTTTAAAATATTTTAATTCAAATTTAATGGCAAAATAATTAACCTAAATTTCAATTGTGAATAATAAGAAGTTCTTGCTCTTGTTCTGAAACATTTGTGTAAAGTGCTTTAATATTTCGATTTTTGATTGAAATTTTATGCCATCTTAAAAAATTCTCATTCAAACTTTTACTTTATTGGCTATTTTTATCCAACATGTGTATCCAATGTGATGTGATCCAAAAAAAAAACCCCTAGACTCTATAAAACCATAAACAAAACTCGTTTTATAGAATGACTTTTACTTAAGCTGAGATGAGTTATCCGCACTCACTTGGTACTCGCTTGCTGAGTACATAGTAACAAAAATTCTTTATTGTATATGCACACATGTTGTTCACTTGGTTATGAAAACTATAGAAGAGGGGTGTTTGTAAACACCGCTTATCAGTTGATTTGGCGAGTCATTTTGTGAGTAGCATCCAGACAGAGGCTGTTTCGGAAATCTCCATTGCGGTGACTGTGAAATGTTTAGTCAACTTCATAAAACATGATAAAAAGCGAGGAATAAGGTTCCAAGTACTACACTGGTTATGAAAAGATCAGTAACCAGTAGCAGAACATACATATTTATTTATATAATATATAGAATAAAACACACCGTGCTGTGGAATGTGTCACCCCGCTTTTTCCTCTTTACAATTTAGTTGAAACACATTACACCCTGGCTTTCCACAATTATCTAGTCTAATTACTTACAAAACTTTATAATCTAAATATATTTTTATTGCCTGCCAGTAAAAGCTTGGGCAAGATCTGGATCTGGTTAAGGCACTAACGAGCAATGTGGCAACTCTTTTAAAAGAGAGAAGAGTCTCACAATTTTTAAGTAAATATTAAAAATAATGGAATTTATGGTATTACGTTTCCAATACCTTTTTTATCTCTGTGTGTTTGTTGCCTCCTTAATTCGGTTCGCTAGCCTCAAAGCATAGGAAGCATATTTCAACGATAATGCAAATTCTTAATTTTTGAAAATGGACACGGACCCACGTCCACCGAGAAGGAAAAAGGGGGGAACGTGGAAGACTCTGGGTGATGAGCACAGAGGAGAGCGCTTTTTATCGCCTATAATATTTGCCTTCTATAATGAGGTCTGTATACAAATTCAAGGTTTTGCACAGAGAGAAAAGAGTACAATAGAGAGAGAGAGAGAGAGAGAGAGAGAGAGGAAGGTGTTTTTCACGCTCAAATGATACCGATATTTCACGGAACTGTCAATCATTAAATGCACTGCTCCCAATGCTAGAAATTCTGTTGAGTTATGTACATTTCTCTGGGTATATGGGGCACGTAAGTGGACCCCTACCCTCAGACGCTCGAATACCTTATCGGGTTTTCAATGGGGCACACTGAACACGCTGAAAAGTTCTCTTGACGTCATATGTTTGCTTTTCATTAAGTCGGCCGGGTTCTGTTCGGGTTTATCGAAATGCTCAAATTGATGTATAATTTATTTGCGAAATTAGCGTACCTATCTCTAATAACTTTTTATGTTAATACCGAATTTTTGGTCTAATTCTCAATTCGTTTGTCAGGGGAGCCAAGCCCCAAAGAACTTAACCCTCCTGTTGGCACACCTGTCACAGAGAGCAGATGGTGTGTAGCAATTTAATGAAGTATTTGTTTAATGTTCATGGCTAAAATTGTTTGGTCTGTCGTTGTCCCTAATGTCTATCATTAAACAAAGCTCGTGCTGCATGTCCTTTCGCCTCCGTCTGCTTGTTTCTCGTCAATTTTTGCCATGTGCAGTGAATTAGTTGGACAGAATTTTCCAATAGAATTTTCACCTTCAACCGACTGATTAATAATCCCGTAATGAAGGCAAGGGAACGAAAAACAGTCTTATTAATATTCCCTATTGGCTTTATAATCTCCACAGAAAATTCGATTTCAAGCTTTGGTTTTCATTAATTAACGCAATGAGAACTTGTTGTTTGGTTTTGTGATAGCTTGTTCGTATTTTCGCTGGGGATAAACCTTCTCGGTTAACCGGTTTATCGGGTTTTAGTTTATTTTTGTTTTTGGAAATGCTTTCGCTCTGTTACACATTCTGAATTGCTACATCGAATTTACCTGGTTACAGAAATTAGTATTTATGGTTTGAAATAAACTAGACAAACTAATTTCATTTTCTTTAAAGATTTTCCAGGTATAAACAAACTATCATAATGGAGGAAAAATAGAAGTAAAGTCATTTTTGAATCTTTGACATATTTGTCACTGAAAAAGTTTGACAAACATGTGACTTATTTATATATTATAAATTAAAAATGTAAGCTCTCAAAGTTTAAAATAGTTTAAGCTTTTAATTAGTTTTAAACTGACCGCAATGCATCAGGAATTTTAGCTAAATATGTTATGTGCCGTATCCAGTTTCTAATCGACCTGTAACCGGCTCAAACTGGATTTGTTCGGTTACATCTCATTTCCCCATCAATAGCCCCGCCACGCCCCCCACCAGCTGCTTACATTGACATGCTGCTAACTAATTGTCACGATAGCGACAAAGTCGGCGATAAAAAAAAACACAATTGAATTAAAGCCCAGGAAATTTGTCTAATTTGGCTAGACAGAGATTAATTTAATTACTTATCTATTTCAATTCAATGCCTGCTTGTGTCACTTTTAAGTCAAAATAAAGAAAGGAGTATTAGCAATATATTATCACTTTACTGTCACGATATTTGCGAATAATTTAATTAAATGAAATCTACATGTTAATAAACACAAGCGATATTTTTACCGAGACTTCTATCTACATATGTAAATTTATTTTCAAGTTTAAAAAGTTTAATAACCTCACTTGTGTGACTTATAATTATTATATTACTCATTGCCTTGTATAAATCCACCTTGATTAGAACTTAAAACAGCATAATATATTTAGCTTCAAGATAAAACACAATCGTATACAATATACTGTTTATAAAAACATGACCAACAAGTCTACATAAGTAATCGGTAATTTCCAATTTGCCCAAAACAAAAAACGAACATAGTAAAAAGTTTGATTCTGAAAGAGGGGGTTGGGGTTGGTAAGCCACCGCCCCTCCCAAAAATAATCAGTAAACTAAACGCTTGTTTACTGTGGGCGGGTCATTCTTACCCATCGTTAACATGTGAAATTAATTCACTTAAAATGCCGCAAAGTAGGCTATGGCTCATAGGCTCATGGCACACAGAGGACAGCTAAGATGGCCGCAGGATGAGGACAGGGTGTGCGTGTGTGTGTGTGGCAGTGTCTGGGGTGGTGACGCATTGACAAAGGGTGCGGCGAACACCAACAAATAAAGCGGCGCCACGGAGACGGACTTTGCTCTCATTCGGGACAGCTTATTGGGAACGGGAATGTGGAGCGGAAAGGGATCCACTCAATCTGCCTGAATGTGGTCCTTGGGTAATGAGGATAATGATGACAGACACCAACAAGTTGCATCCTTGGTCTCTGTTCCTAGTTTTTTCTTCCTCCTCCTTGGCTGGGACTTTCGCCTCGGTGGCGTCATAATTGTTGCTTTCTTTGAGTTCCGTTTATGAACTAGCGCCCATGTACACAACAAAAAAAAAAGGAACAGGTCCTGTAAGCATTGCGAATTCTTTTTCCCTTTGTTAGCCACCAAAGATCTTCAAATAATGTAATGTGTTTAAAATTTGTTTATTTATTTCTTTACTAGCTTTTTGTCTGGCATTTTCTAACTCGTTTAATTGTTATTTTCTAAATAAATGTCTATTAACTAGACAAGTGATTTAAGAGATTGTAAACGTCCTCTCTAGACATTACTGTTGAAAAATAATTAAAAGCCACAACAATAAAAACAAAATGCAATATAAAGATAATCTGGAGTGTCACCTTCATTACCCAAATGAGTTCCGGCTGCACATGTGCTAGTCGTTACCCGATTTCCCACAATTACTCGGCTTCCTGGCCAAATGTGCAAATTAAGGCACTTGGCGAGCAGTTTTTTAGCACTCTCCGAGCTACCCCACCAGGATCCTGGCCATATGTGCGTCCAGCACGTAACTAAATTATTAACTTTTGTCGGCCTTGGTGGGTCCACTTGGGTGACGACCAGTGCCGCTGCTAGAACAGAGCGAGGCTATCAATCCTTGGTCATGCAAACTTAGCGTTTTGGGTTGGGTTTCCTGCTGGCAAGGATGGGGATGGGGCCATTGGAGAGGGAGTGGCGCTTTTTATATGGGTCACGGGCCCTTTAAGTTTGTTTACCGCACCAACAGACGGAAGGACAAGAGGACGGCAGGACGAAGCCGGGATTGTTGAGTGTTATTATTAAAACTTGGTCACTGAGTTGCACCGCTCCACGACTGGTTGCACAACTGACCGGGTGTGGGTGGCAGGTCATATAAATAAAGTTTTCTCCATGAGTCGCAGTTTCTGTTATGCATAAACTTGATACTTCCTGCCGACATCTTGTTTGACTTTTATATAAGTATTGGATAAGTCCTTACTGATGGCCACACGGCTCCTTCCAGAACTTTCACTATTGAATAAAACCCGCATAATGGTTTCCCTCATTTCAGCTGGGCATCTCTCTACAGGCTTAAGTATACTCATTTTGTTTTATTCTCTAGTTTATTTTTGGTCTTCTCGCGAAGAACAAACCGGAGAGGTATGAAAAAAGTGCCAAAATTAATCACAAATGTATTGGAAATATATAAACAAATAGTTTTCGGAAAGTGGAAATTTCTTATTTCTTATTTACTTCCTATATGTTTTGGAGGAATAATGAATTTCAAACTGGACAATTGATTTATATTTAGTGGGCCATGGAAAAAATAAAAAAATTATTTATTCGCTGTAAAGTTTTTACTATAACTCTCCGAACAGTAATAAAATGTATACATTAGGTATACTAGTATACTAGGGAAAACTATATTTTTACGACCTTGCTACTAATGCATCACCCGCTGAGACAGTGGCAACTAATTCTAGCCAGCTGATGTGATAACTATTTTCAGAACTTGAAGTGTATATAGTTGGGATATACGAGGAATTGACACATATGCAAGTCGTTAGCATATACACGAGTTGCCATTGAACTGGAGTAGACTTATCGATTTCGGTGGGAAAGGCAATGGCGGTCCCCTCCTTGGGCGAAGACATAAGAATGTTTTGGGGACTCTGCCGTCATATAAACGCAAGCATGTCGACCAGAATTCATTATACATCGGATATTGGTAACAAACGCCGCAGGCAGTCGCGTCGTCCCACCTTGATGGGTCTGGGTTTTGGTGTGGAAGTGGAATTGGAATTGGCCTGCCGGGGTAGTTGCTGCTCGACGGACGTCTATCAGGCTGGCTGGCGTCATACTGCCAGGCCAATAGTCTGCCCCCGGTGTGTGTCTGGCTGCTTCTGGTCATTGCTAAACTTATTTCCTTGTACTTGAACGCAATTATTTCCATTCGGACATGGCAACAGGGGCAGAGCCATTTGTCGGGGCTCTGCAACTTTGATGAGCTCCTGAAAATTGAAATATGGAAAAGTCGTTACCAACCGACTGCCAAGGCCATCGATTACCAATTGATAGCTCGTGTCGTAGAATATCGAAGCGATAAAGAGCACCCCCTATTTGCTACTGACCCCATAAATTTGTGATAAAATTGAAAATGAATCACAGTAGCACATTGGCTTTTTCTAAGGGATGTCTGCAATGTGTTAAATTTTAGTTTTCATTCAAAATAAATACATTTTTAAACGATATTTGACCGACTGTTGAACTGAACAAGAGGAGGATCCTGCAACCCTTGGTGTGTGAAATTTAAATGAGGAGCTTAGAAATTTATGTGGCTTAAGAAGCGATGGGGCCAGAGGTGTTCAAACAGGTCAATACCAGTCCCGATTAATTTCCTCTTGCCTTTGTCCCCTACTGTACACTAGAACCCCATGCATTGTATTCGATATTCATTCATACGATTAATTTGTTTGGGAATTTGAGCTCCAATGGACAACAGTCGCCTCGGTCGCTGTCAATTTGGAATAGTCGATGTTGTCGTTTATTTATGCAATAGCTCTGGGCTTGGCCGAGTCCGGTGGCCAGTGTCCGGTGGCTGATGTCCGGTGTATAGCGTCCCGCGCTCGGTGTCCGGTGTCCAAAGCGAAAGTAACAAACAGCCGACAGAACACTGCGCATCCACTGAATTCTAGCTGAGTCGTCAATGTTAATGACATTGAAATATACACAAAAACGCCGGTCCCCCGTTCAAGTCTCTGGCTCTCTGTTTGTTGTCTCTGGCCTTATTTACTGCATTTGTCGTAAGCGTTCGATTAGCTGCGTGCTCGTTAGGATTGCATAAGACCCGGCCCCGTATTCATCAACCCCTTATTCATGCCCAGATCCCCCATTTATTCAGTTCCGCAATGAAACACAGTATTGTAAAAGACAATTAAATCGTTTGCAGGTAGGATACAACAGATAGGCAATGGGGTTAGTTTAAACTATTTAATAATGAAAGTGCCTAAACCATGTTTAAATTTCTTCGAATATTAATTAAATTTGTTTCTTCCATTCCAGGTCAGCTGCTGATGTTCTATTCCATCTTCTATATCGTGCTGGCCGCCCTCTTCACCATCTGCATGCAAGGACTCCTGTCCACCATCAATGATAGGGAACCAAAGTGGAAGCTGCACGAGTCGCTGATTGGCACCAATCCCGGCCTGGGTTTCCGTCCATTGAGCGAACAGACGGAACGCGGATCGGTGATTGAGTTCAACGGCAAGAAGCCAGCCGAGAGTGACTACTGGATCGAGTTGATCGATGACTTCCTCCGAGGTAAGCGTATCCAGCAATAATCTATAGAAGTTTACTTATTCTTAATATTTTTTACTCCCGGCAGACTACAACCACACCGAGGGTCGGGAGATGAAGCACTGCAACTATGGTCAGACCCACGAGCCCAGCGAGGTCTGTGTGTTCAACACGGATCTGTTTGGTGACTGCTCTAGGGCCAACAACTACGGCTACAAGGCGAACCAGCCCTGTATATTCCTCAAGCTGAACAAGATCTTCAGCTGGACACCAGAGGTATTTGATGCGCCAGAGAAAGATATGCCTGAAGATCTTAAGAAGGTGATCAATGGAACGGCAATGGAGGAGGTAAGGAGCACTTTAATATATTTTCCTGAGTGGGATAATAATTATCTATTTTCAATTTCAGCGCAAACAAATCTGGGTGAGCTGCAACGGACACTTGAGCAAGGACAAGGAGCTCTTCCAGAACATTAAGTACTTCCCCAGCCAGGGATTCCCGGCCTACTACTACCCGTTCCTGAACCAGCCCGGCTATCTCAGTCCCCTGGTCGCCGTGCAGTTCATTTCGCCGCCCAAGGGCCAAATGCTGGACGTTGAGTGCCGTGCCTGGGCCAAGAACATCATCTACAGTGGCAGTGCCCGCGATCGCAAGGGGTCCGTGACCTTCCAGATCATCGTGAACTAAGCCCGAGGAACCGGGGCTCAAACTTGTGATCGCAACAACTAGCCGTATGCAGAGCGAAGATATGGCAACCGCGTCGGAGATCAACTACCATCTACCTAATTAAAAGAGATATATACACACGCATATATAGTTATATATGGAACGAGATAGCGACCTTAGGTTTTCAAGTGTATTGTATATATTTATAAGAGGAGAATCATTCGAACGTCAATTTGAACTCTGAACATCTGGCCCAATAATAAAACAAAAAAACAAAACTAAAATATAAAGTTCAAACCGTACATCCGCAATTGTTGTTATAGCTTCTGGCTTGTCTATTTGCTATTAGTTATTAATATTTATCATATTATTTCATTACGAGTCCTTGTAATTGCGATCATTATTCTCCGTCACTTGTGTATTTAGTTTGTATTTATAAATGTTATAGCATGCCAGCCAATTCTTTGTTTACTATAAAAAGCCTAGCTCGTTTAATTTTTACAGAGTATTTAAATAAATTTCATTGTTAAACCTATGAAAATCTCGGATAATGTAACATTTTGACCAAAGTCGCGCGTCGATTATGATCATGTTTTTTCGAACAGGAAAGTATTCAGAACCTCGATTTAGTGCAATTCTACATCCAGCCACAAAGGAATTCCAGCCATGTTCAAGCGATTAACAAACTACGCAAGTTTTTGTTTCTTTTTAAATGCAAATAAAATGAAGTTAAGCGAATTATGTTTTTGTGTTGCAAACAAATTAATAAATAAAAAAGATCATAAGTATTTGGGGAACTATTTCTTTGTTCTTTTCTCCAATTCCCCTGATACCACAGTCTATTATTCGACCAATAATATGTATGTATGATATATATGACGCAAAAGTCAATATATAAATCCATATTTAAAAACTACGTTATAAATAGATTTGTAACATTGAATCAAGATATGAAGGCAAATAATTATATAACATTTCTCCGACATATTTCTATAAACCTATAATTCAAAGATTTTTAAAATTTAGATTTGCTTACATCTACGGTATTTTTTGTTAATGTTATAAAATTCAATAAGACTTTTATTCTTGATAAAGGTCAGCTTGAATGGATTGATTGATTTTATATAAAATAGAAAAATGTTTTTTATATAATTTAAAATACATATTTTTGAATCTAAATAAGGGTTTGGCGATCCCTATTTCTCGATTTGGTAAATATCTTTGTCCGACTACACATACACTGTAAACAAATATTGGTTATTTTGTTTATTAAAAAAAAAAAAACAAGAAAGGAAGCTAACTTCGGCACGCCGAAGTTTATATACCCTTGAAGATAGAACTTCGATGACTAGGAATCCATACAATATAAAATATATATATTAATATTAAAAAAACAATGAAGTAATACCTGCTTTCATTTCATTCACCTCTACATATTATATTTTCAGTTTTACATTCACAGATTTGCATTTTTGTTTCACATTTAACGATCGTTTGTATGGCACCTATGTGATATAGTCGTCCGATTTTCTTGAAATTTGACACAACATTTAAGACTGATATAAAATGGCTATATCTCAAATTTAATGAAAATCTGCTAAAATATGAAAACGTTATAATTTTTAATTGTATTCATTTTTTGATCGTTCCTATGGCAGCTATTTGATATAGTAGTCCGTTCTTTTTTATAACTTTACACACTGGCGCTTGCCAGTCTTCCGACAACAGCCACCGCCATTCTCATTCCTCTCAAATTTCTCGATCGTTCCTATAGGAGCTATATGATATATTAGTCCGATTTTCATAAAATTTTACACAAAATTGTAGAATAATATGAAATTTGATGAAAATCTGTGGAAAACTGAAAATGTTATACTTTTTAATTGAATTAATTTCACAATCGTTCCTATGGGAGCTATTTTTATAAAATTTTACACAAAATTTTAGAATAATATGAAATGGCTATATCTCAAATTTGATCAAATTCTGTTGAAAACTAAAAATGTTATAATTTTTTTTTTTAATTTTCCGATCATTCCCATGGCAGCTATATGATATAGTCGTCCGATCCGGCCCGTTCCGACATATATACGAGTGAGAGTATATATGTTAGAAGACTAACTGCAAAGTTTCATTCAGATTGCTTCAAAATTGAGAGACTAGTTTGCGTAGAAACGGACAGACGGACAGACGGACATGGCTAGATTGACTCGGCTGTTGATCCTGATCAAGAATATATATACTTTATATAATCGGAGGTGCCTCCTTCACTGCGTTGCAAACTTCTGACTGAAATTATAATACCCTGCAAGGGTATAAATAAGATTATGCCTTGGTGTTGAGCACTGATCTAAATTAAAGCATACTTTTGATTGTTTTTCTTTTCGTGGGCATAGCAAAGTTCACATCCAAATTGAATATAAGTATATGCAGTATGATAAAAGGTCGTTAATCCCTCAAGTACCCGTCACTAGTCACTATTAAAGTTCTACAAAAGAACCTGAAGAGCATCGATAGAACTCAGGTGAGATATTTTTCTAGCCCATTTAATACTCATAACACATAATTATTAAGTGACAAATTTATTTATTAATTAAGATGTATTAAACCATAGCGAAATATTATATTTTACATTACAAACATATGATATATTGCATTTTATTGATTTTTATTCGTAACAACTTGAAACTGCGATATTTTAGCTACTTGCATTGCATAATTTTGGTACTCATAGGTATTTAGGTCTATATAAAGTAATCACAAAATATTATTATCACAATTTATAGATACATGTACATGTCAGTTTTTGCTTAGACGCCTCCAATTTTCTCAGTGAAGAAAATGGTTCTCTTGTAGCGAGCTTTGCTCCGAGATCTTAAAGACTCTTCTTTGAAATTATAAAGCGAATAAACCAATGGAGATATGTTTTCTGTATAATTTTGTTTTCAATTAAATATTTTGTTTAAATGGTTTCCCAGTTCTAAATACTAATGATCTTTTGAATTCCCCTACAAGATAAAAATTAATACAACTAATAGATACAGTTGAACTAGTCTTCTTAAATGATTTGGAATCAATGGCAACCAATAGATCAATTTCACAAAGTTCTAGTGTTTCGCAATTTGAATCAAAGCCGGCTACAAGAATACCAACCAACTTCGTAACTATCTTTACTGTTACAACAACATGAGTAAAAACTTCAGAGTTCAGATAAAACTTCATTGATCTGCTAATTTAAGTTTAGATTAGCTTGGAATTTGTCGGCTGACTTAAGACATAAGTTTAGGTTTATTTGAGACGAAGATTGAAACACGGTTTTGTTAGGTACTTTCACAATTGTTACTGCTGCTGTCGAAGTGGTAAATAAATGATTAATGAAATAAATGTTATAAGAAATCGGAGCTTACGGATCACCTCAGGCGTGTCGGGCTCCCCAAAGTTGCGTCTCGTGATACATTCGATAGATATTGTCTCTGATTAATTTGGCTTTGTCTGAGATCATTGAGGAATTACAAAAATTAATTAGTTAATTTCAAGCAGCCATCAGTGAGTAGTCAATCCTTACCTTTGGATAGGTTAAGAGCCACCACGTTCTTCTTCAGGAAATCGAGGCACAGTTCCTGAGAAGTCCCAAGAGAGTGCATGTTACACGTCAAGGCACTGAAAAATATCAAAATAAATCAAATATTCCATTCAGGAAGAGTTGCTTTCTTACCCAAGTTGCCGAAATGCAATGTCCTCTGGCTCCCTGATCGATTGGGGTTGACCCACGCTGGCCTTGCTCTGCTTCCTGCTAGCCTGAACGGAACCCGCACTTGCCGGCTGAATGGCCTGGTGCGAAGAGCTTGATGAAGAGTCACCGCCACCTGGCTTTCGCGGTGACTTTAAAGGAGGAGCCGCCTCCACTGCTCCGGCTGCCGCTTGTCGTTGCTGCTGTTTCTGCTGCCGGCGTTGCTGGCGCCTCAGCTGACTCCGTCCACGGTGCTCCCGCTCCGCCTGAAGAGCGTCGTGGAAGATGGCGTTCCAGAAGCGCGGCTGTTGCCAGATGGGCTGCTGGCGCAGGGAGGTGAACAGGTACTCTCGGTAAGGGTCACATCCTGGTACCTCCACCTCGTGGTAGAAGAGAAAGCAGAGGTTCATGAGCACAGCCGCCGGAGCATAGTCCTCACACTCGCTGCACTCGAACAGAGCCAGGGCGAAATACTGAGCCAGTCCGCCGAAGGTGACCGAGTCGAGCCGCTTGGACTTGTGCCGCTGCTCGGTTAGGAAGCGCGTAAACCACAGCCGGCCAATCTCTAGCCTGAGCAACACCCCAAACTCCGACTTCAGCTCCAGATCGACGGCTCCCGGCGATCCGCCAAAGATCATGGCGGTGAAGTGTTTCATAAACTCCTTGACAGGCTCCTCTCCTGCTCGGCAGTCCAGGCTGATGGATGAGGCCCACGATGGTACCGAGTTCTGCGACTCAGAGCGGATGAAGTGCCGCCAGTCGGTGGACTCCATACTTGGACTGGCCAGCAGTTGGTCCGGCTCATCCCTGAGGCTGGTCAGCGTGCTACTATTGGAGGTGCGACTACGGGGTGGCAGTCGCATAGAGTTACTCCCACCAGCCCACTGTTGACGCCCTCCTGAAGCTGCTCCTCCTGCTCCCATCCCTTCCGTAGGAGGCTGTACGTCAATGTGTGGCGGCGGGGCCTCGACAAGCTCCCCAATCCTCTGCATGTCCTTCTGCATATCCATCTCACTGCGCCGGGCTCCAGCTATGGCTCTGGCCCGCTCATATCCTCCAGAGTGGCGCGACTCTATAGAATCGGAGCGCGTGGTGCTGCTCACGTCGTGGGAGCGAACTGCCAGGTTCTCGGGCAAGGACATGGAGCTGCTATCGTCACTACTGCTGCCGCCAGAACTGCTGGAGGAGGAGCTCGAGCGCTGTGGGCCACTTAACTTGGTGGCCGCATGCCTGCCCCGTGACGGTTCCAGACGGGGACCTAAAAGGTATCACTTTCATTAGTTTAAATTCTTTGGGGACATGTGCTTTTAAAGACTTACGCGGCGCTAAATTTGGCTGCCGATATCGTCCGGAGATGATCTCTTCGTGTGCTCGTCGAGCCTTCACACGCCGTCCTTCGAAGTCAATCTTGGTGTAGTCAATACTCTCGTCAACTGTAAGGGGAATCAGTTGCATTAACCTACTTCTATAGCTGCGATATCAGGAATACTTACACTTGGGCACATCTTCATCGTCATCACAGTAGTCCGAGTCGCTGCTGCTGCTGCTCAGAGTCAGCTGCAAGCACAAGAAGATGAGATTATAATTTATAAGGAACTTGATATCCTGTTTGTCAATAAATCCCATGTCTGTAAGTCTCTAAGGATAATCTCATTGATAGCTGTCGATTGTTGCCAGTTTTCACTCATTTCAACTGGCGTCTATGTAATTAATTTCCATCAAGGACGAGGCTGCGGCGCCCAGAGCAAGATAAAGTCAAGTACAAAGGAAGCAGTGGAGAATGCGCCACCCAATTTCAATTCCAGCCCGAGCACAACGCAGATTGGGGCCTCAAAGTGAAGGTCAAACGAGTGCAGCGCCAAAGCGGAAATGGCAAGAACAAACAGCCCAACAAAGCTATCAAATTGTCAGTCGCTTTGCAACATAGACCCAGACCCGACACGACCCACACACATAGATCTCCCAGCCCAGCCCAGTCCAGCCTAGAGTCACCCCCAATCACCTCTTGGCGCGTTCATTACCAAGGCTAACCCAGCTCGGTTCTAGAGGTGTGCGTGAGTCGTGTCAAAGTTTGTGATAAAAACGATATTTTTAGAGACATTAGCATGGGAATGTAAATAAAATATTTTAATCAAAAAAAGATACTGATAGTGAAAGATACTGATCATCCTGATCCTGTGACCATTAAGCATCACGATAAGTTTGGTATCAAAAATCTTTGCTTGCCTACTTTTCATTTCAAAAATCTCTCCGCAATTCAATTCAAATGATCTAAATTAAAATATTTATAATAAATTATAGATATTTTTTGTTTAATTTAATTTTATTATTAATGCCCATGAAATTAACTGTTCGTGAGTCACGATGTCTGCTCCAATTTCTCTTACCTTATTTGATATGCCGTTGAGCAGCTCATTGCTATTGCCCAGCACAGTGAGGAACTTGGACTTGAGGGCCCCGATGCTGGGTGTCCGCTCCATGAATAGCTTGATCTTGGACCGCTCCCCGGCAAAGCCAGCCGGCGGTGTGCCCGGCACCGCTCCTGGAGCGGCTGCCTGCGGCTTGGCGTCCACCATGGCAGTGCTGCTCTTTCCCCCCTGTGATGCCTAAGTGATTTATCTGTATCTTTGTATCTGTTTCTTTGAACTCGATGCAATTTTGAGTGGCTTCAGTTGGCGGCTAATAAGTGTGCAACGGCTGATGCTTCAGCTGCGGATTCTGGTATCGATTTTTCATACGTTTGCATGACATGCACATTGGGTGAAGGTGAACTTCGCACTCAGCAGCAGCAGCCGCAGCAGCAGCATTTTTGGCGCATTTCAGGGACACCACCTTGAGCCTTATTCTTAGTAACCTTCTGAACGCACAGTTTTTGCTTAAATATTCGATGGATTTTATTTGGTTGGGGTTAATTAGTCAACCGTAAATTTATGCAATTTTCTTGTACTCGAAATTTATTTTCTGCAACACTTAGCCTTGGGCAAGGATATACTGCAGTTCAACTTGCCAGGATACTTTAGGATCCGTGATTCATGAGCCGTTTAATTAGTATTACGCAAAGTGAGGCCCGGAAAATTGGTAAAACATAAAGGCACTTCTTTAGCGTTTAGTATTTTGCATCTACTTGTCGAGGACTCAAGGGGCTTACTACTTTTTCGGGACACACACACACACTGGAGTCACGCACACGCCCCTTTTGTACACGCAATATTGTGGATGCGGGGCTGGCGGTAAGTGATTTCCCTTCGGCTTTCCACACGCGTCCATTGCCCGAAAGGAACGTTGCACGAGTGCAGCCGGAAAATGCTAGCCGACATGGCCTGAACTTCCACTTAATATTTGCTGGGGCTTTTCCGAGCAGCTGTTATCGATTGTGCCGTAATTTACATGGCGCCGTGTAGTTTTCCCCCACGGAAAGCTGCACATCCGCCATCTTTTCTACACGAGAAGCTCTCCAATAAAAGCTTGCCGGTGGCAGCGGGAGAGAGCCGGCATCTCGAATTGTTTACGCCCAGCTGGCGAACAGCTGATCCAGCCGAAGCCACCTCTCGGCTTGCGTCAATGGGGCGGCATCAGCTGCGGAGGTAACAGTACCACCCAGCCAAGGTCAAAGGGTGGGCCGTGTGCGGTACTCGGAAAATGATGGCCTGGGGCCTGCGGCCACAGATGTGCGTGTCTGCAATTATCGAACTTTGACTCTGTCGCAGCCAATTTATTATGCATTGTATTTATTTTTAGACCAAGCCAGCGGCTCCCAAACGGACCCCTCGCGAACCCACCGCAGGCGGTCCTTAATTCCATAATTCCCATCATAACGAACCCATCTCGAACTCATTTCAGTCCAAATGGCAATTTGATTTGCACCTCAGAACAGGCAGCAGGTGGCATGTGCCGATATTTTTATCGTTGTTTGCCATTTGTCTGAACTGGGACTTATGGATGCCGTTTTTTATTGGCTGAGTATGATACTAGCAAGCAGGAGATCCCCATGGCCATTGTTTGGTATAAATCATTATTAAAGCAGGGGTCTGCCCCCAATGAAAGTTTCAGGGTTTTCTTAGAGACTGGACTGCATGAATCATCAATTAAGAATCGAACTGACATAATTATATATATTGTACTTTCGGGAGTTTTACAATGCCTGTAGGTTACTCTAGATTTCTGAAGTATACAAAGTTTATAACACAATTTTCATTCAAGAAAACCAGTCAAAAAGCAGGAAATCTTTTCAGCACAGCATTTAGTGATAAATTATGCACATCTCGCCAAAATGTTTAACAACAAAACAAAGACGAGGGAGGAGAATTTTCGAAAAAAAAAATTGATGTTATTCACAAGCGCGACAGCGTCTCGAAGCCAAAATGTTCTATGCGGCTCGGAAACGATGTATTTATAAAATAACGCGAAAATACTGAAAATAGATAAGAGAAGACACGCGGCGGTGACTGAAGAAAATTGAGGGGAAAAGCCAGACAATATGAGAAATAGAGAATTGAGATCTGCGTTGACTTCTTCCTACTCGAGCGACGACCGGGGACCGACGATTGCAGTAAAAATGCTGTTTAGCATCCGATTGAGATTTCAGTTTGCTGGGAGACGATCGCCGAACGAGACCGCAGCAGAACTTTCATGTCGCCCTCTGGTTAGACATTAGAAAAAATATATATCCCTATATATATATATATATATATATTCATGTGCTACCAGCTGGCAGTGGCAGTTTTGAGTGCGGCGCGACGCGTCAAGTGAAATCGAATTATGTAAGTGACCTCTGTGTTCGGTGAACCCTTTTTCCGGCTCAATCCCATCTACCCACAGAGTTCAATGGCAAATGGGAACGCTGCAGGCAATTAAATCGATTTAAGTGAAAAATTGTGCTAAATATAAAGTGGCTAAATTTAAACACAGAAAGTGCTCCATGGGAAAGTTCAAGGCATTGCGCACAGTTTCAGCAATCAATAAAAACCCAATCAAAGTATACAATCAAATGCAAATTTTTGATATTTTTTTGAATGTTAATTCGACGAGTTTCAATAATGAAAAATGGTGCATAAAATAAACGCAAATATAGGCAAGCCAAAGAAATGTTTAAAAATAGTTCCCAACGTTCTCCCATAAAAATAAAAACTTTTCTCTGGCAATGTGTGAGTGCGTGTGTGATCCGTTCGCTTCGGTGGCTGCCTCCCAGGGCAGCTGTCGCCTGAAGACGCCGGGCGATGGCGAAGGCGAAGGCGGATTCGGATTCGGATGAGGTGGGATAGGCTGGGACGGGCCCATCCCCATGCTCGTCCGACCACTGCAGGCGGTTTTCATAAATATTTGCTGTGCAGTGCGACACATTTTCACCGAACATACTTGCTATGGATAAGCAGCGGAAGGTTTCTAAAAAAGTGCGAGAGGCAATGGGAGTGCAGCCCAAAGTGAACACGTTGCGTATACGCAATGTGCGCGAGTAAAACAAAAATAAGACTTGCTTTCGAACTGTGTTGAGTAAGGCCTCTCCGCTACACATTTGTGTGTAACATTTTTATAGAGCGCCATGCACATAATTAGTGCATAAAAGATTTAAGTATTGTCTGGACGGAATTTTTAAAGCATTTTTATGTTCTGGGTATTTGTAGAATATAGGTCATTTTGGTATTTTCGTGAGTTTCGTGCTTATATCTTGATTTCAATAGTCAGTTCAAATAAGTCTTATTGATTTCTTGACTCTGTTTTATCAATTGTTAATGTATAGTGAATTTTTATATGCCCATCTAAGATGAAATGAATTTCATATAAGGCAGATTATATTAATATAAAAAACTATTTTGAGTCATATAAAAACATATACAAAAATGTAAATTTAAACCTGAACGTCGGAAGTCGAATACTAATGTTATAACAATAAAACACGGCTACAGTTACTCGAGTTACAAAAAAGGAATGTAATATTGCTGCGATAAATGTTGACCAACATTTTTCAGTATCTATTTTTCTTCGGTCTTTAAAGGACCTTGTAAACAAATTATTAAAAGTATCGCTTTCTTTGAGTTAACGGAGAATATTTGAAACTATTTCTATAACAGCAAAAAGATTGGGTGATTCTGTCAGACTCGTTCATAGATATGTATGTATATTCTATATAAAATAAACTAATAACAGACGTTGTCGGACAGACTGAACTGGTACTGCAGGAAGTACAACTAACTACCTTTTCTTGAATACCCTTGCAGAGTATTATAATTTTAGTCAGAAGCCGGTAACGCAGTGAAGGAGTTATTTTGCACCCTATAAACCATATATATTATTGATTAGAATTAACAGCCGAGTTGATCTAGCTATGTCCGACAAAAATTTAATTTTTTCAAAATTTTCAAAATTTCATAAATTTCATCGTTAAAATTGTCAAAATTTGACAAAAAATGTAATATGTTAGAATTCAAAACAAAGTATACAGATGTATTATCCTAATAACAAGAAAGGAAGCTAACTTCGGCACGCCGAACTTTACATACCCTTGCAGATAGAACTTCTATGAATAGGAATCCATACAATATTAATTATATATATTTGTGTTAAAAAACAATGAAGTAATACCTGCTTTCATTTCATTCACCTATACATATTATATTTGCAGTTTTACAGTCACAGATTTGCATTTTTCCTCTACATCAAACGATCGTTTGTATGGCACCTATATGATACAGTCGTCCGATTTTCATGAAATTTGCCACAATATTTAAGACTTATATAAAATGGCTATACCTCAAATTTGATGAAAATCAGCTGAAAACTGAAAAAGTTATAAATTTAATTGTATTAATTTCTCGATCGTTCATATGGGAGCTATATGATATAGTATGATATATTCTATTGAAAACTGAAAAAGTTAAAATTTTTTTTGTAAAAATTTTCCGATCATTCCTATGGAAGCTATACGATATAGTCGTCCGATCCGCCCCGTTCCGACATATATACGAGTGAGAGTATATAGAAGGCTAACTACAAAGTTTCATTCAGATAGCTTCAAAACTGAGAGACTAGTTTGCGTAGAAACGGACAGACGGACAGACGGACAGAAGGACAGACGGACAGACGGACAGACGGACATGGCTAGATCGACTCGGCTGTTGATCCTGATCAAGAATATATATACTTTATATAGTCGGAGGTGCCTCCTTCACTGCTTTGCAAACTTCTGACTGAAATTATAATACCCTGCAAGGGTATAAAAACTAGCATAGGAAAGCTTTCCGAATTAAAATTACTCAATTTTTGCCCTAGCTATGAGTTTTTTAAATTTTGAACTGTAAAAAAAATGTGATATATAATTTTAGGATTAGTTATGATCAATATAGCTTTATATGTTTATATGTACTTCTTCTTTTTCCATACCTTTTTTTACAATAATTCCTCCTTCTCCTACTAGGGAAATTTAACATTAAACGGTTATTACTTTTATGTATAACCACCTGCGTCAACTTTAACTTAGATACAAACGAAAAATTCTCTCAATTCTCTCTCATATATTTTATCTTTTATTTCATTTGCTTACATTTTCTCGATTCAATTATTATTATTTCTTTATTCGCCTCGCTTATATTTGCAAAAAATTTACAACACAAAATATTAAAATAGAATTCGTTTCTCTTCAATTTGAAAAATAGTTCTCTGTTCAGTCTCTTTCTGATTTCATTCTCTTCCCAATTTTCTCTGCCATTTTTCCCCCGGTTGCGCAGCCACTTAGCCACGTTGACAGCCAAGTGAATCACTAAACAGCGTTTCCCTCTTTCGCATTTTCATAAATAAACAAGCCCGCCGATTGTATGCCAAAAAATATTTTGTATTTATTCTATGCACAGAGAGATATGTAGTTTAGCCTAAATTTAGCGGGTTTATTCGCGACCTAACTCTGGCTGCGTTTGGTTTTGTGAACAGCTTCCCCGAAATTGCATTTGGCGAGCACCTTCCTTCTGGGACTTCCTTGCCTCCGAAATTTGGGTGAGCCGGCTAAAAATATTCATATATATCATATGCATTGCATTTTTTTACAGCTTAATTGCATTTGAAGTTGTTTGAATCATAAAGAAAAAATTCGGAAATGGGACAAAGTTTTATTATTTTTGATTGTATGATGATGATTGTATATTATATTATTTCCTGCCCAAATTAGATCAATTAAGAAACCAATCAAGCAAAGCGAGATATCAACGAGCCGGCAGCTTCCCGAGGAGCAAAACGACAGAAGATGACGACACCACATTTGCTCAACAGGAATGTCCGATCTATGCCCTCCTGGGTGGTAAGTGCCAGGAAGCATCCTTTCCTTCAGATATCGCATCAATTGTCCTTCTCCATAGACCGAGGCAAATGACCGCATTGGACCTAAGCCACCACCCACTCCTCCCAATGGAGTGGGTGGCGGCTTGCCCAAGGCCCCCGCCCTACCGCCTAAGGCGAAGAGCACCCCTGAACCAGACTACGAGGTCATAGAGTTCTCCAATCAGCAGCAGTACTCCAACGAACCCCTGAAGACCACAGTGATCCGGACTAAGACGCCAGGTGAATATAAGATTTAGATTGGTATAAATATAAACAAATTTATCTTCCCAATTTATCTTGCTTCAATTCCAATTCCATCCTTAGACAACAAACTGAAGTGCACATTGTGCGGTTCCCAGAATCCCTGGGTGACTTGCTCCGAGTGCGCCGGCCAGATCTTTTGTGCCTCCTGCGATGACATGTTCCACAAGCATCCCAAGCGCAAGCAACACATGCGAAAGGTGGGATTATCCTGGCATTGGACGTAGTCCAGAATTAATTATATTTATTCATTGCAGGCCGTGGAGCAAGGCACACCACCCATTCCCCCGAAGATTTCAGCTGGTGGTGGGGCACCGCCTCCGGTGGCGCCACCGCGTCGCAGCAAACGCGGCCTGCTGACACCCTTCTTGGGCCGCAAGGATCAGGTACGCCACTGCACGATCTCCTAGACCCGTAAGCCAGGCTACTCGTAGTACCAAGTTTGTAATCATCAATTTGAATGCTTTAATAAAACCGTCCTTAAAACCACAACTCACGTCCCAAAGTCGAACCGAAAAACCGAACATTTTAATTTGAATTTGAATTCGCATACTTTTTTGTCGAAAGAGAAACAGAAAAAGAAAAAGAAACCGAAATGGCTCCCAACCCAACTCTCTTCCAGATGCTGCCGCCGCCCTCACCGACGCCCTCCCACAAGTCGCTCGGCGGCTGGCGAGGATCGCTCGGTGGCGGGGCCACCACGCCCCCCGTGCCAGTCACATCCGCATCCTCATCGTCCTCGGCCCAGATGAACAACAGACCGCTCCCAGAGCCACCGCGCAGCGAGGGTGGTGGTTCCTCCAGATCGGGAACGCCCAAGTCCGTGTTCGACACCATCCAGAGGCCGCCTTCGGTGCAGCTTGAGAAGATCAAGAGTAAGGCCAGCGCCACACTGGATCGCATGGCCATCCTGCAGCAAAGATACCGCCAACAGAAGGCCCGACAGGATCTCAGTGCCAACAGCGAACAGGTAAGTAGTTATTGTTTCCTATAAATCAACCTGTTCATTGTTCAGTCTATCGTTATTTTATTGTCACTGCACAGCATAAAAACAAGAAGTATATAATAAGGATTTGATATAACTTAAATTATACTATTTTAATTAAATTGAATTATGAAGAAACAAGAGTTGGTATGTTTTATAGACATATTTTAAGATGTCTTGAAGTCCTTGTTAAACGAAACTGTTAGCTTATTTTATCCTTGTTTTTCCCAAAGTTCTATATTGGAAACCGTAATTAGTATACTTTCCGTATATATTTCCATAGGATTTTAGGAATATCAGCTTTAAATTAATATTAAAATTCTAAAGAATATTGAAAATTTTAAAATATTAAATTTGGGGGAATTAATACAAACCGTTAAGAATATATTCTATGAAGTCAAGAAGCACCAATATTTCACTTTGATTCTACATATATACAAAATATTAACATATATATTAAATTCTTCTATCAAATATAGAATTATTATTAAGGAAACAAGGACTTCCAGACCCATTTAAATTTTAACTTTAATCCAAGTTGATGCTGTGTATTCTGTATCGTCTCTGTTTCGTATCGTCTCGTCTCGTCACATCTCGTTCTCCCTCTCCTCTCTTTCTCTGTTTCTCGTTGGCCATTCCCCCACCGCAGCATCTGAATGGAGCCGGGTTCGAGCACTGGTCAAACATTTCACCATCGCCCTCGCATTTTCGTTCCGGCAGCATGTCATCTGGTTTGAACTCATCCCATTTCGATCTCTCGGATGACTCACACAACTTTCACAATTCCCTGCTGCTCCAACAACGACAGGCAGCCGGCGCCCAGCGGCGACAGATGAGCACCTCGGTGTTCAACCTGAACACACCACAACGTCGTCCCCTGGCGGAGGCACAGAATGGAAGTGCCTGGCTGGCCAATCAGCGCATTCAACAGGTGAGTTGATAGCCTCCGCAAGGAAGAATCAGATATGTACGAAGTCGTATTACTCCTCCTCTGCAGGCCCAATCTTTGGCACAGCTCAATTGCGCCGGCTGTCAGCAGAGCCAGCAGCATCCTGGCTGGCCGCAGCATCCGCATCACCATGCCCAGCACCAGCATCCCGACGAATGGTCCCAGTTCGGATCCCAGCAGCAGTTTAACAACTCCAATCTGTCCCTTAATCTGGGACCTGGTTACTTGCCACAGCAGCATCATCCCCACTACCCGCCGCCAGTGTTCATGACCCAGCGCGGCATGATGTATCCTGGGGCGCCCGGCTATCCTATGATGCATCCAGGTAAGCTCGTCTACCCATAAGTGTTCTACTATCTAAAACAATTCTCCCTCTCAGGTGTCATGGGAATGCCTCCATCCGCCGCCTCTAGAGCCGCCTCCCGATCTCGTTACGCCGCCTCGCCCACGCCCAGCCGGAAGTCCATGTCCCTGCGACGCAAGCGCAGTAGCTACGTGGATGACGAACTGACAGACGATGAGGACTCTGACCAGGACGATCGGAGATCACTTGTCTCGAACCGCTCGGGAATGACCAGTGCCTCGCGCTCCCAGGCGCATCAGCACCACCAACACCATCAGACCCGACAGCGTCGTCTGTCCAGTGCCTCGCAGCTAATCGCCAACGATGAGCTGGATGGAGAGTCGAGAGGGCATGGATCCAGGCAGCACAAGGTGCGGGATCGGCGTGGATCGGTGGCCAAGTCCGTTCAGAGTGAGTGGTTGCCGGAAAGGCGGGACTCCCAGGGCAGCAATGGAGGGACCCTCACGAGAAGCAAACCTCCAGCCACGGACTCAGCACGCACCAGTCGCATTTACTCCGACTTGGAATCGGAGGGCTCCGGTGCCAGGGCCCTGGTTCAGGCCAAGATTCAGCAGAAGCTTCAGGAAGCGGATCAGCACAAATCCACGAGAAAGGTTGAGCAGAAGCGCAAGCCCGAGATGAAGGACGAGAATACACAGGCAGCGGCGGTGGTGCCAAAGGTCGCGGTGCCAGTGGCTCTGGCGCAACAGGAGAGTGGCTCGGAATATGAGGAAGTGGTGGAAGAGGTCACCGCTTCGGAAAGTGAGCCCGAAGCCGAGGCAGCTCCAGATGCAACCAAACCCGAGGATGTCGTCCTCGAGACCGAAGAACTGGGTCCACCGCCCTCAACTCCTGATCATGAATGGGAGTGCGAGTTCTGCACTTTTGTAAATGAGCCCAATATCAAGATATGCTCCATATGCTGCAAGACGCCCAGCAAGCCACCGGTGCAGCCCAACAAGTCCAAAAAAGTGGAGGAGGAGAAGCCACAAGTTCAAGCTAAAACCGTACAGTCAAGCAAGGCCAAAGTGGCAACCAAGCCGGAGGTCACCGTTGTGCGAAAGTCCTCTTTGAAGGGCCAGAGACCCGTTCAAAAGGCCAGCACTGGAACAACCACAGCCACGCCTAAAGCACCCCAGGCCACAGCCACTCGCTCCAATGGACCATCAACTGTCGCCTCCAAGAACTCATCGAGTATTCCCGTCAAGACAATCACGAAGCCCACTCTTAAGACCTCATCAGAAAACGAATCTGATAACTCTATGGCCAAGGGCTTTTTGCACAAAGGTAGGATACAAAAAAGAATATCATTTTTCGAAGGCACCAAGGCCTAGACACAACCAAACAATCAAGACTAAACCTAGTTAGTACACTAATAAAGCCATCAACTGTAAGCCCTACAATTAACGCATTTATGGAAACGAAATACAGAACAAAACCACAACCCAAGCCGTTCTTCGTTTGTTTGATTTGAAACTATCGGTGACCCCACTTCCTTTAAAGCTAATGCTCTCATCCGTACCGTTCCAGAGTCCGTTGAAAACATTTGGAATACGCTGGATGAGAGCATTCAGGCGGAGGCGGAGAAGGTGCTCAAGCAGGCCCAGAAGGTATCCACGGGCTGTGGCGGGACACCGCCCCGAGAAATAGCAGAAATGGGAACCTCGCCGCCACCTCAGAGCATTTCCACACAAGTAAATACTGGATAGATCGAAATTCTGACATCGGTTTAATCCAACAATTACTTCCAGACCTACGACGCCCTGCCATTCAGCTCGAAGCCGGATGAGATTCCAGCCGTTGTCCCAGATCGCTTCAAGACCCCACCGGAGTCCAGTAAAATGGAGAGACGTCCCCATTATCGCAGCAACTCACAGTTGGCGCAGGAGAACGACCGATATCGCAGTGCCAATGATTTGAGATACCACGATGGCTACGGTTTGGATCCGTATAGTGCTGGACTGGTCACCAGGCGACCAAATTTCATTAATGAGCTTCGAATGATACAGCATGTAAGTTTGGATTCGCTTCAGAACTGACTCACTCAACCTCATACCATTCCTAATATTTTCCAGCAAGCAACCTCGCCATTCGACCTGCCCCACGAGACGTTCGGGATGAAGCACGAACCCGCCCGAGATCCGGAAACCGAGATGCACATCATACTGAAGGAACTGGAGCTGTACAAGTTCACGGTCGAGGAGCTGGAGGCTGCACTGAAGTACTGCTCCCCAGATACACATCCCATTCAATGGCTGCGTGAGAACTGGCTCAAACTAGTCCAGACCGTCCAGAGTCTGTCCACCAAGTATGGTCAGGAGAGGGGTGAGAACACCATCGGAACCGTGTCCCAGAATGAGGCACGCGAGGCGCTCCGCAGCTCTGGCGGCAATGTGTGGCAAGCAGTGGCTGACTGCATTCAGCAGCGACAACAGAAGTACCGAAAGCTGGCATCCAAGGGGAACTTTCTGCGGGATGACATCGTCAACGCGCTGACGGCGCACCAAGGTAATGTGGAGCAGGCGCTGCTGGAGCTGAATCGCACGCAACTCAAACCATTTCTTATGCGCATTTGGGGCTCGCCGAATGGCGTTGAGAATGAAAGTGGTGCGGCCACCACAGACACCAAGTCGGGTTAGTTTGTAGACTCCTCAGATCACTCAATCGCAATGCCATAATGTCCCATTTTTCTCTCTCTCCGCGTTCATTCGCCCGCACAGATATCCATGATTTTTTGAACACACACGCCCTGGACTGCCTGCAGCCGCCGTTGGCCGGCGAAAGTCCCAGTCCTGCCCAAGCCAATCCCTTTGACACGCCCCTCAATGACGACAGTCCCGCCAAGTCCACCTATGCCACTCCAAGTCCCTACCAATTGGAGGATAGCACCCTGAAGAATCTGGAGATTCTCATTGGCAACATGGAGCAGAACCAGGCCAAGCAGAACCAGGAAGTACTGCGATCCATCGAGAGCATGCTGGAGACCTTCAAGGGCAAGCCGGAGTTGGAGTACGAAACGGATCCGGAAGTGATGAGGATTCTGACGAAGAGCCCCATCAGCACGCTGAAGCCATCTGGGCAAGAGGAGGATAGGTCCACCGAGGACGTTAAGAACTTTGTTTGGCAGCATATCCAAGACATTGTGCCTAATCTGGTGCAACAGGTCGAACAAGAGCTTATGGAAAGGACAGAGCCTGTGACCGAAGAAGTGAAGACTGAGCCCAGCTTGGCTGAGTCCGAACCAATGCCCAAGGCCGAACCAGAGCCAGAGCCACCTGCGGTTGATCCTGAGGTCTACATTATGGAAGAGGTTATCAAGCCCAACCTAAGGGAAGCTACCATACGTGAAGAGGTACCAACTAGTTTTATTTACGCCACGGAAATAGCCAACTTTAAATTGGAGTTCGATCGTGGCACCGAGAGGTGGCACGAGACGGAATGGGAATTGGATGATCTAGAAGATGCCGAACGCATAGTCTTCAAAAGCTACATGGCACCGAAAGAGGCCACGTCAGAAAAAGCAGATGTAAAATTAGAGACACCTGTGCCTTCACAAGAAACAACACAACAACCAGAACCCTCTTCGAAGCCAGATGAGACTGAAAGAATAGAGCCTGCAAAGGTTAAAATGGCTTTGGCGGAGTCCCCAGCTGCAAGTAAACCAGTGAATGAAACAATTGAAGAACCAACAAAAGAAACTAAAAAAGAACCAACAAAAGAAAATAATTTTGAAATGCAGTCAAATGTAGCAGACTCTCAAGTTGAACTTGATGACAAACCCAGCACAAGCCGAGATGCTAACAGGAGAAATAAGCGATCGCAACAATCGAAGAAAATACGATCCAGAGAATCAAGTCAAAAACCTATTAACCGAGTGAGGTTACCAAAAGATGCTGACCCAAAACAAAACGAAAACAAAGAAATACAAAAGGAAAGCATTTCAAAGGACGAAGTAATTTCTGTTGTTAAAGAGTCATCTAATGTTCAGCCATTTGAAGATACAACCGATGAAAGCTTAATTTCTACCCAACAAGCAACATCCGACAAAATCAAATCTGAATCTGAAGTCAATATAAATGCAGGTGAACAGAACAATATTTCTCATACATTAGATGTTGGAGAAACCGAGAATGTTATAGCAAAAGAACAAACACAGATCACTCTAGAAGTTGCTGAAGTAGTGCCTCCAACACCAATTAAAGATACTCAAGAACCTAAGGCAGATGACGACATTAAGGCGGTAAATGAAACCGAAGAACATTCAATGACAGAATTGGTTCCTTCTCCCAACCAATTAGTAGTCGCTGAAGATAAATCTGAAAGTGTTTCAGCAAGTGAAATTCAAGTTGAAGATATTCCTGTTCCCATTCTCCCCACAAATGAGCAAGAATCTTCGCCTATAACCGCAAATAATGAAGTAGTGCCTACTACAACTTTAATAAATACCGATCACAAACGCAGCCCAAAACGGTTCTCAAAGATTCCAGTGAGAACCCTTAGCAGCAGTAGTCTTCGCAGTGAGAGCAGAGCCGGCAATCGAACACCTCCAGCAATTGATGAGCCGGAAAAAGAGGATACAGTAACCGATAAACTAGAAAATGAGCAGCCAGCAACCGATGAACAAGAAAAAGAGAAGACAGCCGAAGAAGGTGGAGAAATCGTAGACCAATCTTTAGAAAAATCATTAGCTGACCAGAAAGAAGCATCCTCAGTAAATGAGGAGGAGAAGGTTTCTGTAGCCACCGAAGAGGAAGCTGCACAGCCGGCAGCCCAACAAATAAACGAAGAGAAGGAGGAAGTTCCTATCCCTGCCATAACAGCGATTGCTGTTAGTCCCGCTGACTCTGACGAAGTTTTTGAAGATGCTACCGAGTTTAGTGGCAGCGATGGAACCAGACCCCACGATGAAACCGCATCCGATACTGAACTATATAGCCTGGACAGCGATGAGCCCCGAGTGGAGACCAAGTCCCCGGAGAGCGAAGTAATTCTTGTGCTGGATGAGGAGTCTGTGCTGGAATCCTCAATAGCTAAATCCAGCAGCAATGCAAGTCTGGGTTCGCAGTCAAGTCAATCCGAAACGTCCAAGGTTGTCCTCAAGGAATTTGTTCCCTCCGGCGATCCCGCCAAACAGAACCTAAGCGAACTGGTCGAAGACACCCAGCGGCTGATCAAACAAATGCGCGATGAGATCAGTATGGATGAGTTCGAATCCACCGACGAGGATGAGTACTCCGACGAGTACTCAGACGAATACGACGATGGAGAGGAGGAGGAGTGGTATGACAGCGAGGGCGAAGAGGAAGGCGACTATGAGGGCGAAGATGGCAATACTTACAACGAAAATGCATCCTTCATTGAGGAGGCATCCACCGGTGACGAGGGCACCGAAATCGAGGACATCATGGAGGAGGACGAAGACCAGGCGGATGAAGAGGAGTTACAGCTCACACAACCCGCACCAGTCCATGAAACAGTCACCTCACCTGCTCTATCAGTCACGCCCACAAACCCTGAAGCTGATCCGGCCCCAGAGACTGAGGTTGTTTCCTCCGCAGGAAGGAGTGTGGCGATAGAATCGCAGTCCCCGCAAGTCCAGTTGCCAGAGCCTACAGTTCAAGAAGTTGTGGAAATAGAGGCTCTGCCAATAGAGCCTCCTCCCATCATAGCAGATTCGGAGAGTCGACCCCCAGAAGTACCAACGGAAATTGTCTTGGATATCCCTCCAGAGATTGAATCTCCCAATGAAGTTGATTCAGAGCCTGTTGTGGAACCCATCGCCCTGCCCATAACACCCTCACCACCCATTGTCGACTCCGAGTCGCGACCTGTGGAGCCACCCGTCGAGACAGTGCTGGAAGAACCCAAAAAGGTAACCACGCCCGTGAAAGCCAAGACAGTTAACAAACCAACAGCCACACCTGATGGATCTGTCAAAGCCACCAAGACTCCCGCCACATTAAGCACACCCAAGACAACAAAGTCCACAGTCAGTAAGATACCCAAGCCCACAAATGAACCCACCAACAGTACGAGTGGCACACCCCCGAACAAGAAGGTTCCACTGCGCTCCAAGTCCTTCTCTGCGCCTATGGGAATCTCGTCCGTGAAACGAATCCAGCAGGAGTACCTACAGAAGCAGAGCTCGACGAGTGCGGCCAGTCGAGTCCCCTTGAAGAGCACTCCAACGACCAAAAAATCCATCAGCGATGCCATCACCAGATTCAACTCGAACACCGCCGCTTTGGGGGATGGACCCAGCACCAGCGGAGTTGCTGCAGCCGCTGCAGCTGCGCTACTGAAACCCCGTTCCCAGCCCCGGATACCAAAGAAGAAGTACCACGAGACCTGCTTCTCCGACGACGATTACGAGACCTCGGCCACGGAGGAGGAGCAGGAGGACCTGTCCCTGGCCGAGCCACTCAGAGCAGAACTGCTAAAGCGTAAGCTGAGTATGCCCGTCTTCCGGGCGTATCCTAGTGTCCAAGAGCCGGTTATCGAGGACCCAGCGGTGTGTACAAGCCGGAGATTTAACTATACATCATCTTAAGACATTTTATTTCTTGTATAATCTTCTCTTCAGGTGCTGGCCCGCAAATACGTGGAGCAGGAGCTGGTGACAAATATTGCTGAGGCCCAGATAGCCGCCACCTTGGTGAACATGAAGTTCCAAGAGGACGTGGCCTTGTGGGCAGCCAGGGAGTGTTCCGATCTGGACCAGGCCATTGCCATGCTACAGCAGGAGTGCGAGCTGTGCATGAGCTCCTACCCGATGAACCAGATTGTGTCCATGCTAAAGTGTACCCACAAGTGCTGCAAACAGTGCGCAAAGGGCTACTTTACCGTGCAGGTGAGGACGATCCAAGTGGACTTTTATAATATATATTATATTACCTTTTCGCCCCAGATTACCGATCGCAGTATCAACGACTGCAGCTGCCCCTTCTGCAAGCTGCCAGAGCTGAGTAATGAAGCCCAGCACGAAGATGAGCACCTGGAGTACTTCTCCAACCTGGACATCTTCCTCAAAAGTATACTCGATGTCGATGTGCACGAGCTCTTCCAGCGCAAGCTGCGTGACCGCACTCTGCTGCAGGATCCCAACTTCAAGTGGTGCATCCAGTGCTCCTCGGGTTTCTTTGCTCGACCCAAGCAGAAGCGTCTCATCTGTCCCGACTGCGGTTCGGTGACCTGTGCCCAGTGCCGCAAGCCGTGGGAGCGGCAGCACGAGGGTAGCAGCTGTGAGGCCTATCTGGAGTGGAAGCGTGAAAACGATCCCGAGCTGCAGGCCCAGGGTGTCCAGGAGCACTTGGCCCAGAACGGCATCGATTGCCCCAAGTGCAAGTTCCGCTACTCACTGGCCAGAGGAGGCTGCATGCATTTCACCTGTACCCAGTGCAAGTTTGAGTTCTGCTACGGCTGTGCTCGACCCTTCATGATGGGGGCCAAGTGCACGGTGTCCGCGTACTGTGCCAAACTTGGCCTACATGCCCATCATCCTCGTAACTGCCTGTTCTATCTGCGCGACAAGATCCCCCTGCAGCTTCAGTTCCTGCTCAAGGAGCAAAAGGTACAGTTCGACACGGAGCCACTGCAGATAAAGGACGAGTCCAGCAGCTCGTCGCAAGCTAGAGCTCTGGCCCGCTGCCCCATTCCCCTGCAGAAGGAGACGCCACAGGGACTGGTGGACACTGTGTGCAACACCGAGGTGCCCGACAAGCATGCCGGCATGTGTCGGTGAGTATTGGTCAATGAGTAATGAATAATGATTAAATTAATTATATTATTCTCTATATCATTCCAGCACCCACTACGTTGAGTATTTGGCCAGCAAGGTGGCTAAGGCTGGCATCGATCCCCTGCCCATTTTCGATCTGACAGACTGCGTCCAAGAGCTGCGAAGGCGTGGCATCGCCCTGCCGGAACGCGGACCCTGGGACACCGACGAGATCTACAAGAACATGTGCTCCGAGGTATGTTCTGGCTAGCGTCCATTTACGGATATATTGATTTCCCTTCTATGTTATTTGCTTGCCCCGATTCGTATTCCGCTTTTCATTGTCTTTAAACGGACGCGGAAAACGAACTTCCTGCGGCCGGGGATTTGTTTTGACCGAGTGACTCAGTCGCCGCCCCCGCCGATTGATGGCGGTGGAACAACAAAACCAAATACAGAAAATACAATCGTTTAGCCGCTAACTAAATTTGGACGCCGAAGCGTCTGACGTATTTCACACGCGTCTTAATTGATATTCGTTTTATTATTATTTAATTGTAAACAATTCGGACGGTCGAGTCGGAAATGTTTATTAAACGTACCCACCACCCATCTCTCAATCTCAATTTCAATTTCGATCTTACTTATAGGTAATCAAACAGCATATTCCACTGAAATCGGCATGAATAGCAGAAATCGCCGGAGTAGAAGGTGATATCGTGGAAGCGGTTGACGTAGAATGCTGCTGCAATTCTTCACAAATTTTTAATGATTTATGGCAGCACTTTTATAGACATTTTTGTACACACACACAACTGGATTAGACAGCTCCTTAGGCATTAGGCACACACATCACCTGCAACACCTACTCATCTAACCAGCCAGCCAGCTTTGTTTAGTTACTAAGCGATTGGGGAAAAACAGAACCAAGATCCGCACGTGGAAGTGCATCAAATAAATCGAATATTTCCGAATCCAGTGCAGCTGATTCTCTTTATTATTTATTCTATCTTTTTATTTAGCGTCAGAAATACGTTTTCCAGATGGGGCTCCTGAGAAAAGATGTGCAGAAATGTGTTTATCCCCTTTTTCCTATTGGCAGTGTCCTCTGTAAAAAATCATTTAGCATACTTTTGAGCTGTCGATGGCTGAGTGACATGCTGCAAGGCGATTGGCTGTATCGAAAGTCGTAATTCGCCCAAAGAAATATATAGCTCCGCTTGACCGTTTGCGATATTGCCAAAAAGGCAAATGCGACCCATAAATTATGTCCCGCGACAACAAGAAAAATCGGGCAGCCATGCCCAGTACAGTAAGTGGGGGAAATTCGGAAAATCGTCGGGACACAAAGTTACTCGTGGAAAACGTGGAGACGGCGGAGACGAGCGGTGCTGTCAGAGGCATCGTAAAAACCTATTTTCGTGGCGATTGAAACGAATTTATGCGCGCGGCACAACATGTTTTGATACTCGGACACTTTTACACCAATAACAACTAATTAAATGCGATAAATTGTATATTTATTGATCCATAAACGATAGCCTCGTCCTAGACGCTGGCCAACTGCAGCTCGATGCCCAGGCGCTCGTCAGGATTCGATGCGCGTGGCATGGAAATATGCAGATCACATGGCCAAAACCAAGCTCTTTATGACCATCCATCCAGCTAAAATTATTTTTATTTATTTATCTTTTTATACATTCTTTTTATACATTTTTCTGTTTCACGTGGACAGCGATCGAATATTTCAAACATAGCTGAGCGAATATATTCGTAAATCTGTCGAAATGATCAACGTTTTCTTAGTTTTGCCAATTTATTGTATAATTAAGAAGAATAAAGATTATGAGATTGTTTGTCATTTGAATAAACCGAATGTTTTCTTAACCTTTTTATTTGTATTTTTAAAAGAAATAGTAAATAAATTTAATGGTTGAAAAACAGTAAAAACCTAAAGCTAAGGAATTATTCTGTGACACTTTTAATCATAATTATTTTTATACTATATAATCCTCAATTTTCTAAGCGGAATCTTATTAATGTTGTTTAATTTTATCATCTTCAGGTATATTTAAAAAACTTTCGCATTCTTTGTCTAGCCAATATTATAACACGCCCTGTGATTGGCCATAAAAACTCATTTAAGTGCTGGCATGCGCCCCATTAAAAGACTTCAATTTCGAATGTTTTACAAAACAAAGTCAAGGTGAAACGACATTGACCCTATACGGGCGAGGTAATTACAGGTTAACCAAAGGCATTAATCAATCATATTCCAGGCATCGATCCGATCGGATTGGCCTTTGATTCATGGGGCCCGGTGTATTATTTAATTTAATGGCATTGGCCAGCCAAAGAGAACGCGTAATGCAAACAATGTGTCCGCCCACCCACCAGCCTCACCTTTGTTGAATTAACCTTAGCGCTTGTTTATTAGAGAGACGGAATCACCCGCAGGGGCGTCACGTCCTGTCCAGCACGGCAAAACAACGACGGGATGGGTTGCTTTCCGGCGGACACCGGGGAAAGAACCCTGACCGCTGGCATTCAATGTCGAGTCAAGACCAGAAATCTGAGTGACCTTCGGAGTAATCAGCAAAACATTAATGTTAGTTCCAGCAGATTATAAACAAGAACAAATAATTAGCATTTAAATAATAAATACGTGTTGCTTCTCCAGAAATGTTATTCCCCCAATTGTTTGGCACGTCTTTTGTGTGTGGATTATGAAGCGATTTGTTTAGCGAATTTTCTTTGCCAAAATGTTTTATGAACATGTGGGGGTGAAATTAGTGGAAATTGGTCCCTCTAATGCATTAAAAAAAGCACCTTTGGATAAACTCAGTTTACGGTTCTATATTTGTTGCAGTTGTCGGTATACATAGAATATAAACTCGTATATATATATTTTGTTGTAAAAGTCGTATGCATTTAAATACTATATATAGTATGTACAAAGGTGTGTGATACACATAAAGGGGATATACAGATCGATCGTAATATTAGGGATAGATAGATAGAATAGTCTATTACAAATATACAACGAAACTTATCGGTCTAGTAATTGGTCGCGCATGCTCTCCGGCATTCCTTACCCCTCGATTTAGGTCTAGAATCTAGATAATTGCATTAGTTGGTAGGTATTCCGTACACATAAAGTAAGTAACGCGTAAATCACACTTTATAGTACATACATATAGTTGTAACCGTAAAACCTACACATAGAATATATAGAAAATCATCATAGCGGAAGACTAGAAAGGTAACACTAGTGGAAAGTTATCCGTTGACGTGTTGTTTTTCTCTAAATATGGGCCACATTAACCTACAAAATTCTTACTACTTAGTTTTATGCCAAATTCCATCTATACTAAATTAATGTTTCAGTTCTGGGCTTGTGCAATCGCAGAACAACAGAAAAATAACCGTCGAGAAGTTGCTTCTCTGCTCTACAAAACCGATCTCATAGATCCCAAAATTCAAGCAGTTTGCAGGATTCTCTGATCTCTCCGGCTCTGATCGGACGCGATCCATGACTACAAATTGGCTAAGCCGTAAAGTTATTATTATTTACGTGGGTTGGTTCCAAAATCTCTCTAAAAATTCTTTGGTGTCATGGAGGTTTTACATCTGTCTCGGTTTAAGTTTAGATCTTCAGGAAACCGAATCGAACTGATTAGAATCGAGGTAAAGAACTTATTATGTGCCACCTCGACTCTACTGCATCAGGTCCAAGGCGTGCAGACTCTCCACCTCTGGATCAAAGTTGGCATCGCATGTGGACAGCCAGTCCCAGACTCGCCGCCTTACCATATTCGGATCAATGGGAATGTCCAGGCCGTAGGTGGACATCATGCGTTTGAAGCGCAACTTGTTCTCGTCCCCGGAGAGACGACCCTCCCGCTGGTTCAGATAAATGCACGAGTCCTGGTCGTGGTTGGTGGGTGAGATAAGAGTGGCTGACTTGGAGGTGGAGATGCGGCACTCTACCCAGCGGTCCTTCATGTACTTGGCCACCTCGGTGATCTTGCATCGGTCCTCCGGGTCGTGGCTGAGGTACTTCCGGAAGCAGCGCATAAGGCGCGGCGAGAAGCGCCGGAAGTTATCCGGCACCTTGGTTGTCTTCCGCTGCTCGTACTTCATGAAGTTGGCATAGGACTGATCCTTAACCCAGTCGGCCGACTGCCACGGCGGATTGCCAGTCAGGATGTTATAGAGCAGGATGCCGAATTGCCACGAGTCGCTGATGGGCAGACACTGGAAGCGCTCATTCTTGATCAGCTCCAGCTGCTCCGGCGGCACACAGCTGGTCCACGTGTGCTTAACCTTGTGCACCAACAAACCCTTCTTTGTGGTGGCCCCAAAGTCACAGAGCTTCACGCGGGTGAAGTCTGGTGTGAAAACGAGGATGTTCTCGATCTTGAGGTCACGATGCACCAAGTTCTTGGAGTGCATAAAGCCCAAGGCCGAGCTGAGCTGCTCCGAGATCAGCTTGCAGGCATTCTCATGCAACCCATTGGGGCCGATGTTGGATGCCAGGTCGCCATAGGGGGCATGCTCCATGGCGAACACGTAGTAGTCCATGGTCTGGAAGGCCACCGCATAGGCGCTGAGGATGTGGTGGTGGTGCGATAGCTCGTAGTTGTAGTGGAACTCCTTCTGGAACTCCTTGATCGTGGTTAGCTCCGCATGGACCGCCTTCAGCACCACCAGCGTGTTGGTCGGTCTGTGCCGGCACAATAGGATCTTGGCGAAGCAGCCCTCGGCCAGAGTCTTTTCAATGTTGTACTGGTCGGCAAAGGTCATCAGTGGCAGCTCCACGTCCGGTATCTGATGGATCTGTCCGCCATCGTTCTTGTCCGGTTTCTTGTAGATGCTGCTCCGTCGGCTCACCGATGCCGCTCCTGGAACCTCCAGTCTCCCCGTGCTGGTGCTGGTCGGTGTCAACGGAGTGCTGCACCGCTTCTGGTTGTTGTGGTTGGTGCAGGTGCTGCTATTATTGTTGCTGTTGCGGCTATTAGTGCTGCCGCCGTCTCCAAAGGATCTACGAAGGCGGAAGGAGAACGAGCGTTTCTCTGCAAGGATAAGAGAGGAGGTATTAGTTGATCAATCTGACTTTAAATGGGACTAAACTTACACTAAAAGAATAACAATAATATGATAATATATACTAGGTAAGACTTAATTGTTTCATAATAATTATAATATTTATTTATTGATTGAATGTCATTGATATTTTAATTGCCAGTCTGCATTTACTAGCATATCATACACATTATAGTGTTGGATCTCTAAACCTTTTAAAAATAGTTTTAAAAAGAATCTCCTACACATCTTAAAGTGAATACATTGTGATTTATTCTTCTACTGGATTTTGGTGTTTGTCAAAATATGTCTAAACTTTGAATATTTAAGAGTTTAAGTTCAAGGTGTTCCTAACTAATTTAAATTCAAAATAATTCTAATAAATTGTATTGTCCATAGCAACATAGCCTTTTTTATCTATTCACCTGTTCACACCTTCATAATGAAATGACCGCAACAGAACAACATCTTGTTTCGCTTCGATCGCCTTTAATTGGAATTATTTTTAGGATTTGTTCTTTATGATTTATAATCGGCGTTTGATGTGCTGCTTCGGTTGCTTTTATGTGTCCATTTGTTGGTCCACAATGCGAATTATTAATTTATCAGGCAGCGGCGGCGGCAAACATAGAAAGCGTTTTACAGCCCTCCATGTGGAGGATGAGGATGAGGAGCCGCCCACGCCCACGACTGGGAAATAGACGATGTTGTCGCCAAATTGTCTGTGACAGAGTTAGTGCAGAATTTGCGTAGATCCAAGTTATATATGGGGCCTCGGGGCACAGACGTCAGCAGTTAGTCACTGACTGACGACTGATTCGATTTTTGGAATCCGCAATCTGCGTAGTGCCAGCCCCTGCACTCCTACTCGCACCTACTACATCCCAAAAACATTTATAGTAGCTCAAAATTGCGGAAAATCATTTGATTTGCAGCCGAATGCGACAGAGTGGGAAAGCATCTGTAGAATGCGTTAGCTGGAAAATCGCACCGAAGCAAATATACATTTATAGGGCGTGATGTGTTTTTCACACAATTTTAGCCGGAATTGTTTTTGACACTAAATTTTCGCCATATACACGAAGATCAAAATCGGTGCTTTCGCTCGTATTTCATTTAATGTCACCGCCGTGGAGGCAGAAGGCAGGAGGGGAAGTGAATTAATAATTTCACATCATTGCAAATATTTACAGTTTAGACAAATTTCTACAAGACGTAAGAGAAAAATACTTCAAAATCAGGCATGCGAGAATAACATTTTTGGTGAATTTGTAAAATTTACGAACGCGTCCAGATATAAAACTAAAGTGCCTGAATTATATATAGAGCTAGACGGCAGAAATAAGTGTTTGTGAGGCAATTAGTGAAAATATTGTTGACTTATGAGTTGGAACTATTCATAGAGGTCAAGGGAATGCTGTGCTTGGCATAAAATTAAGTATAGCTAAGAAATTTAAAAAAGCAAACAATAATATTTGTATGGTATATAATTTCCAAACATGGCTATAGTTATTCTTGCTGAATATAGCAAGTTGTCACCTAACTATGATGCATTGTTATTATTATTATTATTGTTCCATTATAAGGAGCAACTACTCTAAGCACCTGAGTCACCGGTGAATATTAAGTGACACAAAAATCAACATTTCTTGTAGCCCATTAACCCCCGACACATGGGCCTGATTCTCTTCAACAGGAGGATGGACCTGGCAGAAAATAGTCAATGTTTTTGGTCATTCGTTCAAGTCTTCTTTCCCGTAAATATTCTATTTCCGTTCCAGAAGTGATTGGCTCGTGGCCAATCGAATTGGTCAGTGCCTGGCCAACCGCAAAGAGATCCCTAATAAACGGGAGCTCTGCTCCGTTCCATTTCGTAAAAAAGGGAAACTAATTATAACCAGTGAAAAGCAGCAAACGGATGAGTGGTCATAAATCAAAACTTTCACTTTCCTCTCACTCTCTACGCCCGTCAAAAGCGTTTTCCATTTCCCATTTTCCCCGCCAACCACACGCAATTCAAATGATATTCGTTATGGCCATTTCATCTTGATATTCTCAGTTGCCGCAGAAACACTTTGCGTGCCATAAATAGCTGAACAAACAAATGAGCCAAAAAGGGTCAGCAGGCATCCGAAAGATGCATTTCGAGGGGCTAAATATAAAGTCGAAGCCAGATATGTTCCGTGGAAATCATCATCTGCCTTCGCGGTCCCAGCCAAGGGGAGTCGCGTAAACAGTGGGTCTGAATAAACAAACACCCTTGTGGACAGTGGGATTTGTGAAATGCAATTGCAACAAAGGCGCCAGGGGGAAAGAAAATCCATTCGACGATTGCTGAATGTTCTTTGGCAACACCATCATCTTTAGATGCTCTATAGTCAAGTATACCTATCACTTTGAATATGTCTATATTTTAAGACTTATTTATAATGCAATAAAAAGAATGATGGACAATTTAGTGATTCATATGGGGCGAAAATATGTTGATTATAAACTAAATTGATTTGAAAGAATGATCTTCTTATTGGGGATGAATTAGAAACTTTGCGCTTAAGCTTGTATAATTGGGCTTAGAAATATATATTTTGTACCATAGCTACGCTAGACTAATTTCTAATCGAAGTAAATAATATACTATCAATAGAAAATAACCAATTTCATCCAAATAATGTCTTAAATGCCTAAATTAAAATATAAAACATTTAAAACCGTCTTTAAATCGCTTGTAATTGTACAGACTTTTAATCTGGCATTATACCAAAATGTCATAAAATTTGACTTTGCATATTTATCAATCTTAATTCGCTTTCGGTTACTTATAAATTTTATTTCACTGTTTTTATGATTTGCCTCCCGGAGCTCCAGATTAACGGAGACCCACTCGACGATTTCCAAAGAATCGATACGCTCGCCTTGGCCAGAGAGAGCTGGCCAGAGATTTTGCCACTCGTTTGAGTGACTGACAAAATGAATGCCTCTTCCCCTGCTACCCCCTGCTCCCCCTGCTCCGCTGGGGCTGGTGAGTCGCCCGGGTCTCCAACAGCTACTGGTGTCCCGAATCCCCGCCTGCTTGGCAGCTCGCCCGACTGTGTACGCGACTTTGGGGGCATTGCTGACGTCAATCGGCAGTCGTTGTCGGTCGGCGTGCTACATACTCGTACACAGCACTGCCATATACCAGCCAGTGACCACCACCTCGTCTCTATAGGCCAACGAGGCTGCGCTGGGGCCGGAGCAGCCCCGTCGGCGTCTCCGGCGGATTGTAAGTTTCCCATTATTACAAAACGAAATGCAAATACTTTCGGATCAGTGCCAGTCCGCAGCCGGTTGGAATGATGAATTGTGCTAGAAGGGGTCCAAGTGCTGGGCATTCGCCCGAGAAGGGAAAGTGGAGACCATTGACCAGGCCTGCTTGTAAATTTAAACAATCGATTCAAATCGATTGCCCAATCAGGGGAGCTTGTTCACTTAATGCCTCAATCTTTGATGTATTGGTTCAGTGGAAAACTTGAGTTGATTTTCCAGGACCTAGGCCAACTTGAAAGAGTGTTGTGGCCGCCTACGACAATCTGTTGCTGTGCCACCATTTACCCTGGAAAATGATATTATTGCTTACATTTCTTCATATGCCCATGACTTGAGTACTTTTTGTGTACCTGAATAACAGCTCCATATTGTTTACAAGACCCCAGAAATTGAGGTCATGATAGTTTTGTTACAGTTTAAAAAATGCTCGAATATTATGCTATAAATGTGTTAATCGATTGGTACTTCCTTTGCCAAGTACTAATCTTGAAATTAATTGAATATGGAAATCAAACATAATTTAGTGGCAGGAAAACTGAATAGATTTTCATTAATCTTGAATCATAACCCATTTATATTCCTACTAATTTTGTTTTCAAGAAAACTATGTATGCTTTGGATTTCTGCTTCTTAAAATTAAATATAACATTAAAATAAAGATGTTTGGGTTACAAAAAAGAATAATATTATGCCAGAAATTAAATTGCAGTATTAATGCCCTCAACAAATGCACGACAGTTTTCCAAGAACTTGGCCAGCATCATTTCCCTCTTAGAAGAAGTGTCTCAGCGATCTCAAACAGTTTGGAGTACAAGATGATTGAACCGGAGCACTATGACCAGGTGTTGGTGCACATGCGGAAGAACTTCTTCCCCCAAGAGCCGATGAACAAGGCCGCCGGCTTGTGCCAGGATGGAGAGGTCAACCCTAACCTGGAGCAAAAGGTTCTAGACACCATGGAGGATAACTTGAGCCTGATGGCGGTGGACCCGGATCCAGACTGCTGTAAAATAGCCGGCGTGGTGGTAAACGGCATCTTAAGGCCCGGTGACACGGCCAAGGCACTGAAAGACCTAGAGCGGAGCTGCGATCTGGGCTTCCGGAATATGTTTACTATGATTTACTGTCTTTTCATTAACAACGACCTGTTTAAGAAATTTGACGTGGATTGTATCTTCGATGTGCGGAAACTATCGGTGGATTCAAGCTATCGCGGCCGTGGCATTGGCAATGAACTCATCAAGCAATCGATGGCGTTGGCCAAAAAGAAAGGTTTCTCTCTGATGAAGACCGATTCCACAGGCGTCTACTCCCAGAAGATATTTCACTCCCTGGGCTTCGAAGTTCACGCAGAGCAGTCGTATGACGAATATACGGATGACAATGGCCAGATGATCCTGCCCGTGGAGGCGCCTCACACTAAGCTAGAGCTGCTCTACAAGCAAATCAGCGAAGGAACCGAGGACGAGCAAAACTAGGGCTACTAATCGGGGAGTGAAAAGGATATTGGTTGGAACACTTTTAAGTTTTTTGTATTTTCTTCACCCTAAAATTAGGAACAATAGGAAAAAATAGGGAAACATCCTATGGAGGTTCAGCTACGGACAATATAAATATAATTTTACTTAAATAAAAGATGAAATATCAATATACTGATACAAATAATTTCCCATTATATATATCTCTTATTTTAGAGACTAGACTTCTCCGACTTTCTGGCAAACATTACTCACTATCTGTTGAAAAAGATTTCCTAAGTAGTATACTTGTATAACATATTATACAACAATTCAATAAAAATTAACGACTTGAAAGAAAATTTCCGCTGCGCCCACAAACAAGACCAAAAACAACAAAATCCAAAATAAACAAAATGAAATAAAATTAAATATATACATATGTATATGTATATGTCTGTATGTACACGTATATGATTGTACACACGAAAGAAAAGCAACAAAAAAAACGAAATGAAAGCGAAATAAATAAATAATAAGAGAATTTTTTATAGATTCTACGTCTACCAGAGCGAATGATTTTTGATAGAACATTGTATATTTTTTTGCGAATATTGTATGTATATTTTTGTTGTATTTATAAAACGCGTTTAAATTTGCTTGATTTGCTCTCACCATCCTTTTGGCCACGGAGTATATTTTTAGCAAAAGTAGGCGTGTATCCGTCCCTCCCCCGCCCTCCGAATATTGATATATGGCGGCACTCTAGTAGACCGTCAGCCAGAGGCAGCTGCTCTTGGAGAATTGCGCACATGACCAGCACGAGCGGCAGGTGGCAGGTGGCAAGTGGCATGCAAAGGGGTTTCAAATTGTTTTGCAAGGACCAAGGACGAAGGATCAAGGCCAACTCTAAGAGGCACCCTCACTCTGAGTGCCGCTCGACAGGCTCGCATGTCAGGGCTAATGAGAGAGAACATCCTGGGTGCTCTCGGCAAGTGGCAGAAGCCTCCACCGCCCACGCCGCCGGTTCCATAATTTATTTTAATAGTTCCGCCTTTACGATTTATTTAATTTGTTCGCCTTTATTTCTTACTATATTTTTGTAAGTATAATTTTCTCAGTTTGTTTCCTTTTTGTGTGAGTGTGGAAAACACGTTTATATAAATAGCCAGCGAAATTTGTAATTACGCGCTAAGGAAAATGAATGAAAATCGGAAATAAAGAACACGGAGAATGTTGAGTAAAAAAATCATGTAGCTGACAATTTTCAAGGTAAGGTCAAGGCAAGTGCCGACGTAAACGCATTTATCATTCCCACGGCGTTGATAAAAAATATTGTAAGTATTTTGAAAAATGAATAATGTCCAATTGGGCGCAGACCCTATAAATAATATCTGAATAGTTCGGCCCAGCCGAAGGTAAGGCAATATTGTAGATGGAGCCGCTGCCTGTTCGCATAAATTAAGTGGGCCATTCGCTGGGGGTCAGTTCGTTTCGCGGGATTTGTGCAAATAAATAAATAAGATCGGAAATAATTTTGCCGAGCAGGCCGGGGGTTCAATTGCTGTTTAATATCTTTCATGTGGTCTGTGTGGCGTCCCAAAACGATCGTAAATAATTTAAGTAATGCTAATAATAATATTTTCACGCCTTGCTGAAGAAAGAAAGAGCACTAGAAAGAAGATAAGATACTTATAAATCCACAGGATTTCATTATAGCCTGATTAAATTTAAATCTTGAGCTATTAAAATGGGATTTCTACCCATGATCGGCCACACTTATTATGGTCAAAAGAATACAAGTGTCATTCCGCTCTTAAAGCACTTTTCGTTCAATAATAATACTCGCCGCAACGCAGCAAAGCAAAACAAAAAAAATTTAAAACAACATTTTGCAGACGCTCGAAACAAAAACATTTCAAGAGATATCTCAATGGCAATATCATCATCACGTGTATCTAGTATAAACCATGGCACAACGTCTAGACTAAATGCGAAGCCAAAACTGGTTAAAAGCGATTTGTTTTTAAGGTGCTCTCTGAACCACTAATCCCTCTCCAGTTGATGTCAGGATAAAACAGTTGATGATCCAATCGTTTTCCCCAAAAGTGATACATTAATTAACCAAATAATATGTATGTTCAATCAAAATGTTCGACCACATATTTGATCACACTCGCGAACACACATAGTCCAATCTGCGTAAAATATTTGCATTTATATAATAAACATTTATTGGCTCGACCGTACAGACGATTCATGTGATGTTTTGAGAGGCTAAAACGTAGCAAAAATTAATAATTTATTAAATACTACACATATATATCCATACGTATACGAATTAAAATAAAAATGCTTTCTTCGGCAACAGACAGGAGCTGAGAGCAATAAGCGTTCACGATGTCGCCCACGCATTTCGCTTTCGGCTTTCTCTTCTCGAAAATACTCATGGATCTTTTCTTAATTTACTCTCTAGTTTTTTTTAAGAAAGTAATTGCTAAATATTGGATTTTGTTTTGAATTATCACAAGTGTTAAAGAAGATGTACCCAAGCTTCTTCTTTTCAATTGGCAATCAGTAGGATTAATCGTAGGATTAATGTACTGCTCTCAGGATCCCCGCTCACTTCACTAAACACATCCTCATTGTCCTGCTGGCATTTATAATTCTCAAGTTCAATGTATTCATCGGGTTCTCGGATCTTAGCACGGAGAAACTGTATACTTCTTAATATCTGCTATAGTAAATCAAGAAGGGACCCTATCCCCGTTTTGGAGTACGAGATCCTAGCTGGTCCGTTACCCTTTCTTCTACAACAATTTTTACGTAAAACTCTCGAAATAATACTCTTGGAATAATACTGATAAAAATGCATACTGAAGGCAACGATATGATGTCTCTGATGAGATATTAATAAAGACGACTTTTACTCTTACCTACATTACGACCTCACACAATTTTTAAGTACATCATTTAATTGCGTGTCAATGGCAAGAAGCGCGTCACGAAACGCACGGAGCACAGAGCGTAGGAGAGCGAACAGTTGGCCGAAACCTGTGCAGTCCCCTCACAGACACAGATGGATGGATCTTTTGGCGAAGATACTTATATATTTTATCTTCTGGTTAGCCATAATATTTCTCGGGCTGACAGGCGACGGCACGACCTTGTTCTTCTCGTAGAAAGCGAAAGAGCGGACAGTGGAAGATATCTACCGAGAAACTGGGGCCATTCTTCTTTCAAAATTAGATAGTGCAAGTGTCATGAAAGTCAGCTATCTAAATAATATCTAATATCTGCCAGCTTAAGTTGAATTAATTCGATTCAGAGTTGTCTTGTGCAGTTTATCCGTTTGATTCCTTGTCTTAAGATACTTACGTTAAGCGCTCTTCATTCCAATGAAAGAAGCGTTTTCTTTTTCATCACATTGAAATTAATTTAAGAGTGTTCTTTATTGTTTGCTTTGAAATTATTTATATTTATCAATACAGTTGATGTTTATATAGCAAGCTAATATTAGTTGAATGCTTATTTAAGAATGCTAATGAATATTTTGTGAAATAAATATTGCAATATTATAATTGCATTTCAGTTCGCACAAAGAATATTAATTATGATTATTTAAGCAGTCTCGTGTGCAATTATCTGTCCCGAGGGGTTCATTGCACCTTCCCATAAATCTAACCAACACTATCAAGACCATTGGCCATAACTCACGAGAAAATAATTGCATAAAATGCCTCGCTGAAAGCCGCACAATCGAAATCCACTTGGTGGGGACAGAACGCGGGACGAGGGATGCTGTGAAGAAGCAATGAGAATGAGTAAGGAGGAGGTCGATGAGGAGGAGGAAAAGAAGATGCCCATTAGCCGGGCGATGGTGAGAAGACACATCTTGAGGGCGAGCCAGGAGCTGTTGTCTGGTCCAAAATAGCCCAGCACATTACACCAAAGAAGATATCGCGCATACGACGCGTGTGCCGCTTTGGCAATTAAAAATCCCAAAAACCGTAAACAAAATGTGCGTTGCCAGTGGATATTGTTGGTTTCACTTTGTATTATTTCTTTTCATATCTCATTTCAGCCAAAATGGGGAGATTTCTCTATTGCCAGATATTTTTAAGTATTGCAAAGGAAACGTTAATAAAATTATAAAACTAAGCATGCTCATTAGCTGTTTGTTTTTTCGCTTTAAATGCTTGACCAAACTTGAAAAGTATCAATATATTCTATCGCCTTTCATTTAAATATTCTACTATAATTTTACTCACCGCTTTCCTTTGACAGCCGTCAATATTTTCAACACATTTTTGCAATTAAGGCGCATTAAATATGTGTTCGGTTCACAACAGCAACGGCTACCATTCACATGTTCAATTTTTTGTTTATTTGAGTGATATTGGAAAATCGTTTCGCAATGAGCAATATTTGTTATGCCGCCTGACGTTTGCGAGTTCAAATTTCGGCCATTTCCATACAGATTTATTAAATGTATTTCTGGCTTTGAATGCACACGTAACGTGTGGCTCGCATATTGAAATTGCTGAAGGCGGCAATTGGCTTCGCACTTCATTAATGATGCTTCGTTGCCCAACCAAACACACACTCACGGCGAGAGTAGAGCCGAAATACGCATTTAAATAGAAATATATATTATGAAATGCTCATCTTTGTACAGTGTACACAAAGTAAAATGAGTGCTCGAGGAAGCTGCCGCAATGTAAAATTCCGCCAATTTAATTTCCGTTTTCGAGATGCATCCCGAGGACCATAAATGCTCTTTAAGGGAATCAATCAAAGCATTAATTCCATGCTTGATCGGACTTCTTGGCGTCTCTCCTCCTCACAGGCACATTAATATTATTTATATATTTTTATTTGCCTATCACATGCTGCAGATCGATCGAGCAACTGATTTCTTTTCTGCGTACATCGTGACGTATGAGTGATATTTGCTTATACAAATATTTGTATTTGATAGACAAATCTATTTTAAATCGATTTCGGTGAGATATTAGTGTTGCGTAAGTAGCAATAGATTTCATCTGAATTTTATTAAAAGAGATTTTCGTTTTCATTTAGTTTTAGAGGATGTTTCCCTCCCGATGCCAAACAAATTACTACTAATTAGCCCCTGACGAAAGAGATGGAAATTGAAATTGATTGGGGAAATCGGCCTGGCAATAGACCCCCGTCGCGTCCAGCTCATCTAGTCTGCCTTGAAGGCATCACCATTTCCACAGACAGTCAGGCAGTTCCAGCAAACACACTAAACAAATAGAACAACACATACATACGTACACATAGTCAGTTAGCTTACAAAATGGACCAAAGTGTGGAGCGTAAAGGGTCTCTCCAGACCAGGCCAACAGTGACGGAAGACGAACCCCATCTGACGCCTCAGCTCAAGAAGCACTACGAGGCGGAGGCGGAGATTTTGAGGCTTCTGCTGGACCTGGAGATCCGCTATCGGGACTTCTACGACCTGTATCAGTGTGAAATGAAGGCGCAGGACATACTAATCGAGCGCATTTGGCTGCTAACCCAGCGTTATTTGATACTGATCAGTTCGGAGCAGGGGTGTCAGTATCCCGAGGTCTATACCAGGTCCACCGAGGAGGCTATCATCAATGAGTACCAGGAGAAGTTGGAAGTGGTGCGAGTCTCTAAGTAAGTTAATACCAGTAAATGGGTCACTGTTAAGTTTACATATTAGGTGCTCCCTTAGCAATACCATAAAGGCAGCTCTAATGAAGGTGAGTGAACACTGCAAGGAGTTCTATGCCGCCTATGACAAGCTGGATAAAACCCAGGAGACGCCTTTGCTGTTGGGCGACAAACACCACCGATGCATTAAGTACCACAAGATAATGGCTGTCGATATCTTTAACTATTTCTACGCCATGGTCCTAAAGCTAAAGTGCTACATGCACCAGCTGGATCCCATGAGTGTGGAGAGTGTCGAGGAGTATCGCTTGGTGCTCCAAAAGGAAGTCCTAATGGAAGAGTTCGAAGAGTATCTAAAGATGCGCTTCGTCTACTGCCGGTGCCTGCTGCCGACGCAAACCTGCCCCATCTTGAAGCTGAAGTGTTCCCATCAGAACCTTGAAAATTTGAAGTATGTCAGTAGAATCTAATAAGACCAAGCCCAAATGACGTATATAGTAGTAACAATAAATAGAAGCCTTGTAACACATAAAAACGAATGCCTTTAATTGTCTCGATTCATTGGCGAATCAACATTAATGTACATCCCATTAATATTAACTGTGGCCAAAATGTCCTGAGCAACAAACTGAAGCCCCAGAAGCCCATTGTTCTCAGTAATTAACTTGACTGGAATTGCTTATTGGGATGCAGTCAGCCCAAGTGGACCTCGAAGTCGTACAAATTAAGGTTGTTTATCTTGCAGAAAACCAGGGGATTAACTCTGTAAATTTTCGTTTCTGCCAAGTCCAAGTTTTGGCTAAATGCAATATTCATAAATATGTCAAGTCACACACAGATGCTTTTATGTTTCAGTTTGTTTCGCTTTCGCCACGATGTCTCATCACCAGACTCAGCAAAAGGTTGTGAAAATTGTATTAGCCAAAGAGCCAGATGACCTTTATGAAATCGTTACTTTGTCGTGCTCAGCATAATGTTGCATAAAACTAAGGAGAAAGTGCCATTTCTGTTATCTATGGCTTTATTCACCTCTGAACTTTTAGCAAACGCCAGCTGGAAATGTTTGCCGAGGATGTTTCGTCGCCGGGCGGCATGTCAAGCGTGTTTAATGCGCCCATATCCAGCCGCAAATGCACAAGTCGCCTCGACAGGATGGCATTCAAAGAGGCAGGCCTCCGTACAAACCCAAATCCCAGGTGCCACTTTTGCTTGCAACTGTGGGGTCAGAGGGGTACGCGACACAATGAACCCATTGAGGCAGAAGTGGCAGACTCTGGCCCCGTCGAGATGGCAATCAAAGCGCATTTGTGACCGTGGCTCGGCTTGGCCAAGTTGGCCAAGTAGTGGCCGGGCGCACCCTGGAGGACACCGGATGGCCGGGCCCAAGGATAGTCCGGCGGACAAGCAACCTGACTGATGAGCGGCTAAAACACCCACCAGCACTCGTTGATTATGATGTGTAGAGAAAATCAGAGCCTCGTGCGTCATTCGGATATGAGTTTTTAGGGTCTATCCCCAGCCGTTGGCACTGCCCCGTTTAGCCCAGCCCCGACAGAGTTTATTTATTTTATACATTTTGGATAAACAAAATTCGTAGTATTTTAGAAGGCAGGCCGCCGCGCAGACCATGTTTATACTAATGACGTCGTTGTCATTTGTCGCTCGGTGTTCGGTGTTCGTTTCTTTGTATACCCTTGCAATGGGTATTATTAGTTAAGTCTGAAGTCCGAAAGGAGAAACATAGATGTGACCCCACGTCCTGATTAGCCGAGTTGATTAAGACTGATCTGATTTTTGCAGACTTCGCTCTTAATTTTAAAGCTACCTGATTAAAACTTTGCATGTCTTTTATGTAACTCTTTTGTTTTTCAATCAATTTTCCTCTACTACGAGATATGTACATTTTGAATGGATTTTTTTATGAACGAATATCTCATTAGATCCCTGAAAGGACTAAAAAAAAGGAATCCAAAACATCCGAATACATTAATAGCTGCCAAGTTATTGTTATAGTTCCAAGGGTATATAAACTTCGGCTTTTCAAACTTAATTTTCCTTCTTTTTTTATTTTCAGCTTGGTGTTGAAAGACGTCCAGGTCCACGGAATAACACGGATAAGGACGTGGTCGTAGACATAGATGTGGGTTGATTGCTCTCTTCGGTTCGTGTGTGCTCGTGGATTTATTTTTAGCCAGGATAATTGAAAAGCAAGCAAACGAAAAGCCGCAGGATGCCAAATGAACATGAGGGGGCGTTGACTGGGAACTGGCCACATACATATATCCTACTGAATTGAATGGAATCTCAACTCTGTGTTGGTTGCGAGTGGGTGCTGCCTGCAAAGGATTATTTACATAATTATGGCGATATGGACGTCATGTGGAGAGCTGGCCTGAGCTAACAAAAGATGCTCGGATTGGATGACAAGTAATCAAAGAATGGAAATTGTGCAATTGTTTGAATGGCATTCCAGGATTACAAATTCTTAGGAAAGTCAGTTCAAGGGGCGGAACAATGACATAAAAGTAGGTTTGCAAAGATAATAATATATATTTATTGTAAATTAACATAAGTCAAGCTAAATCAGCGTATTCAGGGAAATTATGACATTACTGTGCATGCATTCAACAATTTTTTGAAGGGTGATATAAGAGTTTTTAGAAACTTAGAGTTAAAGAGAACATTATACAGTGTATCTCAAAATATTAATATTAAAACTATTTTCAGAATACTTATATTATAATTGGGGGAAGTATACTTCAGAATCACAAAAAAGTTAACGCATACAAGTTCCGAGAAATTTGTGGTATTAGAGTTTTTAAAAACTTAAAATTAAAGAGAAGATTATACAGTGTATCTCAAAATATAAAAACTATATTCCAAATACTAAAACTAAGAAGATGTATATTTCAGAATCACAGTAAAGTTTAAGCATACGTTGGGGAAAATGTAATTAAAAGAGGTTGTATAAAATACCAAAGTTTAAATTTCCCAACCTACACAACTTTTTTTAATGTTTATAGGTGCTAAAACATTATCTTAAAGCATTATTTTTAGACTCTAAGCTAATTTAAAATTGGTTTTCCAGATATCTTTTTTTCACTCACCGATAGTGCCCATTTTTGGCAGTTTGACTTCCGTAATTAGTAATCCAAAGTAATATATCCTCTCTTTAATTCTTGTATCTGGTTATGTGATCAAACACCGCTGTCCACCGATTTTTTAAGCGATTCTTCTTGGCAAACAAAACTTCAACAAAGCTGCGATCACACTTGGAAAGTCACATTGCAAATGGCGAAAATCGCTGATAATTGACTAGTTTTCGGTAAACAATAGGTACATATAGATTTCCTTTATTTTTGTTTTGCAATTTCCAGCGTGCGGTGAAAATTTCAAGGTTGCTTCACAATTAGAAATAAGTTGGCAGAAACAAGATGAATGGGGGATATTTTCGTTGTTTTTCTTTTTGGCTTCTATGTGCTCGGTATTCGCGAACAGAGAGATACTAAGTAATAGTTGCAAAGAATATAACGGCAACAATGATAATACACAAAACACAAGCAGCGAAAGACGCGACAAAAATGAACGACAGAAATGGCGGCACTTCGCGTCAGGCTTTCCGTTATGAATGTTTTCGTATTTACCGTACGCTTCTGTTTTATATTTGAATGGACAACCGAAGGCGTTCGTCGGCAACTTCGGCCCAAGCACCCGGCTTCGCCATCTTTCCATTGCTCTCTCTCTCGGTTTTCCATGTTGGAGAAAAGCTTCTTCGGCTGACAGGGAAAAGCTTTCGTCGTTGTTGCACTTTTCTTTCGGGCGCCACTGAATCCGTTCTCCGCGAGTTCAACGCATCCCGGCGAAAGTTCCTTAGCATTGCCCAGGAGCGGATTCGATGAAAGAAGCATGCAATTTTTAGGAAATAATGGGTTAAATAACTTGTTTAATTACATATTATTAAAATTAAAATTCGTATGGTCGGAGCCTCAACGAGATATGCAATTCAAAAGAGCTGTGAAATTCTAAGTAAGGATCTAATGAAACTGTTAAAAAAATAGTGTTAGCTTTTTTGGGATTATTAATTATTTTCTAAATTATTTGTGATATTATACAAATTATAATAACAACTTTTGATATTGTTCTTTAATTTTTTAATAATAATAATATGTAGAAGTTAATATATCGTGGCAGTTTGCAATTAATTCGTATTCTTTAAATCGATACTTATCGATGTTTTTTATGCAAATTTTGTTGACAAATCAAAGTTTATAAAACTCATAATTAAGCTAAATAGCATTCATTTAAATTCGGAAAGCTTTCGTAAATTAGTTTTTATTAGGTTAATAAATCTGCGTACTTAGTTTTAAAATTTTAAAAATGACTTTTTTTTGTCAAATTCTGACAATTTTAACGATGTAACCCCTTATAAAATTTTTAAAATTTATAAAAAATTTAATTTTTGTCGGACATGCCTAGATTAACTCAGCTGTCAATGTTGATTAATAATAAATACTGTTTATAGGGTCGGAAATGACTTCTTCACTGCAATTTCTGAATGAAATTATAATACTCTGAACGACTATAAAAACATACTGAATATATAATACATTTGAATTACTTATTATCTTAATTTTAAAGCATATAGTATAATAAACTGAAAAATTTTCGGTATTGTTTCCTCAAAGTTGAAGGGGGTTGCACGCTGATTTGGCCATCGTTTTTTCTGGGTTACCAGCCATAATATCATAATGTAATTTAATCTTAAATAACTTGTGCAACACCAAGAAATGTGTAATTAAGAAGAATATAACTTTCCTTTCTCTGAAAGGTTTCCAACGATTTGTTTTATTACAAATACGTATGTCCTGGCTCAAGCCTATCACTTTCGACTTGTCAAATTCCCTGACCCAAATCTAGGGAAATTCGTAACCAGCTCCGCCTCGAAAGTAAATAAACTTAATCTGGCGCATTACCTCAAATTACCAGGCCATAAGTCCCCGTTTCCCCCGGCCGAAATTAATTACCGCCCCAGATACGTGAACAACTGTCTTGGAACAAGTACGCCGCCAGCCACGTGAGACCAAAACCAGGCAATTTTTAATGCAATGCAAATAAAATAGACAAAGGGGAGGCGGTCTCTCAACTTGGTCGGCACGCAAGGACACCAGAGCACAGAAGGAGTGCGGAATCCGGATCCGGAATCCGGCTCCTGGCGGAGGTGTTGCCGTGTGCCGGGCGTCCCACAAGCACAACAACTTTGCCGCAACTCCGGTAAAAACTCGTGCAAAAACCGCTACGAATCAAGTTTTGCGGCTAAATTGTCCTTGAACCAAATACTGGTACTGGAAGGGGGATCAGGACCAAGCACGTGGCACTGACATAAGACCCCTCCCCCTTAAGTAACCCTAACATAACCCAGTAATCGCTCAGCCCCTGCTTCCGCCCATGGTGGCAGTTAACTTGATTATTTTACAAATAATTGAAAAGTTCCCTTTATCCATTTCCTCGCCATGGCGAAAATTGCACAAATTGCGCAGACAAGACCACCGTGGCAGTCAGCAGGTACATCCATCAACAGGATTCCATGCCGCCCACTTTTCCGGTCCCTGATTTGCTTACGTTGGCGTCGCAGGCAACGCTTTCCCAGTGACGGCAACGCCAGCGATGACACCAACACCAAATAACGAGAGCAACAGCGATGACGACAACTCCCACCGCGACATGGGAACATGGCGGAAACAAACAGGAGTCGTGCCAGAACATCATTGCCAGGGAATGGAACTGGGTGGCTCTCAGCTTGGAACTGAGCTCTGGGACGTAAGAACATGACAGGTGGGCGGGCACTTCAGGTGCTACTTGCATATGCATTACGCTATGTTAGGTCACCCTGCCATTTCAGGTTATTTAATATAATTTTTAAACTGCTATTATATTTGTGAACATAAAATTATATAGATGGAGTTTAACTTGCGTAATAACTGTATTAAGTAAGTTATTTCTTTAAGTAGTCTTTAATATGTCTGTTCAAGAAAGATATCCATTGATGAATGGCAAATCTACCTGGATTACTTAAGAACCTAAACACTGACTAGCAATATTTTCTTAATTTAAGAAAACAGGCAATGTCTTTAATATTTGCATACCAACAATTCTAATACTAATTATGAAATTTTATATAATACCTATAGAAACAATGAGTGTTTAGATGTCTAGGCTCTCTCGATTCTTATAGTAACCGAATGTAATATAGTCTGGAAAATACATATGTTATCACCAAAAAATGTATAACCATCAACTACTGTTGCTTAGGAATTTATTCCTCAATTAATTTCTAGACATCACACCCCAGAAAATATTTAGTACATCCATCCTCACCGTTTTGAAGGTCATTTTTATGTCACCCAATATCGCCAGGTAACCGACATAAACATCCATTTCCGGTCGACCTAACCCAACGTGAAAAGTGCTAAAACTATGCTCTAAAACTATAACACGAATGGGAATTTATTAGGAGTGTTCTGACTTTCGCCTGACAGGCATTGAACTACCTTTTTCATTATCAGAAAAGGTACCAAAAGAAGATAATATATTGAAATAGTCAAATTTTTGAGAATTTAAACAAATCCGTTTGTAGGATTCGTTTCTTTATTATTATTATTATTATTATTATTATTATTATTATTATTATTATTATTATTATTATTAATTATTATTATTATTATTACTCAAACCGGAAAGTAAGTTAAAATTGAATATTTTAGAATACATTATTCCTTTTTAAGATTTAAAATGACTTGTAAATCAGTCTTAAATAAATCATGTAATACATAAATTCAAGATTAAGTATAAATACTATATTTAACATTCATTGCGATATAAAAAAATATATAAACCCTCAGAAATGAAATTTCGATAATGTAATATCCGGAACGCTCGCCACATGTAAGAGGAGGTCCGGGTCCGGGTGCATGGCTAAAAGCAAAGGCTAAACCAAGGAGCAAGTTGAGCATGAAGCTATTAATAGAGCCGTTGCCGAAGTGAACTTGTGAACTTATTTCTGGCTCAATGGTTGCCAGGCAGCTCCGCGAATTAACAACCCATTCACCCAGTGGCCCAGTCAGAGCGAGCCCCGCAATTCGTATCCATGTTCAGTAGGCTGGCGAGGCTTGGAGCGAGCGCTTCCGCCATGCAGACGCGTCCCAGCAGTGAACCGCACCGCGGCAAGGAGCAGGCAAGGGAGGAGCAGACCCCAAAGTGCGCCAGTGCCACGCTCTCCAAGAAGCCTGCCACGCCGCCCACTGCACCGCCGCCTACGCCTACTCCGACGAACCGGGGAGTGGCTCCTCTTACGGTTCCTGTGATCCAGCTTACGCCCGCACAGAGTGACACTCCCGTGAAGAGGGCACTGTTACCCGCCGCCCCCAAGGAGATACCTTCCCTGACCGACAGCAATAGCAATAAGGAGAACCTTCCTGGAAAGACTCTGACGCAGGGAAAGACCACTCCCCTGGGAGCCCCCACCAATTACGTGGCCAGACGCACCTGGATCACCACCGAGCGGATGAACGAGCTGCGTCGGAAAGCCCAGGAGGCGGCCAAGCAGAACAAGATCTTTACCATACGTGGTTGTTTCAACTCGGTGAGGAACGCTCTGCTGACACGGGGATGGGTAGAGAAGCTGGACGTGCACCGTAAGGTGATGCCGGCGGGCCAGATGACTTACGAGGACCTTACCCAAAGGCTGCCGAAGCGAAAGGCGGGAGAGACTCGGCGGCAGTACGTGCTGAAGTGCGAGCGGAATATAATGTCGCGCTTCCTGGAACACATGCCCGTCGACTTCCTGTGGACTAATCGGAAGGAGAAATGCGACTATATTGACCAGGCCAAGAATCCCGGCATGACCATCAACAAATTCCACAGGGCGCCGTTCACCTCGAAGGAGGGTTTGTGCAGCCAGCTCCGGGACTTTCACTGGTTCTTCGAGGAGGGCACTGCCGAGATGTACTTTCCGCGCTGCTACAACGTGTGGAGTCCCGAGGAGCTCGGAGAGTTCATTGATAACTTTAAGCTTACCGCCTGCGTGGCCTACCTGCGGGCAATGCTCTGCAAATACCACAAACAGGGCTCGGAGGCTGTCTTCTCGTGCATGGGCAAGATTCCCTACTCCTCGATAGACTTCGCCTACAAGCGCCTCGTGGAGTATCTCGACAGCTGCCAGCACAACGACATTGATTTTGAGGACCCGCCCAAGATATGGGAGCATGACTGGGATGCGTTCCTCTTCCAGCACCAGCAACTGGTCAACGAGGATGGACGCATCCAGCACGACGGCCAGCGATTGGATCCCATGATCAAGAGCTGCCTGGCTTTAATCGACAAAATGAAAGTCCACTGGCCACAGTATAGCCTCGATGGCTACCAGAATCTGTGGATTGTGAAGCCAGCAAACAAGTGTCGAGGACGAGGCATCCTCCTAATGGACAACCTAAAGAAAATTCTGGGAGTTGTGAACCCATCGATAGCCTCCAAGAGTCGCTATGTGGTGCAGAAGTATATAGGTGAGTTAATGATTATACCTATACTATAGTTTTTAGTAACTGCTTAATCGAGTCTAAATGATACATAGAACTTATGATAGCTTAGGGAAAAGAAATTAAGACAGCTTTTTAGTGATATTTATGTTCTGGAAGAGATTTCTTATTCAAAAATCAGATAGGTTAATTAATATTTTTTTTAAGTATAAAACAACTTTAGCAAATGTATCCATCATTTGCATACACTTTCCAATCGATACTGGATAAAGCATCTTGAGTGCAAACCCAGCACACATTTCGAGTCCCGCTGCTGGTAGGCGATATAAACAAACACACGGAAACTAGGTCGTAAATCAGGCCGGTGCCAAAGTTGTTGTTCGAGTTAGTAGGCTCCCGTTTTTGGGCGTTTTGGGAGCTCGAGTCGAAAGGACGTCAGTTGCTGAGTGAGGCTCCTCGCACACACGCACACTCTCATATATATATACAAAGTTGGCCGTTGCGATTCCTTGCCAACATAAAATGCATAAATATTTGGCCTAAAAACGCAATCATTGCCTTAGGACTGGTGTTGCCACTGTTATTGCTCTTGCTGTCGTGCTCCTTGGCAGGCAAACCATCATAATTTTCTTTGGTGTGTGTCTGTCTGTCTGCCCCATGAAGCTCAACAGGTTTCCCAAAGCAATTGATTTTCAATCCCACCTGAAATGGCCCTCGAAGGCAAACGAAAGCACACGGAAGTTGGTCAAAATGGAATAGTAATGTTGCACAGCAAAGGAAATTATCCGTGCACATTTAGAAGTAGTTTTCCATTTGAATATAATTTAATTTTCAATAAAGAATGATTGGAGAATAAAAACCTTGTTTGGATATATCCAGTTAGATATTATTACAGCACAATAACCATTATATGTACTTGCAGAACGACCGTTGATCCTGTTCCAAACCAAGTTTGATATTCGTCAGTGGTTCCTTATAACCAACACCCAGGTGGGTTCATGTAATCTATTCCAAATCTTCGATTTTCATATATTTCTAACACACCTTTGACTCCACCGAAGCCCCTGGTGGTGTGGTTTTACAGGGAGAGCTACCTGCGCTTCAGCTCCCAGGAGTACAGCTTAAGTAACCACCACGAGTCGGTGCATCTTACCAACTATGCCATACAGAAGAAGTACACCAACGGAAAACGTGACAAGCGCCTGCCCAGCGAGAACATGTGGGACTGCTACTCCTTCCAGGCTTACCTACGTCAAATTGGAAAGTACAACATGTGGCTGGAGCGCATCTTCCCCGGGATGCGAAAGGCTATCGTCGGTTGCATGCTGGCCTCGCAGGAGAACATGGACCGTCGCCCCAACACATTTGAGCTCTTTGGAGCGGACTTTATGATCTGCGAGAACTTCTATCCCTGGCTCATTGAGATCAACTCTAGTCCGGATCTTGGCGCCACCACAAGTGTGACGGCCCGGATGTGCCCGCAATGCCTGGAGGATGTGGTCAAAGGTGAGTCACAGAGTAGTTACCTATAACACCATACTTAATAATTTCTTCTGTGGTTCCTTGCAGTTGTAATCGATCGCCGCACGGATCCTAAAGCAGACATGGGCAACTTTGACCTGGCCTACCGCCAGGTGGTTCCGCCTACCCCCGCCTATATGGGCCTCAACCTGTACGTCAAGGGCAAGCAGGTACTGCAAAAGGCTAGCCATGGAGGTGGCCACAACCACTACTATTACCAGCAGCAGCGCAAGGAACGCTCCCTGGCCACCAGTAGTGTGTACCGCCAGCGCTCGGCCATCCTGCACCCGGCGTCGAGTATCTCTCGTATCCACCGTGCCATGCCCACCTTCAATGCCACCGAGTACATGGAAAAGTACATGGTGGAGCCGCTAAGCAGCAGTCGGAGCAGCCTAAGCCTCAGCCTTAGCAGTCAGCAGCCGCAGAAGTCGCCATCGGTGCCTCCTGCTCCCACCCTCACAGCTCCACAGTCGGCTTCCGCGTGTCCATACCTCCTAAAGCAGGCGGGCCGTTCCATCACCCAGCTGCTGAACAGTGCCTCCCACAAGCGGAACACGGCTGGATCTGTGCCAGGTGAGCCGCTGCCAAACACTGCATTGCCTCCGAAACGCCAGCGGAGCTGTGGACCCCGGCTCAGTTCGACGAATCCCGTGGACAGCACCGAAAAGAAGTTCAAGATCCTGATCAAGAACTACACGGCCGGCGGTGGCAGTGAGTCTATACATGAAGCGCGACCAGAGGGAGTTGCAGCCGCGACGGCTCCTGTGATGAGTGAGCGAAAGTGGCGCAGTTTGCGCAACATTACGGCCACGACAGGGTGCAGCACCTCCACCTCCTCGACCCGTTCCAAAGGCCAATCCTTGGCCGCCCAAGGCCTACCGCAGCGGCGCTTCGTTCGCACCAAGTCCGAGATCGAGAGCACGGCCAGCCTGCATGCCATTGGCAGGACCTTTGGCCGCAAGTCCAACGGTCCCCGGCTTCCCATCAGCATTTCCGTACAAGCCCTACACCGAGGTGAGCCAATCGTAACCGCTCTAAAGCAGGCCTCCAGCGAGCTGCAGCTCTCCCAGGGGCAGATGATGAGTCCAAGAACGGCACTGGCCAACAAGCTGCACAACTCGACGCTGACGGTTCCGGCGCCTCTTCTGCCAGTGGGCTAGGATATCCACCAACACTGCCTTGATACCCTATACAAAAATGCGTTTACTGTGAAACATTGGATAAATGGAAACGAATAATTCACGTCCCTGCTGAAGTTTGCCGGCGTTATAAATAGCTATTGTTACTTTTAACTTACAACCTTTAAGCCTCAATGCGCTTAATAAAGATTCGTGGCCAGCTTTCTATATTCGGAGAGAACCTGGTCAACCTATCTCAACGTTATTTGTTATATTCTTGTTACATTTCGAATTCCTGTTTCCCCCTGTGGTGTACTTTGGGGAAATAGTCAATTATCTACCAACATTGTTTTAAAATTCGGACCTTAAATGAAATATTAAAAAAGAAAGAAATCTAAATAAGTCTAAGGCATTTTTATTAAAAAAAGCCTCCATCATAATGTGATTTTTGTGTTGTTGTTTAACAAATTTCATTGGGTTTAGCCACTGATTTCGATCTGAATAGTCGTGATCCATTTCAAGCTGGAACCGCGTCGCATCAATTTTCTTGGGTCCTTGTTTTATATTTTCAGATTCCTTTGGGATCGGGAAATTACTAAGGATTCATTGAGAGTATTGTTATTATCATTACAATCTTATACGTATTGAAATATTATATTACCTGTTTTTAGCAGCCGGCTTGAAAAGACTTCACATATATATTTAGGAATTAGTATTATACTTCTGGTTACATACTACTCTTTAAAGATTGATTCTGAGCGTGGGCTTCACTCATATCTCCAAGGTGTTGGCCAATGACGATGACCCAAACAAACTTTTAAATCCTAAGGAGGAATACAAATATAGTTTTATTTATACCTTTTTAAAACTCACCAAAAAGTGTTCAAGGAGCTTCACTTGGGAGCGGTGTATTGGAGTGCGAGATTCTCACGAGCCGTTGAATTTAGGATGACCTTTGGTCCCACGTTCTGCGATGAGGCATGGGTGGAAGCCGAGCCCAAACTTGCTACCTCTGGAGTTAGTGTTTTCTTTAAAGAGAAAGACAAAATCAAAGAGTTTGAAATTGTAAATTATTTAAATTAAACAACTAATCCAGTCATCCGTTAATTTACCTTCTTCTTGGGGACCTTTCCAGTGACTGTCTTCACAGTCCTGACCTGAGGCTCCTTGACCTTCTCCAGCTTGGTGCTCGTGGTGGGCTTGACGTTGTTGAGGATCTTCCGCAGGAGCCGTGAACGCGGGTGAGTCCGTGTCTTGGGCTGGTTCTCGAAAAGAGTCATCTGCTTGCCGTTGAGCTCCAAGGGCTTGCCATCGGGACCTTTGTTGATGCTGTAGTTGACTTCGAATACTCGCTCGAAGAGACCGGTGCCTGCAGAGGGGTTCTTCGGCAGATCCACCACAACACGGATGCAGTCCTTCAGCACCTGCGGGCAGATCCTAGCCGTGATCTCCGTCGAGGGCGAGAGATCCGGCGTCGAGTTGATCTCGATAAGAATGGGATTGTAGTGTTCGTCCAGCATAAAGTCACAACCGTAAAGCTCGAAGGCGTTCTGCACCAGCTCTGTCTCGTCCAGGCTGGCCATGACCACGGCCACGAGGTTTTGCTTGAAGCCGTTGTAGATTTTCGACCAAGTTCCTTCCGGAGCCCCCTTGTGGGTCAGGTGGGCCTTGAACTGCTCCAGCGACCACATGTTGTGCTTGGGCAGTCTGGAGTCCCGGTTGGTCTTGTTCTTGTAGCGCTTTTGCACCGAGTTGTTGGTCAGGTGGATGGACTCTCGCAGGTCGTCCATGGTGAACTCCTGTGAGCTGAAGCGCAAATAGCAGTCACGATACATCCAGATGTTGACCGTTGTGTCCGAGATTGTGATCAACATGTATTGCCGGATGTCGAATTTGGTTCGGTAGACGAGCAGGGGTCGCTCTGTGAGGAAGAAAATGTTAATGATAAGAATAATAATAATGCTTCTTGGGGTAAGTGTGGAGTTTATGGGTTCACATGAAGGAAGGAGTGTGGACTTGTGCAATGGAATGTGTGGAGTCAGATATTTCACCTTATCCCGATAATAAAATTCTTTAAGCTCACCTATATACTTCTGGACAATGTACTTTTTGTTCTGATTGTTTGATGTCCACTGCAGGATGTCGTCCAGGGAACTGCGTATGACAATTCCAATACCCCGCGACTGGTATCCGGGCTTTAGGATCCACAAATTACGGCTGCCGTCCCAGCGATAGTCCGGCCGCAGCGACTCGATCTGATCCAGGTAGAGCTTGGCCAGACGGGCATATTCGGTCATTACCTTTTCGCCAATCTTGAATTTGGCATTTGACTTGAGCACATCGGTGGACTGTATCATAAATGTCTGATTCTCAACGATCTCCGCGGGCGTCGCCGGCTTTATTCGGGCATCGTCCAGGGAGTGGTGCTCTGCATAACGCACCATTTTCTTTACCTTCCCGAGCGCAAAGTCCAACGTTGTACTGGACACCGTACCGCTATCGCTTATTAGTTCCGTAGGCTGGTGCTCCTTCACGTATCGCAGCAGCGATCGGGCCTGCGTCTGCTGGTAGTCTTCGATGAAGGCCATGCGCTCCTCCAGACTGTTTCCGCCCAGGCGGTAGAAGCGCGGATAGCTCATCCCGCAGACGCCGTCCTCGCGGTACCAGCGCTCCTGTTCGGCACATCCCACTAGTCCCACCTTTGTGGAAAAGTCCAGGAACTGGCTGCGCCGCACTCGATTTCTGAAAGGTCGAACCTCGGCGCACAGATCGCGCTGGGCTTTGCTTTGCCAGATGAAAAAGCCGGGAAGTGATTTATCATCTTGGAGATGACCACCGCCTCGTAATCGTTCCCTCGCCGGGCGTGCTCCAGCAGGGTGTCTTCGGACATGTTCTGCAGCTTAGAGAAGCGTCCCGCCGGCAGCTTCTCCAGCCAACCTCTCCGCATCAGTGCCCTTCGAACCGTGTGGTAATTTCCATACACGGTGAAGATGCGACGGTTGCGGTAAGCGTCGATCACACGTGTCCGGTAGACATTCCGCATCTGGCGCTTGTGGGCCTCCGGCGCTAGCGGTGAAGTGGGCGAGGACCTGGGCGTCGCGCAGGTGAAACGAGCCCGGGAGAGCATGCTGTTGATGCTTTCGGGACGGAAGCCATGGGTATCGAAGTTGCTTGTCCCACCTGTGCTCAGAGGCCCGGACCCGTAGGCATAGTTATGGGCAAAGCTGCTGCCACCGATGGTGTTCTTGCTAATGTTGTTGCCGCCCAGCGGTTTTGGCACGGTGCACTGCTTGCACAGCTGCACCAGCTCGGCGTCTAGGTTGTGGATAAGTGACTGTATCTTGGAGACGGGGTTGTAGTAGCGATTGCGACTCCCGGTAACTCCACTCGGCGTGCTCTGCGTCATGCTGATGGCTGCTGCGGCTCCGGCCACTCCTGCCTCTTACGCTCGAGAGCTGTGAATCGATGTCCGTTAGGGTATTCTTAGCTTGTCCGTATCCCAGTCCTTGCACACGCCTGGACGTATCCCTTCCCCTTCCTTCGGTTTGAGCTTTTTCTGTGGACGTTGGATGGGCTCGTTGCCAAAGCAGCCGATTTTACGGTGCAATTAACGTGGAATTTTGAAGCAGGAGCCGAACAGTATCTAACAGTATCACATGTACTAACGAAAAATCTTTACTGATTTAAAAATCATTACATCTCATAGACAATACAATTTCAATGTTTAAAAAAAGGGGCGAAAAAGTGACGAAACGAAAGTGAATTCTCAATACAAGTGTAAGCGCTTTTAAAGCAAAGCTAGTCCCTGTCAAAGTTCAGAGGCCCCAAAACTATTTGTATTTTCCAAAACAGGAACCGAGAAAGTACACATTATAATTATAATTTAATGAATAGATATTTTAATTTTCCAATTTAGAAAACGTAACAAACCAATTTACATTTCTTAAAAAATTTTACCTCTAAAAAATGTTGATCTTTCAAAAGAAATCCCTTAAACAGATATGCAGAAATGGAAAACTATCGAAGGTAAGTGTAAGCTATTTAATATAATAATTTTATGTCAAATAAATAATTGAACGAGCTTATAACCTGAAATGATGGAACAATACGTTTGCTAACATTAACCCCGTTCTTAAGAGAGTTTAGAAACATTTTACGATAGTTTATTTTTACATTTCTTTTGGCCCATTGGGTATACCCACTTTCATAGAAAAAATTGAAACAATAGTATAATTTTTTTAATAAAGTTTTATTTGTAGTTATATTTTCTCCATTTGTTTTTTGTGGTTTGCTGTTTTCATCTTTTCAAATATATATGGTACATATAAAAAAAACCCCAAAACGGAATTTTTACCTAAGTTTCTTGTATTGTATTCCATTTTCATGAATCCTTTTTCATCTCACAATATTGTATAAATATATTTACATATGTTATGGTATTAAACTTTATATTTATGTTATGCAGTTAGTTTACTTTAGTTACGTTTGCTCTTCAGCGTTTTTCTCTGCGGAATTTTCAACAAAAGTCAACAATTAAATCAATCTCCTGCTCGAATTAACTTAGATATTCTCCATTAGTGTTTAGTAAATTTAGGTTACACATCATAAATATTTGCTTTACTCCTGGATGTACTTAGATAATGCTACAGTTACATACATAAATAAGTTTGCTGTTTAAAGTTTTAATAAGTTGGTTTACGCATTTGTTTTTTTGTTTTTAATTTCGCTAATACAGTTGAAATAATTTCATTAAGTATTTCTCGTTAGTATTGTTATAATATATATTTTAGTAGTATAAATTAATTTAAGTATATTATTTATATTTACTCATCTTGTAAATGTTTCCCTTTTTTGTTTGTTTTCTTTTTTTTTTGTAGTTCAACTTGGAGACAAGCATTAGTTGCGATTTTGGTTTATGTTCAAATAATTAAAAACTTAAACTAAGACCCCAAACACATAGCACTCATAGGTGCCTCGAGTGTGGGCTTGATTATATGTTGTTATGTGGCAGTTTGTGTGCTTCAACATAAATAAGGACGTTAAGTACATGCGAAATTGAAGGGGATCTCAACAGAAGAGACAGATTTCTTTTCTAAATTATTTATGTAACAACTAAGAAAGTTTGAAAAAGGTTTTCGGATTTCTATGTTTTAAAAAACAATGGATATGCTTTTGGGTTTTGGTGAATAGTTCATTAGAAATATTTAAAGGTCTTATTCGGAACTCCCTCGGGCCAATGAGCAAAGAAATTCTCTTATTAAGGGCTAAAGCAAAGGTTTAGGTTTATGATTCGCCTTTAAAGCTTTTTCAATTACTAAACGATCCATCTCGTATATATAAGTATGTAAATAGTTGATTTTAATGGGCGCTTGCGACTGCTACAACTTGACTTCCCTTTCCCTAACTTCGTTTCTAATACTTCCTTGTTAGTTACACGTATCCTTGATAATTTGTTATAATTAGATTTATTATAATATATAAATCGTATATATATATGTATATATATGCAGCTGTTACTATATATGTATGCCTGATTGTTGTGCATGTTGTTCAGTTTATAAACTCAATCGGAACGCCGTCTCTGTCTGCTACAAAAAGATCTAAACAGAAACACCATAATGTCATATGTATGTGTAAAGCGTATGTTAGTTTGTAAACATCAAAAATTAAAAAAAAAAATACAAAATTAATATTTGATTAAAATAAAAACTGTACAAAATGCCATAAAAATTATATAACAAACAGGTTTGGTCACGAATTTGGTTCGAAGCACGCCATCGTATCTCCTTCTAAAACAAAATACTGTTAGTCTATTGCAAGCCCAATTACACTATAAAAATACAATAATAATAATATTATCGAAAACTGAGTAGCATCTAAAACTTGTACACGCCTGCAACTACGTATGTCCTATGAAGAGTACGTGCTATGTCTTGTATACATTGTCTCGTAATGGATTATGTGACTATGCTTGTTTTTATATTTTGTATGTATTAAATATGTGGATTAGACGTGCATCATGCTGGGGAGTCTCTTGCGTTGCGTCTTTCTTGTTGGAGTTTTTGTGGCTTGGTTGCTGTTAGCACATCTATCTTTCTCTCGTTAGGAAACGTTGCCCCTGGTCTTTTTAGTTTTATTGTTGTAGGTTGCTAATGTCTGTTCTATGCTGCTCAGGTTCACTCATCCACCGATGTCGTGGGCGGACTGTAGCTGCATCAGGAGGCGTTTCGCTGCTCGTTCTCCGGCCGGCGATCTGTAGCTATCTGCAGGAGATTGTTAAACTCGGTGTCGAGTATTTGGCGAGCCTGAAATACAAATTTATTTTCATTGCTTATTTATTCTATGAAATGTTAGCCAATGGCTTACCTGAGCATTTTGTGTGGGTATTTGGAGGGCCAGGCCCATGGCATTGGCATCGAAGCCTTCATCCAGGGCCATTAGGCCCCCATGTACTCCCGATTCGAGCAAGTTATTGGCATATTCCTGTTAAAACACAATGTTTGAAGTTAAATTACATTCTCTTCTCAAGTAAGAGTAAAACTCACCTTCAATCCAATGCTGCCCACCCAACGGATGACCCTCTCGTTGCTCCACACGAGCACATCGCATAGACCGTTCTCGCTCATCTTGCGCCTGTGCTCCAGCTCTGTGCGATCGTAGTTGAGCCGCTTAAGCATTGAGATGCCGTACTGCAGGCTAGTGCGATGGAAGCTGTCTACCATTTTCAGCTGGCCGCGCAAGTCCTTTTTGGTGAGATGATCCAGCATGCGGGCGTCGACCAGACACTCCATGAAAGTTGTACGATATTGCGGCAGACCCAACCCGGGCAGCCAATAGTTACCAATCCACTCGTGATTCATGTCACCTAATGTCAAAATATAAGACAAGGGATTAATTGACAAAAGCACAGATCCCAGATTAGGGCTGTTCTAAAATAAAAATCTACACAAGATCTACAAGATCCTAAAAAAATATAAGCATTTTAAATCTTACCAAACGCCAACGTGGTTCTCGAGGTTTGTGGCGCAGAGGGAGAGGTCAGGGACACCATTTCCTGAATGGCCAGACGCAGCTTGAGCCTGTGCAGGGGATTGCTAATGCCTATTAAATAGTAAGAATAGTTAGAGATAAAGCAAAACGAACCCGGTAACGTGGGACAAATGACACTCACCTATCTCCCTCTGTATTTCCGTATCGCTAAGTGCACTCATGATGGCCCCCGACTTGACGTTCGCGCGACATGCTGCCACATACCAGGCGGGCATGCCCACCCAAAGCTCCAGCCAGGCGACAATAGTGGGGCCGTTCCACAGCGCGAAGGGTGTACCAGCCTTCATGGCTTCGCCAAGCAAGTCATTGCGATAGTCGTGCTCCCTGAAAAGAAACGATGAAATATCAGATGATAATGTTCAGTGGACGAGCTTGAATCGCTCACTTCTTCTGCCTGCCATAGTCGACGCTGCTTATTTTGGATCCCTGAGAGCTGGCTATGCGGGGCATCATGCCGCCTGTCATACTCATGGCATCGTAGTTTGAGTCCACCTCGCTTAGTCCGATCGACAGATTGCCAATGGACATCATGCTGGGCGAGCCGTCGGGCAGCGTATCCTTCACGCCCTTGACCTTTTCCTTTTTGCTAAAGAACCGTCCCAGCGAAGACTTGATTCCCTTTTTCTTCTGCACAGCGGCAGCGGCAGCGTCTCTAGAAACACCCGAAGTCGGCGTCTGCAGCATAGACATGGAGCCCATGGTGTTGTAGTGACGCAGCGACTCTTGGCTGCCGTAACGCGAGCTGAGCGGCGACAGTCCGTAGCTGTGGCTGCTCAGCTGCATGTGGCCGCCACTGTGGTTTGGCGCCACCGGAGCATTGGGGTTGATGCCAATGGAACGCCTTCGGAGCTCCTCCTGACTGTGGGCTAGTGCCTGGGCCACACGCTCCAGGCGCATGGAGCGGGCCGTTAGGGGCGACGCAGCTCCTCCAGAACTTGAATCACCGGTGGTAGACATGCCACCATGGATCTCCTCGCGGGAGGCGTCGCTGGACAGCACTGGCAAGTTGAGCTGTCAGGAAAATATTTAATTAAATGTACAAAACTTTTGTTTAATTACACAAACCGTGTGATATTTCTGCATGAAATCCCGTTGGGGACTGTTGGGTGTACTCCGACCGCTCATCGGTGGACTCTGTCTATCCATGGAACGCCCGCGGGCCAGGAGATTTACATGCTCTAGGCTTCCCACCCGTGATTCCAGTTCCTCGGCCCGCGCCTCCGTCGACTGCTTTTCCTCTTGGATCAGACGAATCTCGTTGTTAATGGCATCCAACTGTTCCTGTAGCATCATGGCCAAGGTCTGGGCGTCTGTGTGACCCGAGGGGGACATCATATCCGCCGTGGCAGCGTACAGGGCATCAGAGTCATCGCAGTCAGCCGCACTGGCCACCAGCTCGTAGGCTTGCTGCTGGGCATGCGCAGCCTGTTGCAGCTTCTCCCACTCCTGCTCGGCCATGGAACGTGCCAAGGCATTCTCCTCCGTAAGCCGCTGCTTGCTCTGCCGCCGCAGCGAGTGCGTCTCAAAGCTGGCGTGCGAGGCACTGCGAGAGAAAGCGCCGCTAGGGTCCACCACACTACTGGGCGAGAGACTGCGGGTGAGCGCCTCTGTCTGCTGGATGTTGTAGGCAATCTCCTGCTGCAATAGCTGGCGCTTGAAATTCTCGATTTCCAGCCGAGTTTTTGACAACTCCTTCATGATTTCGCTCTTCTCATGATGCAGCTCCTCGGCCACCTTGCGCGCTTTCTCCAGCTCCTGGGTTAGAGCGTTCTTCTCGTCCAGGGCGTGCATGCGCTCCTTTAGATGCACCTGCAACCGCTCATTGGATTCCGAGAGCAGCTTGTCCACCGTAGAGGAGAGGCGTAGATTGTGCTCCTCGTTCATCTTGAGACGCTGGTTCAGTCTTACCACCTCGGCGGTCTTCTCATCCAGGTTCGTTTCCAATCCCCGGATGCGGTCTTCCGCCGAACCGTGTCTTTCTTGAGCCTGAAAATGTTTTTGAGCCAGCGAGTTTAATGAGCTTGTTCTCGAGTGTACAATAGTGGCGAATGAGAGAGGTTAGTAGTTCGGGGTTTAGTAATGAAAGCTAAATGTGAGTGATCCCTCTGTATACATATGCTTGCCTTTTAAAAATCTCACTTGGAGCGTCTTTGAAAGTATTAGGGAATTTTAAGTTGTATAGAGAATAGATGTTTTAATTTGATATTGAAATAATGGATATTGAAGATGCATTTTTAGAACGTCAGATTGAACAACTAACTATATATTAAAGTAAAACAAATCAAAAAGCAATTATGTAGATCCATTTCTTAAATATTTCCCTAAAACTACTACCAAATATCACATATTTTTTATAAGTAAACGCAATGGCGAAATCAAATATTTTATATATCAATATTTAAGCAGCTCAACTTATCGGGCTTTTAATTACTTAACAAATAAAGAGATTATGATCATAATCAATTGTATTTTGCCTTGATGTATACAGAAGAATTGGTTTTTGGTCTGATTTTGATTCAGTTTCTGGTGCTTCATAGAGTTTAAAGAGAAAGTTAGGTGCAGTACAGAGAGAGAGGAACAGTATAGTACATAGAGTAGATTAGTTAAAGTTGTTGTTGTTGGTGGTTCTTGTAGTGGAAAGTACGCAAAAGAAAATAGCATTACATAAACAGAGTATAGAGTTGTAGGGAAGAGGATAATAACTGTTGATACTTGTCATATATGGAACCTGTCCGGCGCGCATATTAGTTCGAGTGCATACCTTGTTTCCTACCTTAGTCAATGCCTCCATGCGCGCCTTTAGCTGCTCCTCCATGTCCGGCTGCAGTTTGGCATGCTGAGCGAGCTTCTGCTCGGACAGCTCCAGCTTCTCCTCGATGGCCCCGATCTTCTCCTCGTGCAGCTGCGTCGGCATTGGTATTGTGACATTTGGTTCGTAGTTGTGGTTCGTATATTTTTATATATATTTTTTTGTTGGGCGGGTTGGTAGGTACGATTAGTTGTCGGGAGGAAAGTGGTTGCGTATGTAAATGTAATTGATTAGTCACGCTTAAGGGGAGCTTAATGAGCGAGCAGGATTACGCACGATTTAAAAGTATAGAGAGGGTCGATTTTATTCTACATCATTCAATTATTACTTTAAAAGCAATTTATAAACGTTGGAAATACTAGTACATTTTAAAGGAGCAGAAAACCTTGTATCGATTTGATAATTTTGTTTATAAAAATCGACCCTCTCGGAAATTGTGAATATCTTTCTCGCTGCCTTGACCGTAACCCAGTAATTTCTTTATTAACCCACCTTGAGCTGCGCCTCTTTGTGCCGCAGCTCCTGCTCCAATTTTTCGTTGAGATCATGCAGCGATGTGGACTCTCTCTGGGCATTTACGTAGCGCTTTTCTAGTGTGGTAATGCGCTCCTCCTAAAGAAAGATAAAACAAATTACTTAGAAACCAAAGTTAATATAAAAACATTTTTAAATTCCTACCTGATCCTCTTTTTGGGCCACATTTTCGCGCAGATCTCGCTGCAGTTTTGCACACTGGTCCTGAGCCTTGCAGTGATCTTTTTGGACTCGCGACATACTCTCCTCCAGCTCGCTGATCTTGTTGTTTAGATCAGAGACTCGTCGCTGCCATTGCGAGAGTTCAGAGGTCTTAAAAAGGGAGGCAAAAAGTTATGAAATGGTTTTTTAATGCTGTTTTCTTCTCTTACCTGCTTCTCGATGATCGTTTGCAACTCGTGGGTCTTGGCCGCGTAATCATTCAGCTCGTTCGTCTCGCCATTTACTCCACCCACACCAGCCAACTAAAAACAAACAAAACGGGGAATATAGAGAATGTGTGACCGATATGCATCAATGATTTTCTAGGGGAGAGTGTACCTTCTCTTTGAGCCCGTTTTCCGCCCCTCCACCACCGGCAGCGGATGTTACACTCCCCGCGCCGGCGCCACTTCCTGCCCCAGCCGGCACCAGGCCCGCCTTGTACTGCGCCAGCTCCTCCTTGGCAGAGGCCAGCTCCTCCTCCATCACGTTGTTCTTCTCTATGGACAGGCGAAGGCGCTCGCGTACCTTCTCGTCCAGCGCCTTGTGATGCTCGAACAGAGACTTGAGGGCCTTAAGTACCTCCACTTCGCTGGAGACGCCGCTCTGGGCGGCAGCCTGACGCTTCACAACGGTCATTCGCAGCGAGCGCTCATGTCGGGAGACCAGGCACTCCAAGTGCTCCAGAAGAAGCTTTGGAAATCGAATGAAATCATGAATAAGAAATAAATAATAATGTTTAACAATAAATGAAGTAATTTTACATCGGTTGAAAAGGTAGATAATTCGGTACCAATACATAAAAGGCAAAAATTGCATTTGCCAAGCTGAGTATTAGATTATTTAAAGACAGTTTTGCGTGCATTCGAAAATTCAATTGAATCCGCGTTACACAAATTATTTGTTTAGTGCCTTTTTAACAAATTTCAATAGACTCTTCATAGGGGCTCTTTATTTATCCTGCTCTGCTTACCCTTGTATTATTGCGCTCCGCCTTCAGTTCGCCGATCTCTTCGTCGCGCTCCAGCAACGTTTCCCGCGCCTGCGTCAGCTCCTTGGTGAGGGTGGCGAACTCCTAGAAGTGATTGGACAATAAGTAAAGCCGAACAGGACTCTCTATTAGATCCTGGAATCATCTTTACCTGCGGCAGGTTGGCGTTGATCTGGCGCTGCAGGCTGTCGCGTTCCTTCTCCACATCGTGCAGCTTGTTCTCCGTCTCGCCCAGCCGCTCCTGCGCCTCTCGCAGGCTGTCCATCAGCTTGTCGCGCTCGTCCAGCATGGAGACCATGAGCTGCTCGAAGTTGGCATCCTCGCCGCTGAACTGCGAGGAGCGCTGCGAGATGCTGTCCTCCGATATTGTGGGCATTACGTCGCACATCATGTTCCACATTATTTAGTTGGGGCCGCCAGACTGCGTGAGAGAGCAAGAGGGAGAGAGAGGGGAGCCATTAGATGCCCACTCACACACACACACACCACACCGTTCCAATTGGAATGCCCAGCATAGTGGGAGAAACATGTCTAATGGGACTTTTATCATAGGCGCCGCATTGATAACAAGTTTTCTGCACCAACACACTCGCACACATGCACGGCATACACACTCACACGCACGCCCGCACACACACACACACACACAAACACACGCGCAGGTTCAGCACTTTTTCTCTTTCGCATAACTGACATATTTTTATGCTCTAGGTGTGTCGCTGGCGCATTTTGCAACAACAAATGGCCGGAAAAGCTGCCATAGGCCAGCAGGTGCGTCTACAGTACGCTTTTCGCTGCCTCCAAACGCCTTTTTTGCCTTTAAATTCGGTTATATGCGAAAAGGGCTGTTGAAAAAATCCCACTCCACCAACAACGTACCCGATCGATCTCACGGCGGCAGGGCAGCAGCAGCAACAACAAAATTTGCCGCTGGCTGCCTTCGCATATGTATCCGGCGCTTTTTATTTAAATACGATTGAAATTTCAACTCCGGAGGTTTTTTTTTCCAATTTACGATTGTACAGAGCTAGAGATGGGCGCGTGAGTTGCTCAGTTATTAGGGATGGCACTCGAGCTGCCAACTGGCGAAGAAATATTCCAAGCAGTGGTATCATTGCAGCTTTTTCCCGTCAGATTTGAATTTTTTTGAAGTGTGATTCCGGGAAAAATATGAAAACAGCAGGCAGCGGGAATTTTTGCTTTTTGAGCAAATTTAAGAAAATGTAAATTGAACGTCTGTACAGCGACACAACCCTGGTAGAGAGGGAAAAAGTCGATGACAAAATAAAGTTCAGGGCTGAGTTTAGAAATACCGGGATTCTGCCAGAAACTGCCGTTTTTATGAATTGGCTTCAGTTGCTCTGTAAATGCAGTCATCAGAATGTCGATGTCAAGCGAGTATTCAGCCAAGTAAAGTTAATTAAAACAAAAATTCGAAATAGCACGAGCGTTGAAACGTTAAACGCTATACTAACTATAAGGTCCTTAAATTAATTTTATTTTTAATTTTACATTAGACATTAATTTACTTAAAATTTTAGGTATGGGCTGCGTTGACAAAATAAGTGCCGTTCTAACTACATTCTCCCACCCAGCTGCCTATCTACAATTTAACAAAAGAATTTTTATCCAACTGATGATGCCGATAATATTGACGATGTATTAAATATACTATAATTCTTAATTTTTGTACATTATATATTTTATGTTAAGTATTGAACGGAGGGTTCATTATTGAAGAACATACAGCACATTGCTCAATAAAAATCAGCTTTTTTCTTAACTTATTTTCTCTGGTACTCCGCTCTTTTTTAACTTTTTTTTCGTTGATACAGATTCCAAGCCGCAAGTGGCAACACTGCGAAAAATTGTTTATCGATATATTGATACTTTGGCATATTCTTCACATCGCTAATATCAGGCCGCAGGCGTTTGTGTTTTATTTTTTTTAAATCGAACAAATTAATCTGTTTAAGCACCTAGCATAAGGATAACCCGTTGCCATACCACTCACCAAAGCGCCGAAGCCAACGAATAAAATGGGGTAAGGTCTGCGGGCGACGGCAAACTTCTGCAAAACCAATTTTTTTGCGTGTGGGAAAAATCGACGCCGTAAAAGCTGTAATATCAGCTTGTTGTTGTTGTTGTCCTGTTGTCGTTGTTGTTGCTGGACTTCTGTGTGTAGCGGGCGGCGTAAATATGTACACACACACATCCGGACGGGCACACCTGGAACACACGCGTGGGCAGTGTGTAGGTGTGCGGGTGTGTGTGCGTTTTGCGCTTGAGACGATAAATAAACGGTAGAATTTAAAAGCAAGGCTGTCGAGAAGGCTTAAGCACATAATGCAATTTAGTCGCTTGTCGCCAGTCGCAAGCGATAACAGGAAGACATCACAGCAAAACGGACGATGTCGTTGGATAGGTAATAGATAAGCACGCCCACTCACACCCACGGCCTCCCAAAAGGCTCGCCAGGCGAACTATTTAACTACCGCACCGAAATGGAATTTTTAATTAAGCATTATTAAGCCCGTGACGTTCTATTCCCTTTATGGACCACAGCGAACAACCGATTTTCACCTGCCAGGCGCACGTCTTCCACATCGATCCGAAGACGAAGCGCACCTGGATCACGGCAAGCATGAAGGCCGTCAACGTGAGCTTTTTTTACGACAGCTCGCGGAACCTGTACCGCATCATCAGTGTAGAGGGCACCAAGGCGGTAATCAACTCAACGATCACGCCCAACATGACGTTCACACAAACCTCCCAAAAGTTTGGCCAGTGGAGCGATGTGCGGGCGAACACGGTTTACGGCCTGGGATTCGCCTCTGAAGCGGAGCTGACCAAGGTAAGATGCAAGACGGTCCACATAGGCCGCAACCATTCGTTTATCATCTTATCCTTTTTTTCCACATTCGCAGTTCGTGGAGAAATTTCAAGAGGTCAAGGAGGCCACCAAGAATGCAGCGAAGTCGGCCAACGGCTCTAACGCCGTTACGCCCACGACCTCTGCCAACACGTCGCCGATTTCCGGCCGAGCCGTGGGTGCCATGCAGAACGACAACACGGCCATCGATCCGCATACCGTGGAGCCGCCCAACATGAGCAATACCAACACTCAAAACGCCAATCCTGACAGTCCCTCACATAAACTCCTGAATACCAACGATGGCAAGCCGGACATTGGCTCGGCCACGCCCTCGCCTCAGCCAACTTCGGGGGAACTGGCGGAGGTGGCGGTGTAACCATCTCCTCGGGCGGTAGTATTGTTGGCATGCACACGGGTCCGGGGGCAGGAGCCACAGCCGAGCAGCAGCTCAAGTACGAAAATGAACGCTTAAAAATGGCCTTGGCGCAGAGGTAAGTATTATATTATGAGTTCTTGGATCTTGATGTGGACTCCTTGGTTTCGTTGTAGCTGCGCCAATGCCAAGAAGTGGGAAATCGAACTGGCCACCTTAAAGAACAACAATATACGCCTGACCAGCGCTCTGCAGGTAAGCGATGTGATGCGATCATTGGGTTTAAAAACTATAACTAAATACACACCTGCTCTTTCTTAAAGGAATCTACGGCCAATGTGGACGAGTGGAAGCGCCAACTGCACACCTACAAAGAGGAAAACATTCGACTCAAGCGAGACATGGAGCTACTCCGAGTGGGCGGTGGTGGTGCGGGTGCTGCTGCTGGATCCGGTGGAGTCACCGAAGACGAGTTGCGTCGAGAGGTCGCCACGCTGAAGGCACGAACGGAACAACTGCAAGCGGAACTGTTGCAAAATGAACTTGAGCTTAAATCGGCAAACATGAGCCTACGTGAAAAGTGTAATGACCAGACTGTAAGTTGAGCCTTCGATCCATATATTTGTTTGAGATTTTATGAGTGGCTGAACATTTGTGGGGAGGTAGCATAGAGTTAGGAGATGGACATAGGATAGGAATCTGATTTTTTATTTGTTTATTTTTATACAATAGTAAACGAAGAGAAGTAGATAGTAAGCGAATCAAATTTTAAAGTTGACCCGTTGATGTATGTATAGAATTCGAAAAATCGAGAGTAGAACTAAAGAGCTCAGCAAAGTAAAACATAGGCAACTAAGTATCATAGCTATTTATAATTGAGTTTAAAGCCTTGTAAATGAATCTATTTTTTTAAATTTCCAGTTGGCCAAGCTGAGCGAGTTGAACGTCGTATTCGCCAAGCAGCTTTCCGAGTTATATGCAGTGCAGAAGGATATGGAGAATGTCATACATCCAGCCAAGTGCACTTGAGACACAGAGATTGCGGTTAAACGAAAGGTCTCTTCAGAAATGGGATAACGTAATATCATGTGACTATTACCAGCTTTCTCTTACAGGTTTCAGCGCAGGAACAGACTACAATGACAAACACTACAACGACATCGACATCCACAGGAACCACGACAAGTAAACGATATTTAAGCAACTTTCCCATGGCTGAGGCCGAGAGCACCCTCTCCAATGTCACCTCAATCCAGAGCCAGCTGCAATCGTCGCTTTATGAGACCCAGAACACGGCCCAGTTGAAAGCACTGGACAAACACTCGGCCTTGCTCCAGGAACTGCATCAGCGGCAGGCCACTCCCAGGCGCAACTCTGTCGCCGCTGAAGCGGCAGCAGCTGCTGGCTCTGGTGGGGCAAAAACTGCCACCATACTCGTTTCCAAATCAAAAACCAAAACTGGGCTGCCTCTGTTGCTGAAAAATTCCATAAACAATTAGTGAAAATCCATAAAAACGATGGATGAATAGGACAGAGAGAGAGAGAGAGAGAGAGTCAGCGGCGTTTTTGTAATCTTTATATTGGTAGTTTGTATACAAGGACAGGGTTAGACGAGAGCCCACGCACCTCACCACCCCTCAATTCCCCCAAAGCCTGAACCTTACTCAATTTATTACTCATTTGTGTGTTGTAACTGTAACGTTTTTTGGTAACTTCGAATCGAAATTAGAATAAACCCATGCCCAGTATTTTCGTGGCCATTTAGGAGGTCCTAATCGATTGATTCTCGTGTGCGCACTAAAGTGCAATATTTATCCACAGTATATAAATGTAATGATATTATGTGCTCTATATACACTTTCAGCAGATTGTTAATTAATTTTTAATGAGAGCTTGACAATGAATACTCCCGCAAGAAAATTTCCCAAAGAAAAATCTAAGCATTTCTATCGAACAAGCGACACGCAATTTATTTTGTAAATGTGCTCGAACTTTTTATATAGTATTTTTAGAAGGCTAAATCTTAGGCATACGAATTAAATGTTTCTTTACCTTTCGACCTGTATTTTCCCTCATTCGATTATAACTCATGCAAACCCCATCACAAGCATCCCTTATTGCAGTTATGCACTGATTTACTAGCATATTATACATAATACTTTTAAATACATAACATTATAGTATGCATAACTAACAATGACACTAACAAAACCATATGGAATACAATGGATAAAATAAATTAAATTTTATAAATGGAACAAAGTCCAAGCAAAACACGAGACTAGCAAAGTAAATTATTTAAAGGAGAACAATGACAACCAAGTCAAGTAATAGAGTAATACAACTTGAAGAATTATTATTACAAATAATATCAGTCACTGACCTTATAATATCAAGATGCATAACAAACCTATAGTTGAATTGTCATACGCAAACAATTTTTCTGCAAGCTACAAGCCCTCTCGCTAGACCAAAGTTGAGAGCGTGAAATCTAATTCGAATGTCCAAGTGCGTATAGATATAGAATGCTATGCCTGAGAATACATGTGCATAAGCTGTCACTGGTTTTTGGAGCTGTTCATCTTGATATTGTGCGGTCTTTGGTTAAATGATATGTATTGAATCGAATTAAAATCGCTATTCGACAGACGTCAGCTAATAATTTAAGACACAAGATACACAATCTCCCCACACCGACACCCACTAAACGAACAGTTATGCAGTGGTAATTACAAACGTTTGCGGTTATATTCAAGCCATATTGTTATGCACGCGATGCATAAATTACCCAGTTGAGAAACAAATAAGAATTAATAACGAAAATGAAATGTTGAACATACAAATTTAGAAGTTAATAAACAGAAAGTAAACCGACAGAAAATGAAAATATACATAAATAAATATATTAAATAAATTAAAGTCATCTTCGGATACACTTTTTGTCTTTCTTCTTTATTTAAGAGATAAGAGTAAACATATTCAAGAAAAACTTCTGTCAACGCTCGGGCTTATGCACATTTTGTGGCGTTTCGTTTTACTATCTTTTTTGGTCTCTTGGCGCACCGGGAAATGTCACTTTTGTCATTTTTTTCAAGAACTTTACCGAATTTATTTAAAATCGATCATATATAATAATCTATAATTACATTAATATATTTTCTAAACAAATAACGATTTGTACAACTCGGATTTGGAACTCTCCGTCCAATCGCCGACTTCATTGGGAGCCATAAAGTTGATGAGCTTATTGTGCACCACATATCTATGAAGAAATAATGAAATATATAAAATATGAGGAACGATGCCGTTTCTAAATAAGAAATGCTTGCTTACCGCAACTTGCGACCCTTGCTGGCCCTGGTGTCCACCTTCTTCTTCATCTTTTGGCGCAGCTTCTGTAGCTCCACGAACTGTTTGGTGATCTCGCTCATGTTGGACGAGGTGCTTGCCTTGTACTCGATGAGCTCGCGTAGCTGCTGGTGGTAAAAATCGCTGTCGTCGTAGATGTGGGTCAGTCGCTTCGGAGGCTCGTTTTCCGGTTGATCCGGCTGATTACTCTTTATAGTCTGCGACTTCTCCACAAGTACTTGCCGATGGCCCAAGGCGCTTTCTATTTTCTTGATGATATCGTAGTCTTCTTGCACCGATTTGCGCTTCACACCCGCTCCGGGAGTTAGTAGTTTGGTGCGATCGTCCCACTTGAGCAGGACTTCGTTGCGATAGCTGGTCATTTGCTGAAAGTTGTTCTCCAGGCAGCCGCCAAAGCGTTTACCGGGTGGACCCGCCTCCTCTGAAGGATGCTTCCGCTTTACGGACTTCCGCATCTCGGAGTTCTGTTGATAGAGTGCACTTTGCAGGGACAAAAGTTGTTGCAGAAGCTTTGATGAGCGTTCCTGCGCCTCGTTTAGTACCGATTGAAGCTCCTCGTTTTCTGAGCCAAGTTTCTTCAGTGTGTCCGGAGCGGGCAATTGGTTAGCCTTACTGGTGAACTTCTGAGTGTTGATCCTGAGTTCGAGAAGGCGCTCCCAAATGCGCAGTTGATTTTGGACACAGAGTCCCTTTTGGATCTCAGCTTGATGGTTCGTTTTGGACATAATGTCCGAGGGCTTAATGGAATCCTCTTCCGCGTCCTCTTCCTCATCGTCGTCTTCAGTGTCTTCTTCGTCGTCGTCTTCTTCGCCATCGTCGTCATCGTCCTCATCCTCTTCGCTATCATCTTCATACCCAGCGTCTGCCAAAGCGAAAACCAAGTTCCGATTCGGGGAATCCTGAGCTAGGTCCTCATTTCCATCATCTTCCCCAATGGACTGCTGTTCGCCCTTGGCTTTTGCAGCGCTTAACTTTTGATTAAATGCTTCCAAATCAACATCTTCGTCGCTCTCCTCGTAGGGCAGCTCCTCTTCGTCGCTCTCCTCCTCCTCATCCAGCTCATTACGACTGCTGATCTTGCCCTTGTAACGATCACTCTGCTCCGACAGCAGCTTTACGTTCTGCTTACGAAAGTCTGTACTGCGGGCATCCGGAAGATCGTACTCATCCTCCTCGAAGTCAACCAGACGAGGCCCAGTGGCCACGTCGAAGTCCGAGTCCTCATCACTGTCGCTCTCGTTTGGATGAGCGATCAGTTTGCTGACCTTTTCGGCCACCGTTTGGGGCTGTTTCTTTGATTTGCGCAGCATTTCCTTAGGCTTTCATTTGTTTTTACTAATTTCAAAATTAAAAAAGATTTTACCACATGGATAGAGATGGAATAAATTCGATTTTAGCATCGAAACTATCGACTATTTTGATCGGTCGGTCGAATATCGATTCAGTTTAGATAGAATCGATGTATCGTAAACCATTTTAAAGATTCCATCACTATGAATAAAGCGGAGAAAAAGTATTGAGCGTATGAGAAAAAAAAATTAAAGTACTTTCTCTTTTTAATTTATATTGTAGATTTATGAAATTTATCTGAACATAAATTATATCTTATCTATGTATTTAGTTTGAATTGATCCATTTACCTTATAATGATAAAAGTTATTTAACCCGATTCAATCAATCGTTTTATCTACCATTAAGCACCTACAGAGAAATATTAAGTCAAAGTACCAAAGAAAACTGGTGTATTAGTAAATAACTCACTTTAACGAAAATAAACATAAACAAAAAAAAAAAAGGATTTGGATCTTAGAAAACATTAATAAAAAGGGACTGCCTACTTTTAGGCATTATGATATGACAAATGTCCAAGGGAAATCCGATAGGAGCGCCACTTCCTTTACTTTTAATTAAAAATTTAAAACATAAATTTAAAAATGAATCTGCGCATTTTGAGCTGCAGTTTTCAGTTGTTAATGCACACATGCCACACGCCCGCTCATTAGACTTGACCGCCTGCCGTGTTATCAGGTCGGCCAGGTGCATCTTGATAAGAGCGCACGCAAACTAGACAACAGCGCACGCACACACATTCGTAGCATACAAAAGCGCGCTCCTGGACGTGAACTTGAAATCCTTTGTCCTGACCCCTCATTAAATGTAATGGCCCACCGAGTGATTGAATTGCGAATCACTTGGGCGGCGTATGTTAAATTGTCAACCTTGGCCGTGGATTTGCGGCAGATGCCAGTGAACACTCGTCGGGATCGGAGGTCTTGCAATCCGGAAAAGGATATATACTGCGCAGCGCACGGAGCACCAGGCCCGAAGCTCCAAGCAGAGCCAAGCCAAGGCAGACAGAAACGCCGATAAGGCCTATAAGTAACACCAATTTAATTTCTTTTTCTGGGTGAGACGCGACTCACGCGGCTGGGATCGCGGTTGATAAGAGATCCGCAACATTTGGCGATCGGGCCGACCAGCTTTCGAACTTTGAGTCGCACACACGCATTGATAAACGTGAAATTTATGCGGGCGGGACCTGCGAGCACAGACACACACTCTCATAGACACACATCACGGCAATTGGGGTCGCCACTGTTATCGCCCGTGTGTCGCACTTTTTTCGCTCTTCTTCCAGCTGGACTATCAGTTGTTGTCGAGATTTCGATTCCGCGGCATCAGCATCCCATCTCGGCCAGGCGGTTCAGTCAGTTCCTGCTCGCCGAACGGTGAGAATCGAGCCGAAAGAACCCTTGGCGGCGTCTGCTTCGTTAATGAGCTACCGTTTCATCGATAGTGATAGAACCGCGCGTGCGTGTGTGTGTGAGTGCGTGGGCGGTTTGCAGTGGGAACGCTGCATGTGAGGCGTGTGTCAAGCCGGTAGTGAGAACGCTGCATTTATGGTGTGCCAAAATATTCAAAATTTATTCAATTTTTTTCAAGTAAAAATCTTTTGAAACGGCCGTATGTATATGCAAGAACACGGTGTGGCCGCGTGTTTAGAAGAAGCGAACAAAACGGAAATCACAAAACGAAATACAAATAGAATCGAGAAATCAAGTTGTATATAGAAGAAAAGAAATTATACGGCACGTACGCGTACTCTCGTAATCATTGATTACGCCTACAATTAGTATATATACGAGCGAATCGATTAGCTGTAAGAAAAACTGGAAAATCGTACTGTAATCTAAAATCTCTGAGCTGCTAAGCACTATTGTAGGTAAACTCAAGATTCTGCGAAGCTTCAAGATCAACACACATTCAAAAATTCGGTATAGACTTTTTCCAGCACTTTTGGCATTTTATTTCTGGTCCATTTGATTTCTCTTTCATTAAAAAGATATTTTGTTCAACTATAATTATTTGTTTGTTGTGAGCGCCCATTAAAATGCCAAGTTCAAAGGGCACCGAAGGCGGCGCGTCTAAACAAATAACCCGTTAAACTGTCCAACTCAAGGATTAATGAGAGAACAATGAGTACTGCCTTTCAATTGAGTGAACTCTCGCTCAATTGAGCGCAATTGATTAACAGATTAAGATTCCATCCAGCGAGAGCGTAAGATGCTCTCCACTATAATTATTTTCGTATTAATGCTGGGAGTGCCCAGCATAAGTGGAATATTTATTATCAATTGGAAATGAAAATATTCCAATTAGGTGCGAGTGTAATTAGTTCAAGGTCATCGCAAGTATTAGCACCAAGAAACCGGACAACAAACAAATGAAAATCATAACAAATCCCCAATAAACATGTTCTTGAACTCAACGAACGAACAAAAATAAAATGTGAATTATCAAATCGAGTGCGATTCTTTTAATTGAGTGAATAGCCCAGAATATTTACCAACGTGAGATGAGATGGGGGTTTCTGTTTGTGCCTCTCCTCTGATTATCTCCCGCGACTGCAATGAAATGTAGCGACATATGAGAGACAATATAAACAAGAAAATACAATCGCCAGGCCCCCAAAACAAAGAGATTAATACAAGGTTCAGAAAGGTTTTCGTTATATTTCATTATAAACTTTAAGGTGCAAACTCATACTTTGGGTTTTCTTTTAGTGTCTTCTGATTGTGAAAAAAAAAATTCTAAATTGTTAAGACATTTGAGACCTAAACATTCATATACGTTAAAATATTTATGCCGTAAGACGAAGAATATAGTTAAAGCAAAACAACAAGGAAACCATCCATTCAAATTCAAAGAAGATAGAGAACAGGATATAGGGATGGGATTGATAAATTGTGATTTAATAGAATTTCTATCTAAAATATAAACTATAATTCTAAAAGCTTGTCAAAATTATCCATTTAGAATAAAATCGATCTCTCTGGAACGAAATCTGTGCTACCTATACCAACTAAACAGAAATCTGTGAGATAGAAATAAAAAGTGATTGGATTTATCATTTGGATTTAAGTGATGGCCGAGGAAGGAAAAGTGCAGGAATACGATCATCGCATTCTCAGTGATTGGTCGAACGTTAACAGCACGAATGGAACCATGCACCTTTCCGAGGATATGGTATTCAACGATGGCCACCGCTTGTCCATCACAGTATACAGGTGAGTGAAACGTCACCTAAAAAAGACACCTCGCTTTATTCGCTTTATAACCTAATCAGAGTCCAGATCACCTCCCACGTTCTCATTTGAATTTTATTCATATTTTCTAGTCATATTGATAAGCTTTGGCTTTTACTATCTGTAACCTTTTCCCGAGTCTAGGCTCTATCAATTTATGTGCCGGTGTGGGTGTCGCTGCTCGTTTTTGTTTGTGAACAGGTATAAATCATGCTGGGCTCAGCATCTCTGGCTCATCCTTCTCTGCTCTCTGTCTGGCTATCTGTCTGAGATTCAATCATTTTTGCTTGGAATTTGAACGTTACAGTTCACTGGAGGGTTCAATATTTCGGAATGCCAGAGATTCACTTGATCGATTAAGAGTGAATCCCACAATTATTCAATGCGTAGAAATGGTTTTAGAAAAATCTTTCAGTTTAACAATGATTATTTGTAATTGTTTTATATTTTGTTTACTTATTTTGTTTATTATCATTTTCAAGTTATAGGCTATGACAACTTTATCTAGAACGTATAACAACTACACTTACATCGTATTAAAAAGATTATAGAGTGTGTATATACCTTGCTTAATTAAACTTTCGAATATATCTCTCTTTTATGTCATCCGAAAAATACTTTTATTGAAAAATTACCATTGACCATTGAACATTTGTTTTGCAAATGGATTTTTCGATCGAATTGATAATCGATCAAAGCTAAGCCATTAATTTCAATTCAGTAACTGAATTGATACATTAGCTTATTCAGTTAAAAAATACAACAATTTCCAATGTTTTATTATTAATGAATTAAGAGTTTATTTATTTTAGAAAATAATGTTAAATATTATTACAAAGAGTTACAAAGAACATGGCAAAAGAAGTTTACATTATCAAATAAATCGATAAATAATATTTTCTAGAAAAATTAATTTTATAAGCTCTGCAATATTTAATAAATGTAAATAATTGGAAATCGAAAACAGTCACATCACTCCCATGACTAACAATATATACGTTTAATTTTCGGTACTAAATTATATGCTTTTGGCATTTCCCGTAGGAAACGTACACATTTCAATCGAATCCCTACGATTGTCTACAACTGATATTACAAAACTCTGTGACTCCATTCGTCCATCAAGTTTACCACTCCTAACTGCCATTCTTTGACCCACTTATTGAGCGACTGGCACCCACGCACTGACACCCACCACCATGGGGGAAAACTTCTTTAATTTCCCATTCACCATTGTAATATCTGCCGAACCCTCCCACCTTTGCCTCCTTTAACCGCCTCAAATGGTTTTCCATTTCCATTTTCCACTCAGCATACTGTTTGTGATCTCAACAATTGGCAACTGCACCGTGCTCTATCTGCTGACCAAGCGGCGACTGCGGGGTCCCTTGCGGATTGATATCATGCTAATGCATCTGGCCATCGCCGATCTAATGGTGACGTTCCTCCTGATGCCAATGGAGATCGTGTGGGCCTGGACGGTGCAGTGGCTCTCCACCGATCTGATGTGCCGCCTCATGAGCTTCTTCCGCGTCTTCGGCCTGTACTTGTCCAGCAACGTGATGGTCTGCATATCGCTCGACAGGTGAGTCCCAGTCCCCAGTCCCCAGTCCCCAGTCCGAGTGAACGCGAGCCACTGTCGCATCGTTGTTGAGTGTCGCTAATGGACCTAATTGATAGCTAGATAAGGCGGCTCAATGTGTCAATCCAGCCTAGCTTTCTCACCGCTTGCTCCTCTCTTTCTCTCTGTCAGGTACTATGCCATACTGAAGCCTCTGCAGCGTTCCTATAACCGCGGACGTGTCATGTTGGTTTGCGCCTGGCTGGGATCTGTGGTTTGCAGCATTCCGCAGGTGAGCCCATAGACTTTCCACTAAAAAATCAAAGTTTAACTAACTATAAATAATAGTTTCAATCTTAATTTGTTGATACTAAAACAACTCCATGTCGTTTTCAGGCCTTTCTGTTCCATTTGGAGGAGCATCCCAAGGTTAAGGGCTACTTTCAGTGCGTCATATTCCATTCTTTCAAGAGCGAGTTCGACGATAAGCTATATCAGATCGCCTCCATGTGCGGGATGTATGCCTTTCCCCTGATTGTCTTCATCTACTGCTACGGTGCCATATATCTGGAGATCTACCGGAAGAGCCAACGGGTGCTTAAGGATGTGATTGCTGAGCGATTCAGGCGCTCCAACGACGATGTTCTCAGCAGGGCCAAAAAGCGCACGCTCAAGATGACGATCTCGATTGTGATCGTATTTATAGTCTGCTGGACTCCCTACTACACCATTTGCATCTGGTACTGGCTGGACAAGCCCTCGGTGGAGAAGGTCAATCCGTTGGTTCGCAAAGCGCTCTTGATATTCGCCTCAACGAACTCCTGCATGAATCCTTTGGTCTACGGCCTATATAACATACGCGGGAGAATGAACAATAACAATCCGGTAGGTCTAAAGTTACTTAATGAAGATTGCATAGACCACATCTCATATCTTATTTCTCTCATTTTGCAGTCCGTAAACAACCGCCACACATCGCTATCGAATCGCCTGGACTCGTCCAATCAGCTCATGCAGAAGCAGCTGACGAACAACTCGCTGATCAACAGCGGTCATGGCCAAGTAATGGCTGCAGCCGTGGCTGCCACCACAAAGTTGGCCCATGTTGTGGGTCTAAAGAGCGCCGCCAATTCGAACGGATCTGCTGCAGCGGTGGGAATAGTGGTGACTCTCCCACCATCCCCAATGATTGTGGCTACTGCACCAGTGGCCAGCGATGACGAGACCAACGACAATTCCAGCCTCAGTGTGGTCACCATCAGGTGCCAGGAGCAGCCCATGTTCTGCCAGAAGTAATTTCGGTCTCTACACCCTTTTCCTATCCTATCTCGCTGCTACCTATATCCATCCACATCCTCATCCTCATCCTTGCATTTATTTTTCTAAAGCTTCACCTCCTCATACGAGCTCTTTGTTTTCAATTTTCGCACAGTTGTCGGCATAAAATAAGGAATTTATGTTGTGGTCCATATGCTCATCCTTTGAGTCCGTCTTGTTGAGCAGAGAAAAGAAGAATCTTTATAATTAGTTTTCTGTAAAGGAAGGTTGCTTTACAAGATTCAGACTGTTTGGAAAAGTTTTAGCCAAAGTAAGAAAAACTTGATAATTTTTAATTCAGATTTTATAACCAAAAATCTTTTAAGACTTAAATAAACAGTATTAATATCTGCTTCTCTTGAATCTAAACTGTAATGCGACAGTTTTTTACTGCTTCGTAATATCAGATTCTCTTAAAATTACTGAAAAAAGGTAGTACTTACACACTCTGCATTTTATGCAATAGCCATAAAAACCCTATCTCCTTGCAGACCTGCTTTTAAGATCGATCCAGACCAAACCCTAGTTTATTTAGGTTAATGCAGAGTTACATCACCAAAATTCATGGGCATCATCTCACCCACAAGTGATGCACTTCAATGGCCATTTCCTAGCCGCACTCCATTTTATGTCAACTCATCTGAACCTCAACGAGAGCAAAGTCTAAGTGTATATACTTTCAGCTGTGGCGACTCCATCGAAATGACCAGTGTGGTTAAGTAAACAATAGCCAATAGGGCTCCGAGAGCAACTGGATCAATTAAGCGATCTGCTACTGTTCATCTGGAGATGTCGGCTTGGAACAAAGGGCGTCTAATTTGCTAACCAGCTTTGTTTGGGATTTTCATCATAAATTCTTTTGGCATTTGCATTTAGCTAACGACAAATTAAAATGTTTTCAAGACAACGAACGCGGCGCCCGGGTCAGATCAAAATTCCGAATCCAAATGGCTTTGGTTTAGGCCATCGAATGTTTGGAAAACAAAGTTATTGCTTAGGAAATACGCTTAAGACGTAATACCGCTTACTATTAGATATACTCCGGTTAGTTGGATTATTGCTTAATTTAAAATAATTTATTCATAGCAACAAAATGAAACTAAACCAAATCGAAATAAAAATATGTAAAATATTATAGAAAATAGCAAACATGAGCGTTTGAAATTCTTATTTGGATCGATTCTCTTCCTCATGATATAAATATTGGTTTATTTGCTTTTGAGGTTTTGTTAAGACAGCGTTAATCATTTATGACCCTAGCCCTCCACGTTAATTATAGTTTTAGACTCGTGTGTGACTGCGGATTAACTGACTGTTTAATATCTGTTTACGTTCTTATTAATTTTTATTATGAAACCTGTTTCATTTCTTTAATAAGAGATTGTTGATTGACCTTTAACTAAATTTAACAGAAGTAGAGCTTACAGTAAACAATACATACTTTTGATTAATGATAAATAACAATTATGCTAGTAGACCACAATGCTATCAACCGCTTTATTGTCTTCTCCTTTTCACCATTTCCCAGGAAGCTTAACCAACTTTACTCTCTGTATCTCTTTTGGCCAATTACTGCCATCTAGCCAATATCCCACCCACGCTCACAGAAAGCCCAGGTGGAAGACATCTGGTCTGGTCACTGTCATTAGCCAGGTAACCCAATTAAGCGGCTAAGACATAAAATGACAATATTTCTGAGCGCAACTGAATGCCCATTTCCCCCTTATCCGACGAGTGTAGTGTTAGAAAGTGGCTCACTCTCGTTACACTGAACAACAAAGTCACGTTCCCTGGGAAAACACTCGGCAGCAGACATAAAAAGACGGAAGAATGCATGTAATCGAATCTTCAAGACCGAAAAATAAACATGTTAATAATACAATTTTATGATTAATACGAAATGAGCTGCAGAGCGGGAAAGGTGGGGGATGCGATGGGATTGGACAGAGGAGATGATGTTGCTGTTGTGTTGCTGTTGCAGCGCCATCGAAAAGTGCGTGGGCCGTCTTACCTCGCATCCACTGAAGATGCCGGGAACAGCAGCGAATGCTGTGGAGGATGCTGTGATGCTTCGGATGATGATGGGGGAGCTGAGGAGGCCGTGCAGCTTATTTATAAATCACGCACATAATGAAATTTCAGCAAGTGGTCGCCGCTGTCCGAAAAGCGGCAAAATATGCAGCGCTGATGTGGGATAGCATCTCGGGTGTGTCCGAGCCGTGTGATATATGGACATCTGCATAATGCTGCTGGACCGAAACTGTCCGCTGACACGCCGGCGACATAATGACGAACAGGTCGCGGCAGTGTCGCACTCCTCCGACTCCAACTACAGTTCCAGTTCCATCGCCAACTCCAACTCCAACTCCTCTCCAAACAGTAGATATTGTCGTGTTACGCATCAGTCCCGTGTCAAAAACAAAAAAGGGAAGGAGGCCACCGAAATAGGGGACACTTGTACTGCATAAGTAGCCATTAATAGGTGCCATATGCATATCATTTTGGGGTCTAGTTTTTACGAGTGGTTCGGTTGTTTTAAATGCCTGCAGAGCGTGCCGTTTATTTACGATCCTCTCATTTCAAAAGATTGTCTGCCGGCTCCATCTCCGCACCGATTTTAGGATCACGTCGATGCCGGGGATGCTGTGGAGGAGGTCTGGAAACAAGGCTGGACGCATTAACGAAAAAAGGGTTCACATGAATTCGATTTAATGGCTTCAAAGGGGGCTACAATGTAAGAATGTTTTGGAATTGAATTTCCGCATAATGGCTTTAAACAAAGTGGATATAGGACAACTCTCCCATAATATTTAAAAAGCAAATTATCCATGAAAGGGCACAGGGGTGAAGAAACTTGAAAGTAATAAAGTAATGTAACATAATATAAATTTAAGATTTATAATCAATTGAAAACTACCCTAGATAATGTTAAATAGTTCCTCCATTACAATTTGTGTCCCGACCATGGAGCTGGTCATTAATTAATTCATTGCATATTTTAGTGGGCATTTCCGATTCAGTAAGTAAAGCTGCCTAAAGGCAATGTATAAAAAATTTATTTTACTTCAATGTGTTATATTTTATTGGATATCTAATGGATTTTTATAGTTAGTTTACGATAAGTCCAATTTCCTGTCTTTACTTCCGCAATTACCCAAGCTTTCCGCCATCGATCTGGCCACTCTGACGGCCCTGTTTACGCAAATTTTGCACGTGGGCGTCTCGGCTTACTCACGCGTCAAAAGAAACACAAACGAAGACAAAACGCGCGCTGCTGCTGCGGCGTCGCATTTCTCCAGGTAACAACAACAAGCGGCAACCAGTCAACAGCTGAGAACAAAACAAACTGCAGCCAAGGCAACAACAAGTTGTCGCTGCCTCCGTCGCACAGTGGAATCATTTCATATTTGTCTCACCAAAATGAATAAATGGTAAGCGAAGTAAGGTATCACAAGCCGACATTTTGAAACCGGAAACAAGAGGAAGTCACATTTCGAAGTCACACCGGAAGTCTCCATGCTCTGAACTCAAATCCTCAAAAAATTTCCGTCATGTTTTAACAATATTTTGAATTAAAAGGTCAAAAAAAATTAGGTTCTTTAGTACATATTTCAATACTTATTATATTGCGTAGATAACTGAAGCTTGATCTCCTAGTATTGTGTGACTTTTGTACACAATAACTTAAAAACTACAGGACACAGAAGCCACAGAAGCTTGCTCTACCTTTTGCTCCTTTAAATTTAATTATATATATATTTTTTAAAAGATTAACCCTGTTTTTTAGGGGAATATATACTTCCAATGTTGATAAAAAATCACTTTATTTTAGAAGTCCCACAGTGCGACGCTGCTTTGGCCGACTACAACGCCAGCCGCTCAGCCACTTCGAACCAATCGCTCCCTTCGCATTTTCAGTTTCAGTGCGCGTTGGCACGTTGAACCAGACGGTACGTGGATCGGGGATAAGTGATTGGTGATCGGATTGGTGATCAGTGGAATCAGTAGTCAGGTGGCAGATAAATCATGGATATCTCACGGATACAGAACGCTGATCCGGGGGAAATGCGCGCTGCAGTTAGTTGGCTGTGATCTATGGCCGCTTTTAAATGTGTTTCTCAAATCATTCGGAACCGGTGACAAGATTTCTGACAGCACCCATACATGCCATGCCTATCTCGGGCAGCATCCAGTGCAGCATCCACTGCCAAGGTGTCCGCGATCGCGTCGCGTTTGCGTTCTGGTCGTTAATAGCATAAAAGTGTTTTAATTTTTATTGGCACGAACGGCGAGAATCAGTTGTTGTGGAGCAGTTGCCGTCGCCGGAGGATCAGGCGTCGTCGCGTGTTTGCTCCTCGATCCCATAAAATCAGCTCCCCAAGATCTTCGCGTGTGTCCCCTTTCCACTCCCAATCCGAATCCGTATCCCAATCCCAAACCCAACCCACCTTCGACTTCTCCATTTCCCCCTCTCGGTTCCGATTGTGGTTTATGCTTGTCGTTTGGAGATTTTGAAAAGGGTTTAAATTATCTAATGCATCCGTTTCGTTATCGATTCTTTTAGTGTGAAGAGCCTGCGATTTGTTTGATCTTTCGGTCAGCACATATAATAAAAGTGTCTGTGTGTGTGCGTTCAGGAAGCGGCGGAAAGTGTGGAAATACTCGTAAAAATAACTCAAGTCGTTTCCATTCTAAATTGCCCGTTGACAGCCGCAAGTGGCGCAAACGGTCCAAGGAGCTGTACATCTGTCTCCCCCAAGTAATTCACCAAGATCGGCCGCAGCAGCCGTCGCACCTCTTGAGGGGCGAGTGGTACGTGCAACGTCCTTGACTAAGAGGTGAGTGTGAAGGTTGAGCCCCAGACCTCCAGGCGGAGGCGCAATGCATATAGTACGAAGCCACTGTGTGTGGCCGTCGAAATCTGGGTTAACCTAGTCTCTACTAAAAAATATGTGTAAAGTGTGGTCAGGTTGGATCGTGAGGTTCCTATCTATACTTGAGCAAATGGGTCGTTTCAGGAATTTTCTATTTGAATTTTTTAACATAAAGAGAAGGGTTCAAGTTTAATTAAAGTTTACAGGAATAAGGACGGAAAAGTGACAGAGGTTTTTATCAAAAGCAGTTAGCAGGCTTTAAACTTAAAAATATAATTAGAAATGGTTATAGCTTGCTTTTCCATTTAAAAAATCTATAAAGGAATTAAAAGAAACAAACAGAAATAGATGCAAATCGAACATGAATTGATATATCCTAAAAAGTTGATATACAGATCGATAAATTACAGTATAGGATATTGTCGGTATGGTATCGGAAATTTTCTTTTGCTATATAAATAAAGTCGAAGGCTGAAAACCGTCGATTTTCCAGATACACACACAAGTCAAATAAATATCAAAAGAACTAAACGAACGTAGAAACAAAATTATAAAAAAACAATGTATACATTACCTCAGGAACTGAGCTGTTTTAAATAAATACAAAATCGAGGAAGTTCCGAAAACAATGCTTTAACTCTATGATATTAGACAGAATACTTTTTATTTAGTTTTAATAAGTAATATCCATTTTAAACTCTTCTAATCGCCAGTCTTGTTGATAGTCCACTAAAAGTATAAATAGTTTTTATATGCGTCTCCAAAGATAACAATTTATATTACCGCCATTTTATATCTGATGATAAATCAAGCTAATTGTTGTTGTAATTCAAATACTATCGATACATATTAATTAGCCACACCCAGCAAGACAACCGCAATCTCGCTGTCAAAGCGGCCTGTGGCATCCATAGAAACCGACCGAGTGTCCGACATTAATCTATTGAAGATCTTTGGGTTTATCTGCATTGGCGCCGTAAATACCAAAGCCGAGTCATAATTTATTAATTACCGGACTTTCCACACATATTTAAAAAGATTTCAAGATTGCGGTTTATGCCTCTGTGAGAACTACAATTATGTGATCGTATAAGGTCAAGGAATACAGAATTGTTTGCTGGACTTTTGACTCTATAACGGCAGACACACTTTGTGCCCAAATCGAAATGGAGACAGCTCTGGATTCCAGAGCCAAAGGTTTTGTTAAATACATTTTGGGATAATATATTTGATTTTATTTGGCTTGATTCCCCATCACTTGGCCAGTTTCTACTGGGCTCCGACTGCTACTCTATGCCAAGCGATTCAATTAAAAGACGCCCACAGCTGCGATCTCCATAACAATTTATAACTGCCTTTCTAAGATGTCTCACAGACTTGCGGTTATTTTATTATTTGAATATATTAATCAATGGCAGTGGCGTCTTGGCCCAAAGGGGTATTGGTCTAAATCATGGCCTTAATTTCCTTAAGGCCTTAAATTTAATGCGTTGTAAACAGTGCTTTAATAGGTTTTACTAGTTAGGTAATGTGAGACTTGAAACAAAGTTTGTATTTTATTTGTGTAAATATTCTTTTCATTGAAATTCCGGATTGATTTGTGTTTTAGTTATATGATATATTTATTACTGCTCAGCCATTTATTTTAACCCCTTCTCGATTGACAATTGACCCCTCACACTTGGTAATATCTTTCTCAGCATGCTCACCATATATGGAGCTGGTGTTCGACATTATTAAAACATAAATAATATTTCCATTGTTGGTATTGGAATTTCCGCTGGGCAGCGAGTTATGGGTTCATAAACAAATGCAAATTAAATGGAAAATTGTTGCAGCAGCAAATTAGCGCATCGTCAGTGGAAAGTCATTCAAAGCCAATATATCCGACCTTATGCGGGAAATCGGTCTAACAAATTTTAATGCTTTGTATTGACTCGGTCTTGAATTTGCAATTCAAATTCATCGTCACAATAAAGGCAGTAGAGAGGCCTTTGCTTGCTGTTTGGACTTGCGGTGTCAAAACTGATTCAGCCCGATTGGAGACGGCGACTTCGGTTTAATGGTTAATCAACATAAGTTAATGGGTTTTCGGTTTTGGCCTAATGATAGATTAAACACATACTCAAACGTTTTGACAAGATCGCCAACATAAAATAATATCGCTAGGCCAAAAATCCATCCACTGTCCAGTCACACAAAATATCATTTATAATCTGTTGATTAGATTCATCTCGAGAACGACGATGATCCTCGCCATTGGTTTCTTTATAATTAGATATTCAGAACAGATATGCAAATTCTGTAAGTCAACTCAAAGACCACTTGGTGTGGTCCCGCAAACACCTGATGCTATTTTATAATTATATGGCGGCTATATATACGCAGCAGCATGTTGTTTATTGAAGTTTATGGCATTATAATATGATTTCGGACAGATTCTAGCTGCTGGCTGTTTGTGCCTGTGTAATTTATTCATGATGTATGATTAGCTAGAAAAATACTTAATCAAATACGTTTTTAAAGTGTGTAATAATGTCTCAGATGTGTATTTAATATTTAGGTACACTCTATTTCTTATTACTTATGTATATACTTATGTTCCCAAGCTCCCAAAATAAAAGCTACAATTTACATCGCTGTGTCGATTGAGTAACTTGGCAGGTGGCAATTACCATATCCAAAATCTCCTTTTTCCAAATACTTAATTGACAGACCTTTCAGTATTTTGAAATCGGACTATGTACAGCACCCGAATGGTAAACTGTCCACTACTGCGTTGTTTTGGTGGGAAATAAGTAGTGAAAAACGGATTGAGAAAACCGCGAGATAAAAAGATTGAACCAAAGCCGAAATTCAAATCGAAAGAGATACAGAAATCAATAAAATGAGGACGTCAAGTGCCGCTCGAGACTATCGAACTCGGCTTTGAGTCCAATCTTAATCTTGACACTTTCACGCACCGTTCGCTTGCGCCGGAAGTCATACAAAGTCTATTATGAAGAAACCAATTTATCAGGCTGCAGCGAATCAATGCAGTTCACAGTCCAATTATAATGTGCCTGGATATATATATAGTTAAACAAAGCCTGAAGAAAGTCAGCTGCAAATGAAAATCCGCAGAAGAATTTCCCTAAGTGGCTTAGCTGGGTCCCCACCGCCACTCCGATCACTCTTTCTTGCCGCTCGTGATGCGTAGGCGCCGTCATAGATTTTTTCCATGTCAAACCAGCAACTGACAGCAGGTTTTCCAGCGATTCCCCGAGCTCTCCGGGCTCCGGCTCGAACTGAAGCCGAACCGAAGTTTTCGGCTGAGCATTTAAGCGCGGCTGATTTGATTTCAGTGACACGACGCTTGCGGCGACGATGGACGCGAAACTTGTCCTGCCCACACGCGACTTCACTCCAACTGAGACGGCGACTTCCACTGCGACTGCGACTGCGGCGTCAGCTTGAGCGGTGTGAGCAGTGTGAACAGTCGCGCATGCGCAGAAGCTGGCCGGGCGTTTTCTTTTCGTTTTAATTTTTGCGCCGCTTTAAACGCCCGAGGGGACATGGCTGTGGATGTGGATGTGGATGTGGTTGCATGCTGGCTCGACCGGCAAAAAAAATCAAAATATTTGAATTTCTAATGCCATCCGAGGGCCGATACAAGAGTGTATCAGTGAATCATCGCTGTGAGAGGATACTCAAAGCTAATTGAGTTGCTCACCTTGTTTTCTTTGATTAGATAACCCACACATGAGTTGTGAGTAAATTAATTTAACAGTGAATGCAGTGTGATTCTGGATTTTTTTAGAATGAATTTCCATTTGAAAGCGACATTTGTTTATTCAAGTAAAGCCCGAAATAATTAGTCACTTCAATGGTTATAATCTTTCATTTAAACTTTGAAATTATATAAACATTTTTATTTTACTTCAAACTTAATTTTAGTTTAAATCCAGAACAACCCTCGCTAACAAATGACCAGCCTGGGTTCTCGTTTCCCTTCCACTGTCCTCGGGCTAGCCATTCAATCTGATGAAAATGACTTTTCCGATAAGCATCAAATTTCCTTTGATGATAGACCAGCAACGCCTTTGTCACCGCCGTGACAGTCGTCACGCTAAACCCGTTCGATCGGTTTGAATCTAACCCTGCAGGGGTCTAAACCCCGGCTAGTGGGTGAAGATCTCATCTGGAATGGGATACCCGCTAGCATCCCTTCGCGGTTGCGGTGACTATGGTGCTGCGGCTTCCGTGTGCTCTTGCTTTTGCTTAATTAAATGTCAATCAATGTACTCGTCGCTTTATGGAGACGGACTTTGTGTCTGATTTGTCCGCTTTATTAAGTAGATGTGGCGTCGTCTTCATGATGCTGCCGGCTGCTGCCTCCGTTGTTTTTTGTGGTTGTCACTCTGGCGTCTTCACGACGAGATTCTCTGATAGAGGCCTCGGTTAGTCGGGTTGCGTGGGCGCTGGACAGAGATATATGCCCGGCCTATGCATGATCTATACCAAACCGATGGCATTAAAAAGTATTTAATAAATTTTTCGGGGGACCGAGGATTATGTGTACATTCGGAAGGTGTTTCCACTTCTGGTTTCGTATAGTTTTTTATGTTCTGAGGCGGATTACCTGGTTGACATTTTGTGGGAAAAGTTCTGGTAGCCGCCGAGCCATCTTAACTGGCTATTAATAAACGTTTCAATGAACACTTGGCACAGATCTTAGGCATTATGTTTGGGTTAAGTTCTTGGTAACCTTTCAGAGAATTTTATACAGATGAATAACTCGGAAGACTTTAAGCCTTGGAAACTTATGGGTAATGATCGGGCGCAGATGGGATTGCTTTCAAACAAGCGTAAGTTTTATGGGAACTGGGCAAATGTATCAGTTGTTGGCAATTGAATTAGAATATTATTTAGAAGTAGTATTCCTTAAAGTCCATATAGACACCTTTCAGGTTGTAAAGTTTTCAACGGTTTTAATCCCTCCCATATATGTTACTGGGCAAATAAAAACCCTAAAATATTCTCAAATGCTCTCAACTCTCAAGTGCCTGCTGCCGGGGAGACTGTTCTTCTACTTTTACTTCTCAGAGGAGGAGACCCACTAGAAGCACTGGTAATTGCGATTGGGCCCATAAATGGAACAGATCCTACAGCCTGGTCCGTCCACTCAGTGACTCAGTGACATTGTAGCCAAGAGAACGAGAAGCCAGCAGACGCCAATGACAACTGCCACTATAAATCCATAACTGTCAGTCAACATTTTGGACCAGTATCGGAGAAGGAGAGGAGTTGTCGTCGTGTATATATAGTATGGCCATAACGACATTTGCTTTTGGCTCTGACTCTGAACCTCTCGGAGACTCAGCATCGGAGCCACCGTTACCACATTCCTGGGACACCTTTGAGCCACAGCATCTCGGCCACATTTCTTGTGTTTATTTAAGCACAAAAGTTGTGTAATGGCCGAGAGATGGGATCCAACCAGGTCTTGAGGGAGACGACTCCTCCCATTTGATTTGTTTGTTATGCAGTTTATAACACTTGTTGGCGTTTTTTGTGGCTCTCAAGCAATGAACCAAATGCCTAATTGCAACTGGGTATTTTCGTGTGCGGCAGAAAGGGAATTCCCAACGATCTCCAATTCGTTTTACGACTCCCACTCGCTTAATGCCAATCAGTAGGTACTTATTCCAAGCTAGATCTTTCTACATGTTATTTTATTTCATTGATCGTTAAAGTTGCGTCTACAGTAATTTATGATCACTAGTGATTCAGTGCAGTGGAAGCTCCTTTCCCCTTTCACCCGAGATTTATGAAAGTAAGATCCAGAATTTAGGGTGAGATTGATGGTGCTTTGAAGGCTAAGCAGATGGCCAAAAAGTGCCAGAGCAGTTGAAGGTATTGTTTCATTGCATAACCACTTGTTTGTAATATCTCTAAATCACTTTTTAATTTAATTAGACCAAGTCTTTTCTGGTAGTTTATATTTTCTCTAATCTCGCTTAGCCCTTCTTGGAAACTTTTTAGGAAAATATGCAGTCTCTTAGTTGATCATCTAGCGCCGTGCTCCCATCAACCTTTCCGCGGAACTTCCTCTGGGGCAGCACCTGAAAATACATCTAGGCAAAAACAAAGCTGAACACACGCACATTAAATAAACATTTATTTAAGTTTTAGAAAAAGAGGCTGGCAGGAAAGAATGATTGCAAAAATCCAACATAAATCTCCACAATGGGCCCCCAAGAAATTACAAGAAGAAATATAAAACTTAAGCTCCGAAATGCTTTATTATGATGACGCCCACTGATGGGCCAACGAGAGATGAAAGACAAAGAATGGGGGCTCGGGATGCACACAAATATTTTAATATAGATTCATCTAGGTGATATTCGACCAAATACTTCCGGCCAGGAGAACGCTTATGCTTGTTTGAAATTTAAAAAATGCAAAATATTTATCGATCGCTCTCTGCTTCTGTCTCTTTTAATACTTTTCTCGCTACACAAAATTTAATTTGAATTTTATTTATTGTTTTATGCGATTTTATTTTATGCCCCGCCACGCAACGCATTTAACCGTGCGTTTTATTTTTAAACGTAAATAAACAACCACCGGCTGCGGAGCGAGCTCTGATTTTCCCGCTTTATCGTCTCTGTTTTCTGTTATTTATATTGCAGCGGACGAGCATAAGTTGGACGGAGGAGCCGGCGGAGGAGACACATATTGGGAAGACAGCGACCACGATGATTTGGACGCGCGTGCTGCTCGTGGGGCTGACCGCCTTGGCGCTGACATTCGTGGAGGTTGCATCACTCTCACTCGATCCAGGTAGGTGCCAATAGGCCCCCTTATTTGCCCCACTGAACTCTTTTCCGCTGTGCAGATGCACTGCGAAAATGATCTAAATTCGGTTACTAGAATCCAGAGCATTTTGAAGCGTAATAAGAAGATGCTTTGCAAATTATTATGCATTAAACTGATATATGTATATATGTAATACAAAATAGGAACTATGCTTGAATTTAAAGTATGTTTTAACAGTTGAGTGTTATGATTTTAGGAACATTTAATTAAAAATACCATGAGCATAGACATTCTTTCTTCTTTTGTAGAGTATATTCTATTCTTGATCCCAGCTTTTAAGAAAGGAAAGGAAATATTCCACAGCTTATATGCCATTTACAATTATTCTTGATCAGTGTTAAGTCAAAAAGAGAATGCTCAGACTTTTAATTTGTTTTTATTAAATTTTAATGTTATTCTAATAATGTGATGACTGCAGAGTTCTTAAATCCAACTAAAAAATCATAAAGATACTTCAAAACCATTGGACCTGATGTTTACAATGAGGTTTACAAATTAATATCAATATGTATTAGGTTTACATTGTGTTTCCCTAAGCAACTTATTTTTAAAACAAAGTTTATTAACTCTAAAAGAATCAAATTAATGTGATTTGGAAAACAGATTTCTTCAGTGTAAATCAATACCATATTTTTACCGTTTTTTATGGCTTAACATGCGAATACCGGCAACGTCAATGTTTGCCGATAAACGCCCAAATGGCAAACTTTTGGTCACCAACTAGCGCCGATTTATGTAAATTTCGAACTGAATCCCAATGCAAACTTCACCGACTGACAGTTGGGTTCGTTTTCTGTTGAGTTGAGTTGCTGACCTCCCACTCCGTAGATGGCTTTACTGCAGCGCGATCACGAGCACAAGGCTTGGGGTTCCATGTCCACATCCACATCCACATCCATGTCCATGTTCATGTCCATGTCCATGTCGTGAAGGTCACCGGGCTTGAGCCTGTCAGAAGTTGGTCGCAGCATGACAAATAACCGCGCAAATGCGTGAAATTCTATATGGAGTCGTCGTCTTGATGGATTCCTTAGTCCGCCTTTTTGGACTGGGCAAATACGATTGCGTCTCAGGCATTTATTTTGGGTTAACACGACCCGCTATATTAGAGGCAAAGTCTCGCGGTGACCAAAATAAACAGTGCCATGTTCCGCGTCCAAAGTGCTGTAATCTCTGGCAGGCGCAAAACCGATTGCCAATGTTTGTGGATAAATAGAGCAAGTGGCTGAGACGGAGAGAGAGTCTTGTGGTTTGGCCACCTCAGTGCCTTATCTTTGTTTGTATTTAGTTGTTGATTTGGTAATCAATATGTTTGGATATAGTAGAACGGAAGTTATTTTTGAGGGTGTCGTAACTGATCTTCAAAAACACAACGAGATAAGGCACGGAACTGAGATTTTCGAGGTTTCAAGAAATACTAATAGGAGAAAAGAAGAAAGTAACATGAATAGGAAAAAGGAAACTCGAGTTTCCTTTTAAATAAAAACACTTAGAAAGTCCTTGAAGATTAGATACCTTACTTGACTTTCTTTCTAATAATATAAATATGTTTTATTCCCAACTTACAGTTGCTTCTGCTGAACTGGAACAGTTTATTCGAAAGGGCGATGTTGTCATATCCACCCGTCACATAAGGTAAGGATCTAACTGCTATAAATGCCATACCGAGCTTCTTAATCCTGTTCTTGCCTTTATATAGACCTCGTCGCAAACTGCACATATCCATTGAGGCCCTCTTCATGATCGATTTCCCTATGCTGAAGCATAAGATGTCCTTCTTCCTGGACCGCAAACAGCAGCGGGTCACACTGGACATTAGTGCTAACGGGGCCACCGAATCTCGGAACTTTGAAATACCCAACATTAATGAGACGAGTACCATCCGCTCCCTGGCTCTACAGTTTTCCAAGAACAGGATTACCCTCCATGTGGACTGCAAACCAAGCACACATCACGACATCGACATGAACCTGGCTAAGCTGTACACTCAGATGGATGACCCGGTGATTAAGCTGGTGAGTGCCGAAATATCTTCTATCCCACTGGGGAGTAACAAGCTCCCTTTCTCGTTTCCAGTTCCGGGAGCGCAAGTATCCTCTGCATTTCGATGGCGACATGGAACACTCCCTGCAGCGGGCCAACTGCCAGAAGGGCTACCATAGGCGTGGCAATCGCCGCATGCTGCGCAACAAGATCACGGAACGTGGTAAGTTATGCTAGATTTTTAAGCTATTTATTTCCAATCGTTTAATGTAACCATTTAACCAATTTTATAATTATGAAAGGAATATATTTTTATGTCCCATTTCCCTCTCGTTTCAACCATTTCAGAGAAGAACAAGAAACGCGATGTTCGCGGCTGGTATGAACCTACCATTGCCCGGGAAGGAGTCGTCGACCACAGACATCAGGAGGTGCCCACGGATGTGGAGCGTGGCGATATCCCTGTTCTTCATGGCGACTGTGAAGGTAGGTTGTCCAACATTCACTTCATCCACCCATTGCCCATCACCCAATGGTGGATCAACTCCCCACGGTAGTCTGAAGGCAGTCAAGGAATCTCGGCCCAAAGGCGTGGCCTCTTCCTACGGCTCTGGGATTAGATGTTCGCTGTGATGAAATTATTTGGCTTTTGTCAATTGGCGTTTATGTCAACGGAGGAGCATAGGTGATTCAATTAGGCAAATGTGGTAGAATAGTCCAAGTTGAAGTGGGAGCGTGGGCAGAGGAACTGATTCGGGGGATTGTTGCATCGAGTGGGGGCTTGAAATTTCAATGGCATGTGCAAGTGAATGAACGAGGCCTTGAAAACTAGAGAGAAGGCATTCTGAAAGTGCAGTGAATGTTTAAATTTATAATATAGGCAATTCATTACATAAATAATATACAGAGTAATAATTCGTAAGAACTGAACACATTCACCAACAGAATGAATTGTTTCGATTGGGCCAAAATATATGTGGCCCAAAATGACACAACTGTTGACGTTGATTGATAACTTACGAGTGCTATTTATAAGTCAACAGAAATATGTGGGTTTCGAGACTTAAAAGGCAACTAACTGTTGGATCAAATAGAGTGGAAGTACTTAATGATTCCCAAATGGTTCAAGAACTTTGCATTAGAACAAGGTTAATAACCTTGTAATCCTATTGGCCTGTCCTTGAACATAATTAACTTTATCCGGTGTGCCAAAGCTGTAAACTATCTTCACTTAACCCGCTAATACCTTATAAATCTGGCATGCGATTATTAATGAGGCAAACGCACATCCGCGACTGCGTGATATAGCCATAAGTACCCTCATCGAAGTCACCATCTTGGCCAATAAGTCGCCGTTAAGTGATCCGTAGGGGGAGAGGCGCCCACAGAGAGCGACAACACTAATGAACACCGAGATATGACAAAGCCCGTGCATAGGTTGTGCACTCGCTTTAAACTACAAACAGACTCGTACATTGGCACCTGGAGTCGAGTCGGCATAATTATTATTTATCTGGCTCAGAGCAAAGACACCAAATTGGTAGCCGTAGCCCGCTCTGATCTGTACCCACACAATCTACTCAGCAGGCTTACATACTCTAAGATACACCACGAAAATTGAATGAGTTTTGCTTGAAATACAGAAAAGAAAGTATAAAAGGTATTTGTATTATTAGCTATAAAATAAAATATTTATTCGACCTAAATTCTGAGTGCCATTTACCCAAAAGTTCTTACTTTCACTTGATTTAAATTGCATTTCTCACGATTACCTTATGCTTAATTTGTTTAAAAGGATATGTTAGATAACCTTCTTCTCCTAGTAAAAGAATTCTGAATTAAAAATTTTAAATTCTTAGTAAAACTTATTTTTTTTAAGTGTATTCAACTTGAGTACAGACCGGCATATATAAATTGCAAAGGCAAAGGCAACGACAACGGCAATCGTAATGAATGAATTACGTGGCTATGCCGCCGACGAACCAGATAGAAGCGAAGGTTGCCGAATGTGGCCAAAACCACAACGAGATCGAGATCACTTGGCAGGGCGGGGTTGGGAGGATGTGGGGCTTGGTCGGACTCGGAACGGATGCGTTTGGGCGTTAAGGCGGCGGCGTTTCAATGTTGACAAAACTCACTCAGGCGCTCAGCCAGGTAAACCGACAGATGTGCATATGGGATGGAGCCGACCACTCCGTTGAACTAGTTTAGTTGTTGCCATGTGTCTTACACGATGTCATACAACTTAAGCGGCCTAGAGATGACAGATCCATAAGCGATATATTGCAATTTGTGGACTTTTTCCAGGATTCTCCACATAACAAATTGAGTTTGCTTTGATTTTGCCCAGAAGCGATCTCCTTTGGATATCCGTTTTAAGTTGTACAATCAAGGAATGTAAGATCTGGTTATTGTAAGTAATTGAATGGTCTTTGAAGGAAATATTTGAATAAGATATAATATTATTTGATTGACTGAATGTAATGATTTAAGAGCTAATTAATGGGATACTTCCCACACATAACACTATTATTAGCCGATAGTTCCGGTGTCAAAGTCTTGAGAAGGTTAGTCACTCGGATATCTCATCAGTAGAGTTTCCTGGCTTGTGGCATAAATTAATGCAAGTGTGATTCAATCCACTTAACAATCCAAATGATACCCACACACAACGTGAACAACTTAGGGCCTGGATTATTCGAGTTTCGCCAATTAATCAGCACACTGACTCATCTCTAGAGCGAGGCCAGGATTTGGTGCTCGGCTTTGTTGTCCCATTGCATTAAGCTGCACTAAAGTCCCGATCGCATTAGCAGCTGTTCAAAGTCCCGACGGAAGGAAGGAGTTCGCTGGAGCGACAAAGCGGATTAGGCTGCAATCAGAGACCCTCTGGTGCGAGTGCGAGTGCGATTTTGCATCGGTTAGACCTTAATCTTGTCAGACGCTGAACGCTTCCCACACACATCCACACACCTTTCGGGGGAGGGTGTTCCTGAATTATCGTTGCTTTATTTAAGTCCCCAAGGAACTCGCCCTAACTCAACTGTTACTTTACCCTGGATCTCTGTTCCATTTCTGCTCATTGTTCCAAACAGACGCCCTCGCACGCTCGCTGAGCGATTTACTGGCTCTGGTGAAGTTGCTCCGCGAAGACGTCGCCCACCAGCGCCAGGAGATTGCCTACCTGCGGATGCTCTTGGAGAACTGTGCCGGCTGCAAGAATCCCCTCAGCGGGGACAACCAATTGCGTCTCGAACCCGACTGCCGTTCGGCGAATCCCTGTCATCCAGGTGAGTGCGTTTACGCAAAATGTAAACATATATTTTAGTGGCCCTTAAATAAAGAACATAAAAGCTTTTCTCGAGTACAGAGATGGGCACTTATTTGTGGCAACTAGGGAGCCATGACACTGTCTTGAAGAAAACTCTTGAATATAATATTTTGTTTTATTTATAGTATTCATTTTATGCTGCTTTGAGTCAATTAATCTTAACAATTTGTATTTGTGATTTCTGTAAGATGTTGATACATACTATATTCTGTAAAAATATGTAACATTTTCTATTAATAATTAAAATTTGATTATGTTTAGTATCAGACTATAAATACAGTCGACAGTCATATTTTATCATATATTTATAGCTTATTGCTTTACTATAAAGTTCTTGTATAAAATACTAAGATTTATTTATTAATTAAAGCTAGAGCTATAAAAGTAAAAAGTATGCCCCAATATTTTCTTGCAGGTGTGGAGTGCCTGGATTCGGCATCCGGACCCAGATGTGGCCATTGTCCTCTTGGCTTTATTGGTGATGGCAAGACATGCAAACCGGGCGTCACCTGCGCCCACCTCGTGTGCTATCCGTAAGTCCATCCTTATGTTCATCGTTATGTTTATCCTTATGTGTTTGCCCGTGAGCGTGTGTGTGCGGAATTAGCGCGGCTCATGGGGATTTTAATGGCGTCAAGGGCGTGGCCACCGCGTCCATGTTAATTGTATTTGTCATGCTGCGACTCTGAGGGCTTGAAAAGCGCCGGCATCCGAACGCCTCTGACTGTGCAATTATTTGCATTTTGCATTTTGCGTTTTGCATTTGGCCTTAATGGCAATTTGATGTTGTTTATGGTTTGATGATCTAGCCAAACAGGCAACTCCTTGACAGCCCAGCAGTGTCACTATCCTCATCTGTGTGCGCCTGTTCCTGTCTATACATATATCTCTGTGATTGAAAAGCACGTGATGGCCATTGAGAAGACACATTTAGGCCTTTATTTGCTGGATGAATTCTACGAATAAATGGGAGCAGGGAGAGAGACCGTGGACTTAAGCTGGTTACACAGAACCACGTAAGTGGATTGGGCTTAATGGCTGCGAGTCATGTGAGTGATTCTGGGACCGGTTCTCTCACCTCTGCCCATCCGAAAAGCTCCATCGATCGCAGATATGTCAATTTGAATGCGAAGTCTTCCTAATCCCTTGTCACACCGAAAGTTTTCCATTTCTTATGAGTATTTCTTATCTAGACCGCATCGCCAAGTCGGGCTAAGATAGTTTAGGCCGTTCAAGTTGAAAGATAAATATTCAAATGATCCATAAGAGGGGGCTTTATCTGCCAAACGATCTCTTTGATCCAAAGTATTGGGCACAGGCATAACGATTCATAATCCAGTCACCTGTCGACATAATATAACCATCATAACAAGGAAAGTCTTTCTCCCAAAAGCACATCAGCAACCACCCACAGCCCCGATGGCCAGCCGGAAGAGCTCGTGACACAGTCGGAAATCAATAAAGAATCGAGTGAGGATTCTTCTGGCCCTCGATCTTCGATATCGGCTTGCTGCCAAATTTGTGTCACAGCCAACTAATTATGCAAAAGACCCACAGCACTGCTGGTGACTCTAATAAAAACATTATTTCGGGCAGGCGCATGTCATAAATATGTTAAACAAAACTATAACAAGTTATGCGTTGTAACGGAGCCGAAGTCAGTTTCGGAATCGGAGAGCCAGAATATACCAAAAGGCATTGTTCAACAAAATGCAACAAAACCTTTGGCAATACGGAACGTTAAGCTGTGCGGCCTGGACCACAAATGGCACTTGAAACAGCCGCATAAATTAGTTAAATGTGAGCTGGAATAGAGAACCCGCACACCCAGATTCGGATTCAACAGAACTCCCAACTCTCCGGCTCCCGAGAAGCCCAAACGGACTGACTTCATTGTGTCAGAAGGCCCAAAGTGATTTCGGACCAGGAGAAACCGAAGGGAAATGCGAGAAGCGAGCGCCTGTTCGGCATAGGAAGCCCTCCTCCAGGCCATAAATTTGTGTAAATTATTGAGAAGAAGAGCCCCAATGTTGGCCAAGAACCGATGTGTGGTGTAGGTGTCTAGGGATCGTATGGGTTTGTTTCGTATTTGTTTGTATTTCTTTGGATGGGTGCGTCCTCTCCCCGCTTGACCGTATTTCAATTTGCATAAAATTGTTTTAAATGTTGTCACGACGTCGATCGTCTCGTTACTGTCATCTTTCATTATCGATGAAATGTGGCCGATGTGTGTGGTAGGCCGCAAACGATACTCTGTTTTCCCCGGACCCATTCTCATTCCCTATATACCAATTCCAATTATTTTAATTTAGAACCCACCAAATGTCATCTGAATCAAATGCGGCGTCATGGCTAAACATGGTCAGCGCTTAGTCTGCCTTCAGTTCGATTCCGGCTCCCATTCTTTAGGAGACTTGGAAAGACGATCGATTCTATTAAAAGGCCATAAAACTTGCCCTAATGACATGCACACCTGTTGATCCTTTGTTGTGGCAGTTATCTTGTGTGTTTTATGGGGGTATTGGATTTGGAATAGTTCCCTGTCCCTGTGGGGTGATCTCTTTTGTGTGTGCGTTGAGATAATGAACCAAAGTTTCATTCTGAATGTTTTGACGGAACTGCACAATGATTCCTTACATTCTTTTGTGTTATTGGAATTTACTAAATTGAGCATATTGTAAATACATTGAATATACTATAAAATACAATCGGCTTATTTGAAATTATCACTCACAGATACAATAAAATATAAATCATTGAAAAGTAATTTTATTCTTAATAAGTAACAACAAGCATATCCATTTAGTGTGAGCTTATAGTTCCATTTTCTATTTATCAAGGAGAGACAGCAAACAGTCCATTTAATTTATTATTTTTTTATCTTAAACTAAGAAAGGCCTTTTCATTAACATTTTAAAATAATCTACATTTTATTGTAAATTTTCTGTAAGTTTTTGTGCAATAGCTAGCAAGAAATCAATTTATATAAATATCCAAAGGAAATTCTCTTTAATTAAATTGTATAATTTAAGATAAAACATTGTAATAACTTTTTCCGATTGCAAACTTTTCTTATTTTTTAGTTATCTTCTTTACATAGTGTATGAATTTATAATTTTCAATTTTCCATTTACCAAAAGGAGATAAAGAGCTCACTAACATCATCATTTACAATCAATTTAATATGAAACATTTCAATTATTCCAGCGCACTTTATTTTAAAAATGTCGATTTTTTTTTGGCAATCATCTTTAAGTTGAATCCCCCATTTTCTTTGCATTCGTATTCTCCCAGCACTTTCCATTTCCAAAGGGCCTCGACACAGGTGTGCTGTGCTTGACCACCTGAAAAGCCAATCATAACTTAGCCCCAGGCCGATGACAGTCGGACGCCAGGCACCTAGAAAGATTTCACTGCGCCGCACACTTTTGTTCAATTTAAATTATGCATTTGATGAAATAATCAGCGATGCAATCAAGCTGCAGTCCCCGAACCCAGGGCAGATAATATTACCATCTGTAGATGCGGCGATAGCGGCTGGGAGTGTGATTCCTGGATCGATGGCAGCTGCAACATGTGTTCGGGCATGTTGGACAGTTCCCGCGACAGAATTCCATTTGATTGTGGCAACTTTCCCACAGAATCTCCATTTCCCTCCTGCCTCCCCACCATTTTCCACCATTCCCCCTTCGAAAAACTCTTAACAAAACGTTTACGTTTCGAAGGTAAGAGCGGGAAAAGCCAAGAGTGGAAGCGGCACCGAGCTGGTTCACGGCTCGAGACATCAAAGTTCGGTGGAACGCATATCTCAGTGTGAATCAAGTTCGCCTACGCATCGGAAAAAAGTGGATCCATTGATTCCAAGTCGCTGTTGTCGTCGTCGTTGGATTCGTTTTTGTTGTATCTCCTCTCGCCGCTGCTCTGGTGCCGCTCTGGTGCTGCCCTGGCTGTTGACTCTGCGGCTGTGGCAGCATTTGACTGCTTGAATTCAAATTAATAGGTGGCTCTGGCCACGTTTATACCTCCTGGGAGTTTGTGAACTACTCCAGTGAGAGGTATGTGAATTAGTGATCATGTATTGAATTAATTTGAACTCTGAACATCCTAAATGAATGCTGTAACTTAACCTTAAAGAATCCTAAGAAGAATTAGGCATATTCAATTGTATTATTATTGTTCTTAAAATTAAGTCAAGAATATGATTTAAACATATCCTAAAATGTATTAGGGGTTTAAGTCAAATCGATAGCTTAAAAATAAAGTTCGTTAAGATTTCCTTTGGGGTATACCAAGGAGTATAGAATAGAATTTTATATGGAGCTTTCTAAAATATGTTCATCTAATTTCTTTATTAACATCTCCATACATTTATAATCCCACATATTTATAATGTTGTTCGTATAATATCATCGCATAAACATGTACAATGCCAGTTGTTGGGGCCGTGCGCAGGCGCAGCAATGAAAACAAAAACAAGCCCCGGCCAGGCCAAGTCGAGATCAGGCAAGAGCCAAAGCCACAGCCACAGCCAGAGTTAGAGCTGGAGCTGAAGCTGGAGCTGGATCTGAAGCTGAAGCTGGAGCTGGAGCTGGAGTCAGAGCTGCACAGCCTCGCAGATAAGTGGCCTGTGGCAAAATAAACGCCGCTTTATGGCAGTTAGCTGCAGTTTGTCCAGAGCGTGCGCCACATTCGAGGATCGGGGTAAGGGAGCTCACTCGGTACAGACGATTGAGGATTGGATGGTGGTGGCACTTCTCCCCGTGGAAAGGGAGCTCCTTCGAGTGGCAGCCAAGTGCCTGGTGGCTTCGTTGCTCTTCTGGAGTGGTGTGCATTTGCATGGCATGCGCTACCATTAGAAGCCATTTGGACGAGGTTAATGGCTGCAGAGCAAGATGTGGGGAGTCCGTTGAGTAAGCCGTAAGAATAGGGGCTACGACCTAGCTGACTGGCAAATAGACCATCAAACGAGCTAAAGGGTTATCCAAAATATGTGATTGGTGGCCCCTAAAAGGGACTTAAATATAATAATATATGGAATACAGTACTATCCCAACCAACGTCGTCCCATTGCCACGAGATAGCCAAGGGAGTGTGGCTAAAAGCCTTTGCATGCTTCGAATCCATGTTCACACATTACTCAGGGCCTGCTCCTTCACGGGACCAGCCCTCCTTCTGGTGCTTCTATGGTTCTTTTGGCCGGTGTTTTGGACTGGAGGAAGATCGCGGGGGCCTCGCCAGCAAATTGGAATTATGAATTATGAATGCGTGGTTAATAAAAAGAACGTCCACCAAGAACGGCAGTCGAGACAAGGCAAGTGGGTCCGTCATGCTAACCATCCAGCATCCAGCATCCAGTGGAGGCGGTTGGAGGGCGGGGTCAGCGGCCGAAATGCTAATGCGTTCCTCGCTGCGCTTGACTGGATATTTTCCCAGCACTCAAACGATGCCGCACGGAGCCGCGGACCCAGACAACATGGTCGGATGAGCCGAAACAAAGCAGAAAAGCGCAAAGTGCTGGCCGAAAGGGAACCAGGAGGAGGTTGTGCGTCTCTGGGAACGTAGCCGGAAAGCGAAAACCCCTACGCAGCACCCAAATCCAAATCCAGCCTGGCCGGAGACCCGGACAACGCCTTGACTTGGACCGCTTGCCACTTAAGTACTTAACACTTTTTGCTAATTGCGCGGTACCAGTTGCCAGTTGCCAGTTGCCAGTTGCCAGTTGGTGGCCATACCCGAAATGTTCCATGGCAGAAGACAATATTGACGCACACACTCGGGATCGGACAAGTGTGTTGCGGCCCACCATGGAAATGCCAAACCCTGAAGCTGATGGGTCTCATCATCTGACAGCACTAAAAAAATAACAAAAATACATTTTTTGCGACTCGGCCTGTTTTTTCTAGCTAACCGAATGTTGTTATAATACTCTTTTTAAATGAGAATATTGAATATATTAAGCAGCTTGGAAAAGAAGGGGTTAAAAACAACTTTAAGTATTGGCTTAATTTGGTTGAAAGAACATTATAAGGAGACATCGAAATCGAACCATAGAAAGTTAAAAAAGAAAGTTTTTAAGACAACAAAAAAATACTCAAGGAAAGATTAAAGACTAAAATTAAAACAGACAAGAAATATGTACTTTAATTTAATTAAAGTCTTTCTTTTAAACATGGGAGAATGTCATAATAATGAGAATTTAATTATTTCCTTCTTTACTTCTGATTATCATTATGTACCATATGTTAATAAATCCTTTTTTATAAAGTCTCAAGAGCTCCAAACTAAAGAACAGGCACATTTTAAAGTACCTACATTAAAGTACCAAAAATATACATAAATGTTATTTAAGCCATCAGTAGTTAACCTCCTTTTTTGAGGGTATAAAAGCGCTGTCAGTTTTAGAAAACTTCAAATCTTCTTTCGTCATTATTGTTAGGTACTTGGCCCAAAGCAAGCTGGGGGAAGCTAGGGCCAAGTCCAAGACGCAGGGTCCAAGACTACAATTAACTCTGACTGAGTCTTCCGGCAGGCGAAAACGCACTGCATGTGCTTAGTCATAAAATATTGGAAACTATGGCTTCTGGGTCAGTTGGGCACGGTAGTTCTCGCTGATGGGTGATTTTCTTGGGAAATTGGACTGCCATGAGTTATGTCCTGACGAAGTGGGATGCAAAGCGAGCCGGAGACGGACCTAGAGCTGGAGCTGTAGCTGCAGATGGAAATAGAGATGGAAATGACGGTGGAGGCCCAGCCGCAGATGAAGATGAGGCCGCGTGTAACTGTAACCCCGAACCGAAGCAACTAATGACCATGTCATGATATGTAAATATTTTGCAGAGCCACAAGCAATCCCACACTCCGGAGCATAAATAAGGAACAGCGGTCAGGGAAATTTACATGCATGCAGTGCATTCGGATATGTTGTGTTTTGGCCATGGGCCATCCGCGTCACAACAGCCTACACAACACATGATGTCGGCTCTGGGCTTATTTATTTGGGCCTCGCTGGCTTTTAATAAGATTTTCTTGTAATTGTAATTTGTTTTCTTTTTTCGGGATCCGCTGCCCTCCTGCAGGAGGCATCAGGCACATGTCTCGTCGCTTGTCGAACCCCGCTTTTGTCGGTGCTTTTGTGACCCTCGTCCTCGCCCTCATCCTCTCCCAAGAGCTGTCCCCTCCGCGGGTAACCTTTTCTCCTTTCCAACTCACAGCTCAGTGGCCTTTGTGTAACCGTTTCCACCAGCCATCATTAATAAATATGCCTTTGTGCGCCTCGGACTGTGTGTGCAACATTAACAGTCTTTTGTGGCTGTTTGTTCCTGCCTGTCGGTATTAATAAAAATAAACAATATGCCCAAGAATACATGGCAAACACACATTCCCATACCCATTCGGATCTCTGCCCGATCGCATTAACAAAACAATCTGTGTCTACTTTTGCAGAGGCGTCCAGTGTCACGATACCGTGAATGGAGCCCAGTGTGACTCCTGTCCGGCCGGCTACGAAGGTGATGGACGCACATGTTCGCTACGTAATCCTTGCCTGGACACACCGTGCCCCTCAGGTAAGTCGGAAACGGAGCCGGGCCTCCTATGGGTTTTGTTTTGGGTCCACTATCTGTCCTCTGCCTTCAAGTGGAGTTTTATCTTTTTGGGGGATTTTGTTGATTTTATGGCTAATTTGGGTTTGTAGTGCCATTAGCTCAGCATCAAGCGGTTTGATGGGTAGACATGGGATAATAGGGTCAAAGGAAAAAATTAGAATAGGGAAATGATGCTTAAATATTTTAATGTTATTCGAACGACTTTAGGTATAGATTACATTGGTAAACGTATTACGTTTACATATTACAAATCAGATTTAGTTCAAAAAGTTTTATTGCAATTAAAGGAACTATTGAATTATAAAAAGTAAAATATTAAATATTAGATATATATTAAATCAATTATAAAATGTAAGGAAAGTTTTTGGAAATAGGCCCAAACGAAATTAAAGTTATGTTCTAAATAATGGAGGGAATATAAATCAATATTATATGATATATATGCAATATGTCGATATTATTTATGATATATCAGAACAATATACATAATCGGACAAAGAAACAAATTAGTTAAAGAAATTATATGTATTTGATAAAATTATATTCTAACATTAAATTTAAAATTTGTTGAAATTCACTTCAAAGTTAGTTTATACAAATATGGAATATTAAATAGGGTGTTAGATTATATTATTCTACATTATATTCTATTATATTCTTTATCCGGATTAATTAATTCATTGAATATTTATTAACAATAATTTAACCTACCATAAACCTTCAGCTAGAAACTCCATCTGTTCATAATCCTCAACTATATGAGTGTAGAGCAGCCATGGGTTCACACGACTATTTGATTTATGAATGCCAACTTCGGTTATATTCGGCTCTTTCGGCTCTGAGGACTCGCCGACCCTTTGATTGAATTAATAAAACCTTCGAAAATTATATGGTGTAGAGGGGTAATTTCTGGCTTCCCGCGAATGTGTGAAACAAGACGGCTAATCAGGGCCAAGTTCCTCAACTCAGTTCCTGGGCGTGCTGGAATGTTGGGAGCAAAGTCGTCAGTAAGTCAGTCAGGTTGGCGAATCGCTTTGCGGCAGAAGTACAAAGAGCCTCGGGAATCAGTATACATAGGTGGGATTCATTAGCCACGTTGGATGGGGAGACGTCACCAATTACTACTACCTTACCTGATTACTAATAAACAATTCTCATTTGTACTAGGCAACATTCTAGTGCCCTCGCATAATGTGCAACACTATCAGAGGCAGAGCCAGTACACGGCCCGCAAATACTCGGTCGTAACGAACTAATCCGCAGCGGGAGAGCTTGACACACGCCTAAATTACATGCTACAGAACATAGAAAGTGCACATAATGAATACTACTACCAATATTAGTCATAAGTTGTAAGCTCTACGATTGGCAAACAGCGGAATTCAAGTATTAGCAATCCATCAGCAAAAGAAGCAAATTAAAATATTCAAGCAATCAGCGAAGAAACATTCAAATATACATATACCTTTGGTAAAGCGTTTCATAGAGTATATTTCAATGCCCAGAAAGTGGAGTCTATAAACGTGTAACGAAATTTGTTCCCCTTCCCGCCCCGACCGAAATCTCCCAATTATTGTAATAAAATATGAATAATATTAATACAAAAAAATGTATGCTGTAATTTTCTTCTATTTAATAAAAAAATAAACTCAAACATTGGCTCTATTTCTTTATTTGCCTTTCGAAAATTCATCTTCCACACATCCCACATGTCTGTATATCGCATCATGTTTATACACTATCATTTTCTGGTCATGCCTCAGAAGATCTAAATGTCAGGGTAAGTTCAGAGTTTTAGTGTAAATGAGGATCAAACGTAGGGTATTATATTAGGCAGTATTGCCTAACTTGAGAGTCAGTATTACCACTGCTGGCTCTTGGTACAATACAACAACCTCCAATTTCTCAAATTTTCGCAATTTCTGAGTGTGTTTTTCCATAAAATCAGGATACTAATTTCTAAATCTAATTAATTTTATATAATCTTCTTGTCATTATATTTTAAATTTTAATATTCATGAAATGTATGTCTTTAAAGATGTTTTTGAACGAAATAATTCTTTTCTTGGCATTTTGATAAAATATCAACTCAAATACATGAGTGAAGACAGTTTAGATAAAAACTTTAAAGAAAAATATTGATTATTGAAATATTATCTGCCCGAAAGAATTTTCTTTCCTTCTCGGATCTTACAACTTATATAAAAGCCAAAAGGATAGTATGTCACTACGTTTTCGTAGCCAGAATCCTGTTGGGGTTCCCAAACATAAGCACATAATCCGCTGCCACTAATTCCCCATTTCATTCACTAACCTCATTATTTGATTATCAATTACATCCATTGGGTTCATCCTTCGCTGACCTCTCTTGATCGCATCAGGTGCCCAGTGCCTTCAGGTCGGCTTTCCGCCTCACTTCCAGTGCATCACATGCCGGAAGGGTCACGAGGTCAATGGCACTAGCTGCAGCGATGTGGACGAGTGCCGGCTATACATGCCCTGCGATGATCTCACGACCTGCACAAATCTCAATCCGGGCTTCCAGTGCGGTCCCTGTCCACCGGGATTCGATGGTGTCCATGCCCATGGCTACTATGCGGACTATCTGTCGGTGGAGTATCGCAAGCAGACTTGCATGGACATCGATGAGTGCCTTTCGGGCTTCTTCCGCTGTCCAGACCACTCCACCTGCATCAACGAAATTGTGAGTGACTTTTGGGGAGAAAGATACAGCTCTGTGCAGGAGTATACTGACTTCCATGTCCTTCCTGCAGGGCTCCTACCGATGCCAGTGCCATGAGGGCTATGTAACCAATGGCACCTACAGCTGCCTGGACCGCTCCTCAGTGGCAGTGTGTCCGGATGGGAACGTGTGTGACCGGAATGCCGTGTGCCTCCTGGCAGATAACCTGCGCTACCAGTGCCGCTGCAATGTCGGCTGGGCGGGGAACGGGGTGATCTGTGGACGGGATAGGGATCTGGATGGTTGGCCGGATAAGTCACTCGAGTGCCCGCAGCTGCACTGCCGGCGGGATAACTGCCCTGATCTGCCCAACTCTGGGCAGGAAGACGCCGATCTGGATGGGCATGGTGATGGCTGTGACGAAGACGCCGACGGGGATTTGGTGCAGAACAACAAGGACAACTGTCCGCTGACCTACAACACTGAGCAGGTGGACACGGACGGTGACGGTGTGGGCGATGTGTGCGACAACTGTGTGCATAGGCACAATCCTCGGCAGCTGGATGCCGATGGAGATGGGCGGGGCAACGAGTGCGATGAGGACAGTGATAACGATTCCATACCCAATGAGGGAGACAATTGCCCGCTGCAATCCAATCCTAATCAGTCGGATGTGGACAACGACGGCGTGGGAGATGTCTGCGACAACTGCCCCACGATTCCCAATCCCATGCAGGAGGATCGCGACATGGATATGGTGGGCGATGCTTGCGACAGTGGCATTGATGGGGATGACGATGGCATTCAGGATTCTGAGGACAACTGCCCAATGGTCAGCAACTCGGACCAGCTGGACACGGATGGGGATGGCAAGGGTGATGCTTGCGACGATGACATCGATGGCGATGGCATACCTAATTACAGGGACAACTGTCCTCTGGCTAGAAACCCAAAGCAGCTGGACTTTAATGGTAACGGCAAGGGCGACATCTGCGAGGACGACGAGGATGACGATGGAGTGCCGAACATTCTCGACAATTGTCCCAATAACTCCATGATCCACCATACGGATTTTCGCACACTCCAAACGATTCCCCTGGATCCCGACGGTAACTCCCAGCTGGATCCTAACTGGGTGGTGCATGCCAACGGCACCGAGATAGTTCAAACTCTCAACTCGGATCCGGGTCTAGCTGTGGGAAATGATTCCTTCGGCGGCGTTGACTTCGAGGGTACTTTCTATGTAAACGATGACACAGATGACGACTATGCTGGCTTTGTGTTTAGCTACCAAAGCAACCACAAGTTCTACGTGGTGCAGTGGAAAAAGGGTTCACAGACTTACTGGGAGCCGAAGCCCTTCTATGCCTCCGCGGAGTCCGGCGTACAGATCAAGCTGGTGGACAGCTTGACGGGTCCCGGGTCTCGGATGAGGAACAGCCTGTGGCACGAGGGCGATACGCCCGGCGAGGCCAAACTACTGTGGAAGGATCCAATGAGCATTGGCTGGAAGGAACGCACCTCCTATCGCTGGTCTCTGGTCCACCGACCGGTCATTGGCCTCATCCGCTTGCAGTGAGTTGTAATGAGTCTCTCTAGAACTCTTGTTTTATCCATGTCATATTCGTATTCTTCTTACAGAATATTTGAGGGACACCGCCTGCTTATGGACTCGGGCAACGTCTACGACTCAACGCTGAAGGGCGGACGTCTGGGCGTGTTCTGCTTTTCCCAAGAGATGATTATATGGTCCAATCTGCAGTACAAGTGCAACAGTAAGGGGAGACCACTCAAGGAGTCCTCAGTCCACTCATGCTCACCTCTCTTGTCTCTTCCATTAACAGACCATGTGGATGCCCTGATCTACAGGGATCTGTCCGATCACCTAAAGACGAAGGTGGATCTAAGCAACTGATGAGCCCCTCTTGCGAGCTTAAATCCTTCTGCCATCCATTTTAACCAAATTAATGATTAATGCTAGGTTAAGTGAATACAGCTACTACATAAGTTAATAAATGAGTTGCAACTTTTTTTCTAATATTAGAGTAGGCCTCTACAAAATTTTAATCAATAACTACTCGCTCTACCTTGTGGCAACACTTCCAGGCCAATATATCATCCCAAAATGGAAACTTTAGTAGGCCTAGAAAAATGAAATGTCAAATTCATGTACTAAATCTTCAGTAAACTTCATTCAACTCGCACAGCCCAGTAGCGTAGGATCATAGTTCAGACTAGGGAAAGTTTCAGTTACGGAAAAGGTATATACAAACCGAACCATCGTACACACAACTGTCGAGCTAGACATATATTAAAATTCGGTTCAGTCTTGCTACACATTGTTAAGGGTAAGTAAGAGCACTGCCCTCAAGTCACCTAAAGACGATATCCAAATTGAGCTGAATCCTTTCAAGCGTCAAGGAACCAATGATGGCCAACCGTAATGTGCCGGCGACTCCGTCGCAGGAGGAGTTACGTGAGAAAGTGAACATTAAAAATGTGAAAAATTCGGAAGAGCGTGAAACAGACAATTTGAACACGAATGCAGACACAACAGACTTACTGCCTACCGTGTCCTCGGCAGGGGCTTTGAGTCGCGGTGCAGGCTCCTTAAAAAGCCGGACCAAAATTCCGGCGCCCACCGCTCTTGGCCCCAGCTCCAGCACTTTCCAGATGGGCAGCCGCAAGTACACCAGTACCCTCGACACTACCAGATCTCCGCTGCAGTCGCCCAATGATTCTGGCATCCAGACAGATACTTCGATCTCCGAGCCTGATCCGACCACAAAGTCGCCCATACCCACCCCCGTTCCCTCATGCCGTAGCGAAATGGCACTGAAACTGGACGAGCGTGAGACCCTGAGGGAGCTGCAACGCGTCGTCGCCGAAATGGAGGCCGAAGTGGCATTGGCTGACAAGGAGGACGTAGAGTTGGGGCTTCTTGATGCCTCCAACGCTGACCAGACGTCACTGGCTAGCGATGTCGAGACTGTACGGGATCCAGACGTCCGTACTAGCGAGGAGAAGTTAGGACCAACTGAGGAACTGTTAGCTGAAACCAAAGCTGAACAGGATCCACTGGTCCAAGAAGCTGAACTGGGATCGGCCCAGAAACTGGCATCGGTCAATGTCCAGGACAATGATGCAACTTCTTCTCAAGGGGTGGACCCACAAGCTGCCCCTGAGGCTCAGCAGGAGCCACAGAATATTGAAACTGTACAGGTTTCGACACACAGTCTGGCTCCAGATGGGGCCCAGATCAACGTGGAAAAATCGAACCAGGAGGAACCTTTGCCAGAACCAATCACAGAAGTAGTGGTCAAAGACGATCAGCAGCTGCTCAAGAAACAAACACAGATGGAGGATCCTGAACTCGTAAAGGATCTGTTAGAGCCTATCTCTCAGGCTTCAGAGGAAAAATTCCCAGAGATCGCACTGGAGGAACCTGCCACGGACTCTGTGGAAGCGGCCCTTCAGCAAGCTTTCGCTAATGTTAATCAAGTTCAGAAGCCTGTGTTGCCGGAGGAGCCCGTAGATGCATTGAATGGAGCTTCCGGTGGGCAGACAGTTGCCCTCAGCCAGGACTTGCTTGGCGAGCCAGAGCCAGAGATCGGGGACCTAGATCTGGCCACCACCTCGGAGGCAGTGCTGGTCACGCAGCCCTCGAATACAAACAGCCGCATTGTTAACTTGGAAGAGCTGCTCCGCAGTGCCAACAACGTTGAGCTGCTGCGCCGGCTGCTCCAAATCGGAGCAGAATCCAACATAGTCGAGTCGGAGCCGGACTGTGCCACGCAGGAGTCATCGGCAGAAGATAAGGACGTCGATGCCGAAACAGAGTCAGTACCCGAAACAAGTACAACAAGCACTTGCACTGCCACAGGAACGGAAGCCTCCACCGACGAGGATACAGAGCTAAACGATAACGAGGACGAAGATGGTGCAGATGTGATCCCAGAGGGCCTCAACAAAGAGACAGATTCCGTGGTGTGGCGCCTCCTTTCCGGCAAGATGATACACCTGGCCTGTCCCATACTATTTTGTGGCTTTGCTGCCGGCTTGATATATATGTCGCGCAAGGGCTAGGTTACCCATGCGTAAATTGGAAATTACACCCATTGCAAGTACCTATCACCTGTTCGACTCAGATAGATCCTTCGTACACATCGTGCAAGGCTCTTCAAAATCGCTCGATACAATGGCACATAAGTTGCCCTAAATTCAAACTATATTCAAAATAAAGCAATTAAAACCAAATTATATATTTGGTGAAAATTTTTATTTTTTATTTAAATAAAGCGGCACGGTTATACGAATTTATGATCGCCAGGTGGCGCTAACTCATGGGCAATGCACAAGCAGTGCCACTTATCGATAGTCAAAAAGCAGTGCACAAAATCGATAAGCGATTAATTATAAATTTAAAAAACTCGGTATTTAAAATATATGTACCTTTGATTATGAGCTAAAAGTATCAGTTAATATATCATTATGTAAAGGCTATTTCTCTTCTTTCTTCTTCTGACCTTATTTTTTACAAAGAACAGCTTTCATCCACTCAGCCTCTAATTTTTATCCTTGCTTTAATAACCAACTAAATCTAATCAACATTTACCTTAAGTAAACAAATTTGGCATATATTTAAAATACCCCACAGCAAAAAAATAAAAATAAATACAAAGCAAATCATTTTCCCAACTCAAATTCCGTTTAAAACTCAGTTACTTAGTTTGACAGTTTACATTTGTATTTTACAGTAACCTATGGAATCTCGGACTTTTATTAATATCAAAATTTTCAGAAAAATGTAGTCTTATCACTTTGTATGCAAAAACTTGTAAAACCAAATTTTAAGAGGTAGCGTTTTTCGTGGATCATTTTATACGTAAGATAACAATATATAACAATGACATCCCTGGCGTCTGTCTGCGCTGCTGGCTTAATTCACCTGATGCATAGTTGGGTCTTGCCGCCGGATCGGTCCAAGGATCCCGGACCGCAGTTACCGTCTGTCTTTGTGGCCATTGCTTTGTTGGATCTGATCTATGATAATAGAGTTATTCCCCAAAGCTTTGAGGTAATGTCGGTTGTGTTCCAGCGCATCTGCGAAGTGGCAGTGGCGCTTATCCTGCTGGAGCTGGGCATTCACATCATCTGGAAGCCGCTGGAGCGTTTTATCCACCTGCTAACAAAAATACTCCTTCTCGGCACCGGTCTTGTCTCAGAAGGTGTCTTTTGGAGACAAGAGAATTTCTGGGTGGGCTGCGTCACGGTGCCGCTGTCCTTGCTAATCGTGGCCTTCGCTGGGCAGGCCTCCGATCACTTTCATATTCTGCGCAATCCAAGTTTTTATGTGCAAACCACGGTCCTGCTCAATGTGGATGCGGCTCTTCGCTACCTTAAACGTAATCATAGAGCCACCGGGATCCCCTTGCCCCATTATGCGGAAACCCTTCAAATGTATCAAGATGCCGCGAACAGGCGACGAAGGGGTCAGGACTTCCTGCGACACTTCCCCTATGACGATGATTACTCTTCCGATTAAATAAAGGAATAAAAATGACTTAGATTGATTTGTTTGTTTTTTATTTTTTACAAGAGAGTTCTAAAATAATTGTCATACATAATAATTAAATTGCTTTTATTAAATTACACAATAACGACTATATTTGATTTGCTTTCAACAGCACTCGCGAACAATTGATGTGTGGTTGGAAAAATCTATGTTTATATAAGGTTTATATATAGTATATATATATAGTGTGTATTGCAATTTCGATTACTTGTTTAGGTAAATAATACTTAAGATTAAAACAATGTTTTTTTCATTCATTATATTACGCATAAGTTCGACTTAATTTCATTTAGTTTGCATACCTAAAGAGCACATATGGGAGTTACTAATTTAAGCTTTCTCGTCTCGTTACGTTTCGTCGCGTTCTGAAGGAGCTCTCGAAGCCTTGCATTAAGCCACGTAATATCCGAGATATTTGGGGACTGAAGATGGATCGAAATCGAGTCGCGAGACCATTACGTCGATTCAATGCAAGGCTCTCCAGTGAGTATTTGTGGGGCAGTGTGCTGTGAACACTGTGCTGACAGTGCGTTCCTGCTCCTCCATTAACCTCCTCTTTCCATTCTTTATTTATGACCACATTTTACATTAAAGCAGCTTGGTTATTCGTAATTCATCCATCCTTACTGCACTTCGCTATCACTATCACTCTTCTCTGGAAAAAAAAGCAAAAAGGGTGCCTTGTTAATATTATGAGTCGGAAGGGATCAGCTTAGTGGTCTTACCCTTCTTGCCCGGATAGGCGTGACGTTTCAGTCGGTCGTATAAGTCTTCTTTAGTTCCGTAGAGCGAGGCATTGGACCTGGCCAGTGTGCTCATCTTGCCACCATGAAGACCTGCAAATGGATTTAGGGATTAGCATAAGTTAAAGGTTAGAAAGGAAAGTTAAAAATTAAACTTATTTTGTGAAAAACGTTGGGAATATAGTATTATTATTAATATACTATAATAATATGTTTCTCAATGAGATTTTTAAGTATTTTTTATTTTAACTGCTCAGCCTAGTAGGTTCTGAAGAACCTGTCTAAATATTTGTAGTTTGGAATACTATTTTATTTTTAATTAAAAATTAATCAGAAATAAAATAGAAGTATTAAATGCAACCCCTTGCTCTTCTCACGTTCAAGTAAATTAAATCAGAAATAATTAAATGTATGACTTATTGCAGTTTAAAGATATATGTATAGTAAACAAGAAGAATAGAGCCTATAGGCTATGGAGTATAAAATGGAAATGTAAGTAAAGCTTGTCGCCTCTAAAATTAAGGAAAATCTAAATTTGTAGACATTTGTTATTTACTCAACATTTACCGCCTAAGAACCAGCTCATCTAAAAATATACCTTTTTTAATGACCTAAGACAGACCAAAGAAATTCCTAAACCATTTTCATATATAAAGTAGAGCCTGAAGATTCAACTACTCTCAAAGCTTTGCCGGATGAGAACTCAAGATCCGTATCCACGCCACTTACCATCCTTCATGTACGTCTCGTTGTAAAAGTTTGGCATCTCCCATCCGTCCTCCTCGTCGTCGTAGTAATGGGCGTAGGTGCTGTGGTGCGAGGGCGCAATGGATTCCGCATAGGGCGTGTGGGCGCCATAATAGAAGTTCACCTGGGATCCGGTCTGGTCGATGGCCGGAGTGAGCATCTTCTTGGGGTCGCGGCGCTTGGTGGAGCGCACGCAAATCATCCAGATGAGCAGGACAATGATGATGATGAAGATCACGGCTCCGGCGATGCCGCCGGCAATGTAGGCAAACTCAGAGCGCTCGGCGCAGTGGGGTCCAGTGAAGGAGCCGACGCAGCGGCACGAGGGCGTTCCCTTCAGATCCTTGACACACGCTCCGGAGTTCTCACAGTAGCCGTCACAGACATCTGTGCAGGCCATGCCCGTGCCATTGAATCCAGGCTTGCACTCGCACTTGAAGTCGGACGTCTCTGGCACCATGATGCAGTAAGCGTTGGCATCGCAATGTGGCTTGCCCTCCGCAATGTGCTCGCAAGGATTCGTGCACTCGCTCTTCGAGGTAGCTCCGGTGATCTTGGTGCTGTGGTTCGGCGGGCACTGGAGGCAGGCGGTCTGCTGGGACTCCGACTGATAGAAGCCCTTGCGGCACTCGATGCACATGTTCAGCGTGGCGTTCAGATAGGTTCCAGGCGAGCACACGGGCAGGGTGCACTCTTCCACGGAGCTGGCACCCACCTTAGGTGTGGTCCTGCCCAGCGGGCAGGCAGCGCACGAAGGCTGGACGCCCTGCAGGCGGTAGGTACCGCGTGGGCAAGGCTCGCAGCGTCCATCGGCTCCCAGCTGCTGACCAGAGCTGCACTCGTCGCGGCACTCCTTGCGCGAGGTGGCCTCCGTGGATCGTGTCGTCTGGCCCAGGCCGCACAGCTCGCAGCCGAAGGAGCCCTCGTTCGGTTGGTAGAAGCCATGACCGCAGGAGCGGCACAGGCCTGTCTCGGCGTCAAAGTACTTGCCAGCCGGGCATCGCTCTTTGCAGTCCGCCGCCGAGCGGGCACCGGGTCCGGCCGTGACTCCCGGCCGGCCGGCTATAACCGGACACTTGCTGCACTGCTGCTGTCCAGCCTCGGATTGGTAGGAGCCACGGGCACAGGCGATGCACGTCTTGTTGGCACTGTAGTAGAAGGTGCCGATGGCACAGGGCACGCAGTCGGGAATCATCACCACCTGGCCAACGGGACAGGCGTACTCGGAGCCAAGTTCCAGCGAGGCTGGATCCGGCACGGTGTTGGGCAGAATCTCCTGAACGGCAAACTGGTCGTCCTCAAGGATGAGCTTCTCCAGCAGCTGCTTGACACTGGAACGCTCGCCGGTCGAGGTGTGCACCACAGGATCACTGCAGAGGAAGAAAAGCCAAGGTGGTTAGTTGGATTCCGATGGGGTTACCTTGTTCATAAGATTAATAATTAAGTGCTCCAATGACCAGTTTCAGATTTACAATTCATGTGTCGCATAAATGCTTTAGCTTTAAGTATTTTAATACAAAATTTATAGTAAAAGTTATACAAAAATATAGAGATTTGTCTCTTCTAGACCTTCACCATTATGTCCCTGAACATTTCCTCATGAAATCATTCTTTTATGTGACACACTCGCAAATCCCTTCTGGACATCAAAGGTCAAGCATTAAATTGTGGTTAGCACGCTTTTTATATTTAAGATGAGGTTAGCATGGAAACAAGTGGAGGGCTCGACGATGGATGGGTTTGATTGAATGGATTTTGGATTAGACTGAGAGGAACTGAGAGATTGCTGGTAGTTGGTGGTAGTATTGGGTGCAGAGCAGATGCTGGGTCGAGGCAAACAACGGGGTGCAGTTAGCTTTAACTGATCGCATTAGCGAGTGCTGGACATACTTTACAGCCGGGAAGGCTATCTCCAGGGTGTACGTGTCGCCGCCGGTTTGCTGGCGTCCCTGGCGACCCGTCAGAGCCAGGTCGTCATCCTCCTCGCTGCAAATTGGGTTAACGAACACACAAAACAAATATGACATATACACAGAGTACATAGTACGTGTACGAGAACGAGTCTCGGGATATGCTAGAACGGTGACTTCACTCCCCCATGGCATGCCTCTACTTACTTGACCACTGGCAGCTCGGCCTCCATCACATAGACACCGCCATCCTTGGCCTGGCGACGCACTCGATTGTTCTGGGCAGCTCGGTAGTGATCGCATTTCACATCAATTTGGATATCCTTGCACTCCCTGAAAATATCAAAATACAAGAGATTAAGCACGTCATCCCAGACTGAAATTGCAAGACTGGACACCCACCTGGTTCCTTCAATGGCGTACGAGCAGAAGTTCCAGTCGCGGTTCAGACCATTCACAGAGTTGGTCACCTTCTGGCGGAGCACCGCCTGACCGGCCTTGTTGCACAGCACGTCCGAGGGGAAGAGCATCTTGATGCGGAACACCCGCTGGGCAGGCTTCGACGGTGAGCAGGATGGGTAGACCAAGGGTGTCGAAGGCTCGCGAGTTGGTCGCCAGAAGCCTTCGGCTCCACAGGTATAGAACTCAGGCACTTGCTCCGAGAAGCGCAGACCAGCATTACAGGCTATCTCACAGACCTTGAACTGACCGCCGGCACCCCAATCCTTGCACACCTGGGAGCCACCAACGGGATCGGCCAGAGGTGGGCAGAAGTCGTCTGAATAATAAATATTGTTCATTAATAAAAGTAAAGAGAACCTTCCACTCGGAATACTCACTCAGCAGTGACACCTTGAAGCTGCAGGAGGCCGTGTTTCCAGCGGCATCCGATGCAATGTAGGTGATGTCGTAGGTGCCCCACAGTAGCGTGGTACCGGATCGGTGTCCGTTGCGTTCGTAGATCTTGGTCACTCCGATATTGTCGCTAAAGTGCGGCTCATCCCAGTTAACCACCGCCGATCCATTCTTGGCAATGACCCAAAGATCACCGGGGCAATGCTCGACCACCGGTGGCTCCTTGTCCACCACCAGTTGCTGGCAGTTGGCACCCGTATAACCCACGGGACACCGGCGTTGTCCGCACAGAGAAGGCACGTTGCGCTCCACTCCGCCGGAGGTAACCTCATAACCAGCCCAGTTGAGGATCAAACCGGGATACAGAACTGGCTCCGATCGGCAATCCCGAACCTGCTTTTGAATCTCCGACGTAATGTCGAGGGCTCGGGCCCACACCTGGACCTTGGTAACGGTTCCCTGGAAGCCGGCATCTGAGTAAGCCAGCTCCTGGCTCAATCCGTACGGTTGTGGACGTCCCAAGACGGCCCAGAGATGCGATGGCAGAGAACCACCTGCTCCGTACTCCATCTTGCTGGCAATCAGTCCCTCAGTGATCAGCTGTAATTGTCCGGAAATGCCATCCCAGACCACGGCCACGTGATGCCACTGGCCGTCATTCACTGAGGTATACTCGCCGAAGCTCAGGAAGGCGTCCGACTGATCCTCGAAGAGCGACACCTGGACACCGCTCGAGTGGGCCTGGAGGAGCATGCGACGACGCTGGGTAATGCGGGCAGACTCCACGCCGTACAGCGTGAAGAAGATACCGGGGTCGTCCTTCTGGGCAAACTGCACCCACATGGCCACCGTCAGACTGTTGGCCTGGCCCGTGGGGAAGGGCACCACCTGGGCGGCCGTGGAGCGTGATGGATCGCTGAAGTACAGGTCATAGTCCACCTGAATAGCCTTGCGGCAGTCGTCGCCGGTCATGTTGAAGGGACACTGGCAGTAGAAGCCATTGGTCAGGTCCACGCAGGTGGCACCCGGCGGGCACGAGTTATCCTTGCAGTCGGCAATATCCTGCTCGCAGTTGCGGCCAGTGAAGCCGGGCGGGCACTGGCAACTGTAGCCAGCACCGTTGTCCAGGCAGGTGGCACCGTTCTGACAGACCTGCTCCTCACAGGCATCGTACTCGTACTGGCAGCCAATGCCCGAGTAGTCCGCCGGACAGCTGCAGTTGAGCCCGGAGCCAAAGTCCTGGCACTTGCCGCCATGCATGCAAGGATCACCGATGCAGCGCTCCGGCGCGGTCTCACAGTTCTTGCCATCGGTGCCACTGGGGCAGACGCAGAAGTAGTCCTGGAACAGATCGATGCAGCTGGCGTCGTTCTGGCACGGTGCCTGCACGTTGCAGGTGGTCACCTGCTGCTCGCACCTCATGCCACTCCAGCCCGGTTCGCAGCCGCACTCGAAGCCACCGACGCGATCCCGACAGAGACCGTTGTTCAGGCAGGGTTGCGCCTCGCAGTCATCAATGTCCGTCTCGCAGAGCTGGCCCTTGAAGCCGTCGCGACACACGCACTCGAACTTGTTGTCTTGGTCCAGGCAGCGCTCGGTGCCCACAGGGTTGCAGGGATCGCTCAGGCACTCGTCGATCTCAGCCTCGCAGGAGAGGCCCACGAAGCCGGGCCGGCACTTGCAGCTAAAACCGTCCAATTGGTCCACGCAGGTGGCTCCATGCTGACACGGATTGGAGGCGCAGTCGTCGATGGTGTGCTGGCAGTTCTTGCCCGTGTATCCTGGCTCGCAGTTGCAGCTGTAGCCATCAACCAGATCCACGCAAGTACCCTCGTTGGCACAGGGACGGATCTCGCAGTCGTCAATGTTGATGTCGCAGGCTCCGCCCGTCCATCCAGGGTGACAGACGCATTCGTGGTCGAAGAGACGGTCCACGCAGGTACCATGCTTGCAGGGTTCCGACAGGCAGAGGTCAATCTTTTGCTCGCAACGCTTGCCCGTAAATCCTGGGGGACACGAGCACTGGAAGTCGTTGACCAGATCAGTGCAGTTGGCGCCTAGCAGGCAAGGATTCTCGGAGCAGTCGTTGATATTCAGCTCGCAGTGGATGCCCTCCCAGCCCGGCAGACATTCGCACTTGTAGCGACCCTGCTGCAGGGCCTGACAGCTGGCTCCATTGCCGCAGGGATTGCCATTCGCGGTGCAGGGATCGATGGTCACGTCACACTGATCCCCAGTGTAGCCACTGCGGCACAGGCAGGTCACATTCTTGAATCCAGGCTCATTCTTGCACATGGCCCGAGCGGGACAGGTGTCGTTGCCGCAGTCGCTGGCCTCCTCCTGGCAATTAATGCCGGAGTAGCCCGGCGGACACTCGCAGCGGTAGCCCTGGGGCAGGTCCTTGCACTGGCCGCCGTTGTAGCAGGGCTGCGAGGCGCACTCATCGATATCCTGTTCGCATCTCCGTCCAGAGAAGCCGGCGGGACAGAAGCACTGGATGTCGTGGCCCATTGGCACGCAGAGTCCACCATGCTGGCAGGCTCCCTCGCCGCAAACCACCGGCTTGCACTGCTCACGTCCCTTGGAGCCAGCGGCGTCGGTCCTCATGTTGCTGGGACACTCGTTGCAGCTTTGGGCTCCAGCGGCTCCCTGGTAATGATGCAGCGGGCAGGGTGAGCAGGGTGCCAGTCCCGTGGCAGAGTATGTGCCAGGAGCACACTTGGCGCGACACATGTCCCTGTTGGCAGCGGCTGGCTGGTAGGTGAAGCTCTGGGCTGGACAGGCTTGGCAGTCCTTAAAGCCGCCCGTCGGTGGCTCGGCGGTGAAGGAGTTGCGCGGGCACTCCAAGCACGGCACCAGGCCAGTTGGTGAGTAGGTTCCGTAACCGCAAACAGGCACACAGTCCGCCTGCAGCTTGGTTCCCTCCTCCTTGGTGTAGGTGCCGGCCGGGCAGCGCAGACAGGTGCCCTGTCGATCCCTGTTCTGGTAGTAGCCGCGCGGGCAGTAGGTGCAACTGTTCTGGCCCTCTGACACATAGGTGCCGGCAGGACAGTGCAGACAGCGCGGCACATCGCTGGTGTCCATGTTGAGCACCTCACCCACGTTGCAGTTGAAGCCGCGGGTGATATGCGATTTCAGGGCACGCAGCGGAGGACACTGGTTACCGATGTTGGCAATGTTCAGCAGGTCATCAATCACAGCACTTGCGTAGGGAACGCTCAGATCGAAGATTAGGTTCAGGGTGGAGCCACACAGATCGTACAGCTGAGGCTGGCGAACCGCCGGCAGGATGGAGAGGATGAAGTCCATTTTGACTACGTTCTCCTCCAGCAGCATCGGCACCGACTTCACAAAAGTTACGTTCATGTTCACGTTGACCGCAGAGCAGCGTTGCGAGAGCAACTGGTTCAGGCCGGAGTAGTGCTGGGCAAGAACATCCTGGTACTGACCCAAGCAGGATTGAGCCACGGCTCCATTGGCACGGTAAGTAATGGTGGCAGTCACGTGGTACGCGGCCTGCTCCGTATTCTCAGAAACGCAGTCGGGAACCACAGAAGTGGGACGCCACAGACGCGACGTCTCGCAGGAGAAGGTCTTCAGTGGTTCGCCGTCGGTGAAGCGGAAGCCGGGTTTGCAGGTGGCAATGCACTCGATGCCTCGATCTCCTGGCAGGCAGTTAATGGCACCATTAGCCGGCGGCTGCAACTCCCAGTCCACGCAGGGTGAGGCCTTCACAGCGACCTGGAAGTGGCAGGAGGCCCTGTTGTTGTACTTATCCGTGGCCGTCACCGTCACGTTCTCAAAGTTGCCAATCTTGATGGTAGAACTCTCGGGCTTAAACTGCAGTTTCACCTCTCCGGTATCGTCTGAGGTCTTGATCCGTTTCCTGGTGTCGTTGAAGTTCACGGTGTAGCTGTCCTGACGATCCACCAGCTCGATCACATAGCTCTGGGGGCACTGCAGCAGAGGCGGCGTGACATCCGGCACCGTGATGTTGATCTCACAGATGGCCACGTTGCCATCGTAATCGAAGGCCACATACTTGACAACCGTATCCTTGAAGATATAGCTGGGAGTACGGAAGTTTTGCGGCTTGATCTCCAAGCGAGCAATCGATCCGGAGTTATCCACAGCCGTGGGCTCGGTGAAGTTCACAGGCAACACGCCGCCGTTCTCATCGCGACGCACCACGATTGGCTGTTGGGGGCAGTTCTGGAAGATCGGTGGCTCGTTGTCCACGCAGGGCGAGTAGCCGTAGTCATAGCCCAATAGAGGCTCCTGCTTCGGCTCATCGCAGCCCATCAGCTCAAACTTAAGACAGGCGTTGTCCATGTAGCTAACAATACCCAGAATGACGAAGCGTGCCTGGACATACTTAGGCAGTGTGATCATGGCCAACTCGCCGTAGTTGCCGGGATCACGCATGGTCAGGTTAAAGTTGGGGAAGTACACAACGTAGTTCTCACTTTCGGCCTGCTTGTAGAAGAATCGGATCTCCGTGGGACGACCCACAATGTCATTGGTGACCACACCCTTGACCAGAATGGCCTTGACGCGATAGATCTGTCCCAGATCCACGCTCACGTAGGTAAAGGCCTCCTGCTTGCCGCACCAGCCAGTGGCCGAGTTGAGACGGATGTTCTTAGCCTCGTAGTTCGGTCGCTCCGAGGTGGCGTTAATAGCTGAATCGGGAATCCTGCCGGAACTTAGACCTAGAGGCTTGATCACCTTGCACTCTGGCTCTCGGATGCAGGTAATGGGTCGCGGGTTTATCAGGATGTAGCCGGGACGGTTGCAGCCGAAGTAAACCTCGGAGCTCTGCTCGTAGCTACGGGCAATCTGGCGACCATCGGCCGGGCGGCCAGGATCCTCGCAGACGGGTCCCTCACAGCGCAGATCACCAAAGTCCCAGATGCCATCTGCTCCGCAACGGACCACATTGTCGTGGCGTCCTGTCTGTCCAGCCAGCTTAAAGGTGTTTTGACAGCCGAAGAAGAAGCTGCTCTGGAAGCGGGTATCCACAAACTGACCATATTCAGCTCCAGGTGTGGGCATGGGCGAGTAGCAGTCCACACGTGGGCATGAGGGCTGCATGCCTGAGAGCCAGTAGTCGGGCAGACCAGGCTTAGGGTCATACACACACTGCCGGAAACCAGAGGAAGCGGTGGCCCTCAACTGGCGACCAGCCGAACCACATGTAATGGTCACATTGTCACGGAAGGGCACCAGGACGGACTCGGGATCGGGACGGGCCACAGTCAGACCCTCCAACTTGTCATCGGGCAGGGAGACGCACTTCGCATCTAGAAAAGCATATAAGGAATTTAGAAAAATGAGAGAACTAGATTTACTCTCTAGTACTTACAATTGCACTCAGGCACGCTGGCGTTCCACTGACCGCTGGACAGGCACAAAGCCGCCGAGCTGCCGCTCATGATGTAACCAAAGTGGCACTGGAAGCGCACCACATCACCAAAGTGATAGTCGTTGCGATCACTCAGCAGTTGTCCATTTTCCGGTGCCTCGAGCTCCGGGCACATCACGGGAACACAGGTCTTGTTGCGCTGATAGCTGTCGCCGTCGCGTTCTCCGGTTTCCGATCGCTCAATATGATAGCCAGCAGTTCCATTGGAGGTATACAGTTGGTAGCCAGTGTTGCAGCCACAGGCGTAGCCTCCGGGGGAGTTGATGCACTTCTGGTCACAGCCACCATTGTTTTTGCTGCACTCGTTGATGTCCACACAGTCCAGACGGGTGCAACCCATCAGTTCCATGCGCAGACACGGAGCACCCACATAGTCCTGGATGCGGAAGCGGATATAGCGAGCCTCGATGGGCAGGGGCAGGTTTAGGATAGACAGAGTGGGCTCCAGGATACGGAACTCGACGGCGGTGCCATCTGGATTGGCGTAATCCTTAAAGACATCGGTCAGATCGTTGGAGTACTGCAGACGCACAGCCGAACTGAAGGCCACGTTGCCATCGGGACGTTGAACCGACATGGTGCGGAAGCCACGCAGAATGGTGGGTGCCTTGAGGTCAATCAGGATCCAGTTGGCACCCGGCTCCGAGGAGCCGCCGCACCATCCGTTTGTGTTCAGACGCACCTGGGTCTTGCTGTACCCGGGCTCGCTGGAAGAGGTGCTAATGCTATCGTCCGGAATGCCACCGTTGCCCAACCCAAGGTCACCCACGGGTCGGCACTCGGTGGTGGCGGTGAATCCAGATCGACACTGGCAGTGGAAGGATCCATTCGTGTTCTGGCACTCGGTGGTGGTCAGGTCGCATTGGGAGGAGCTGCACTCGTTGATGTCCTCGCAGGTGGGTGGCTGCTCGAACTTCTGGGCCTCGCTGCAGCGCATGATGTTGCTGCCGATCAGCTTGTAGCCCTTGAAGCACTGCACCCTAGCCTCATCGCCGTACAGGTAGGCACGACTGGCGTCCACAACGAAACCATTGTCAATCTCTGGGAACTCGTAGCATCGCTTGCGCGTGCAACGTGGCACATCGCCACTCCAGGTGCCATTGGACATGCAGGTGAGCACCGGGTGGCCATTCCGCTCGTAACCCGGCTCGCACTCGTACTGGACGATGGTGCCGTAGCTGCGTCCGCCTCCATTAAGCAGAGTCACATTGGCGTGGGGCACCTCCACAAGGGCGGCGCACTGGGAGGCCATGCAATGGGGCTGTCGCTCCCAACGACCATCCGGCAGACAAGAAATCTTCTCGATTGGAGCACTGGAGGCGAAGGCAAATCCAGCATAGCACTGGTACATGGCGATGCCGCGATAGGTCACATTCGAGGAGCCAATGGAGAAGCCGTTGTCGATCTGTGGCACAGGACCGCAGTAGACCTCTGTAGAATTACGAAGAGAGAGTGAAATCAGTAACTATAGTTATCCGAGGAACAACTTGTGGGTACTCACCCTGACACTTGGGTATGTAGGAGACACTCCAGTTGCCACCGCGCAGGCATTCCGTAATCAGACGCGTCTTGCCGGTGGCAAACTCCTGTCCAATGGGACATGTAAAGCTGACCAGCGTACCGAAAGCGGTGTCGCGACTGGAGGCCAAGGCTCCGATGCCAGGTTGCAGTTCCGGACAATCAGCCGAAAAGGTGGCTGACCATCTAAGGATCAAGAAAACAGAAATTAGTACCTAAATCTTTGTATATAATCGAGAGTAACCTACCCCGCAGCATTGTGCAAAGCATCCGAGGTAAACTTAATAAGCATCTCGCCCGATGAGGCGGTCAGGGTGAGCTTTGGGGCTGCTGTGCCCGTGAAGCCATTGCCCGAGTGGAGGCGCAGACCGGATGTGGATGATCCATCAAAGACCTGGACGTTGTCGCTCTTGTGGACAGTGAACTTGTCAAACTTGAGGGAGAGTGGAGCTCGGGCATTGTTCCGAATGGTGAAGTAGCACTCCTGGTTCTTAGGGTAATCCGCCAGGCCGAAAGCTGGCGAGGTGACAGTGCCATTCCTGGCAGTGATCGTGGCCTTGCATCCCTGGATGTAGCGCAGACTGAAGCCCTTACCGGCCTCACCCAGGCTGGACTTGAAGTACAGATACAAAGCGTTGCCAGTGGAGATGATGACGCGTTCATTCTGGATCGTCTTGCCGGTCAGTTTGGCAATGGTGCGGCTCATGGGAGAGTCTCCATCACGGATCATTAGATAGTCGCGCCCTTCGGCCACATCCAGGTCATCCACCTCAATGGAGATGATGCGCCCGGGCTGAGCCTTGATCACATACAGGCACTCCAGGCCGCCGGGATACTGTTTCGGGTAATTGGGACTGGTCAGGATCTGGCGCTGCAGAGTGGCCTTCAGGGTGCCGCCGCAGTTCTTGGCCTCCGTTTTCCAGGTGGCCCGGAAACCCTTACGCTCTACACTGCCATCGGTGGTGAACTTGACAATCATGAAGTTGGAGGCAGACACGAAGGGCTGTGTGGTCAAGTCCTGCTTGCCGCTGAGCGTGGCCAGGGACACGGATTTGTCTTCGGTGCGACCCCCTACCAGGATCTGAACCGTGTCGAAGGTCTTCTCAGTCTCAAAGTCCTGGAACTGCAGGATGATATTGCTGCCCAGTGGTCCCTCCAGCGTCCACTTGCACTTGCTCAGAGCTCCGTACTTGTGGGGATAGTTGGGCGTCTCAATCACATCTCCACCAGACTGCATGTGGTAATGGCACTGAGCCGGACAATCCAGCTCATCGGTACCATCGCCGCAGTCATCGCTGCCATCGCACTTGAAGGCCTGGTTGATGCACTTGCCATTGGCGCAGTGCAGCGCTCCCTGGGGACAGGCCTGGGCGCGGCACATGAAGGGCAGCAGGGACTCGCAGGTGCCCAGATCCCAGCTCTGCGACTTGCCGCCAAAGCCAGCTGCCACACACTCACCGGAATCGGAGTTGGGCTGATGCAGAGACCAGTAGCCAGAGTACTGAGAGATCAGGGCTCCCGAGGCGGATTCCAGCGTGTTGGTTCGCAGGTCATCCAGGGAGGCCAGGCCCAGCCAGTACTTGTCCGATCCCCGCTGATTGGGATCGCTGGCCCGGGCAATGGACAAGGTGTCGTTGTTCTCCGCATAGCTGTCAATGGCCACCAGTTCGGCGCCGTATCTAAGGAGGAGTAAAAGGAAATGAAGAAATTTTAATGTTTGAAATAGCAAAATGCACTTAAATTTAGCCAGAAAAGCAACTAATTTTATGGGAAATTTTTAATTATCATTTGTTTACTCCGCCCCATGAAATCGAAGCCAGAGGATATGGGCGTTTAGTGAGCTCCTCTTGGCCAAGCTTCCGCTGCCGCTGGGCGTAATGGAACTTCAATTATGCAGCTGCGCTTTACTTTCTATTTTGCGCTTCTATCTCAATTATGCGGCTGCATGTGGACCAGGGGAAATCAGCCAGCGAAACTTTCGTTTCCAATCGCTAAACTCACTTTGATTTCAATCTCATAACGCCGAGTTCTGCGGGAAAAACAAAAATAAAACGAGTTTACACCCAGTGCCATTGCGACAACATTACGCATTCGCCGCGTGGGACGTGGCTGCAGCTGCAGCGGCAGTGGCATGCCAAAAAAAATATATATATGTATGCAAGAAAAAAGCACAGAAAAGGCACAGCAAATTATGTATGAGAGAGACACTCCCTGCGTGCCACACAAGAGTGAAAACTTCAGACGCGGCTCCGTAAGTCAAATTTTATATATGGCTTTGCAATTTACAATACGTATTTATATATGGCCTGGGCGGGCCTAAGGTAAATCGCCAGAGATCTGATCTGTTTGGGCTTGTAGTTAACGCTTTCGCGTATTTCATGTATTTTCACCCCCCAAAAGAAATCTCTTAGTTGGCCAAAATTTGCGAGTTACTGCGAGTTGGATTCCAGCCATGTTTGCATGGCAAATTCTTGTCTCACTTTCAGGTGATAATTTATGTAGTCAGGAAAGGGCTTTGATATGGGAGAAAGAAGCTTATAGAGAAAGAAGCTTATAATTTGAGATTTTTTAGATCAAAATGCGATATGTAAATTGTTGCTTATATATTGAAATGTTGCCATTTTTGTGAGTGTACATTCGGTATAACAATCTTTATAGTAACCCAAATTCTCAAATGCGTTATCTAAACTTCTGAAAATTGTTTACTTGCTTTTATGGCTGCCTTGGTAAGGGATAATTCTACAATATTACATATCCAACATTATTATAGAGTAAGTAAAAACTTAATTTCCCTTAAATTTCAATTCCCCCCAGGCCATGTTTACTTCTTTTTTATTGGTAACAATTCCGCTAACTCGAAATGTTAACGCCTTGTCAGAGCCTTCGCTTGATTCTGCCACATTTCGCATGCTGTGCACGCAAGCAAAGAAATTTCACCGAAATAAAAAGAGCAGAGTAAAAAATAACCATACTTCACAGGTGAATGGATAACAACGACACCTGTCAACGCAATCGCCCTCTGTTTCTGTTTGTTATAAGCAAGACACTCACACTCGCAGTCGACATTTTGGCAAATCGTCCGTTTGAAGACACTAACCAGGCAACGTTTGTTGAACTCGGGTCTTAGCCACGTACAAAGTTGGCATTTGAATGAACACTGGACTTGACTGACTGGGGCGAGGTCTATGGCATGTAAATTACATTAGGATAGCTTGGCCACCGGAGTCACGATGTGTGTGTCTGTGTGTGGAGCATACTTAAGTGCCATTTAACGCCGTCGATGGTAAAGAGAAATTGCGTAGGGCATTGACATTACGCCGGAGCCAATAACTTTATTAATACATATCTTGAGTCTGGCGCTAACGAAACACGAGTACTACACCGACCGAATCGCCGAAAAAATAAGAAGCAAAAGTGGAGAAGAAACTTTCACCCCGCCGGGCAACAGGGTCAACTCGAGGTTCGGTTCTCACGTTCATTAGGTCTTGAGCTGGGGGGCAGCCTTATCAAAACACTCTCAGTTTCCAGGGGATTCTTGGTCAGGTGCTCAGGTGTATGGGCGGCGGCGGCAGCCCAGGTATTTGGGTATTTGGGTCGAAACAGAAACAGGCCTGGAACGACTTGGCCGGAAGCATTCGGCGACTTTCTTTTCGCTCGAAAGATGGAGGAAGGTAAAAATTATGAATCAGCCAGGTATAACTATGGGTATCGATGGTATTCAGTATTCGGCATTCGGCGTTGGCCCTGCCCAGTCGGGCTGAAAAGCAATTTCAAACTTGGTCAGCAGTGGTGGCGGCTCCTTATTTTTTGGCTCGGTTTGCTGCCCACTTTGGCATTGACAGTTAGCTGTCGACGGCAACGGAAATGCAATGCGGTGCTGTAACGGCATCGACTAGTACATATACATCGCTCTCCGAGCAACCATCGATCCATCAATCCATCAATCCGTCCCAGAACAACAGGTAGCGCATTTGTTCAAGCTTGGCTGATCGGACAAAAACAAAAACAAAAAACTACTACATCTTGATTGCTTTGCTACCTTCTCTGGTTCTCTGGTTCTCCAGTTCGATCGTTGACAAAGAGCGGAACCAGTCCAAGTCCCCGCTCACTTCCTCTCTACCAAAACCTATCTTAACTTGGCTAAGAAAATTATCATATAGTTATGGTTGTGATTCCACTCACCTTCGACACAGTTCGGCGCTTTTCTCCCACGAGTGCTTGATATTGAAATATTTATAACAATTTAAGCCGCGCAGTTCCCAGCCTGAAAAATGGAAAGAACATGTATTTTAGATGGGTATAAGAATATTTAAATAATTAAAAAGGAAAGGGGAAAATGATCATTTAGAGTAGAGAAAATATTTATACATTTCCATCCTAGTTTTGTGAGTGGTATTTGAGCCAGATTCGAGGCTTTCCTCGCGGTAAGCTACTTAGGAGACCCCCAGAGCTTGTCTGAAAATTAAACTGGATATATTTAATCGTTAAGTATCACCACCAACTGGGAGAGAGAGATATGTGACCCCAATCAGCATTTTAACCCGTTTTGCATAATTTACTGACCACTTTCCGAGTGTGTGTGTGTGTGAGAACAAGAACCATTGATTAAGTCGTTATGCCAACAGAGATTTGATACCGAAAGATGTGACCAACACTTGGGCTGTGGCGCTTTCATTTTCCGCCAAATGCCAAGAGTTTTCCTGGTAAAATGGGAAAGTTGCGCGCGAAACTTGGACACGGCCCCCGGTCTGCCTCACAGTCAGCTTGATTGACAGCTTTCATTTAAAATCAAATCGACTAAGATATATGCTGCAAGCAGCACACAGACATAAACGCAAACATAAAACAACAAAAAGCAAAAGTATTTAAACAATTTGTGGTTTTTATGTGTGTGCCCAAGCACGCGCCAGCATTTAAAAGTCACAAGTAGTTGGTTGTATTTGGTATTTACTGTGGGTCGGCAAGTCGCTACAGATTTTATATTCGTTTGGGAGTTGATCCGAAGGTGACTTTCACGATTTCCTTGTCCAATTCGATCGCATTGGGCTTTCCATTAGATGGAAAACTGCATCCTGTCGATAAGGCCTGTCTCTCTTGTCTCTAAGAGTCTTTCATTAATGAAACTCAGGCTGTCAATTTCTAGATAATAATTCCCCTTTAATTACCTATCACTACTCTACATAACCGGGGTTTTTCGAAACTATTTTGCATTTAAATTTTGTAATTAAAAGTTCAAGACTGACTAATGTGCGACATCAGTTGCGTTTTCCTTGAACTCTAAATTATATAAACTCTAGTTTATATAAAGGCTTGCAATTGTATGACTTTGGAAAACTTAATTGACTTTTCACATGTTCACCCTTCCCATGAACTAAGGCCAAGGTGAGAAGGCTCAGACCTGTTATGAAGTCATATTTATTTAAATGTATATAAATAATATAAGTTTCGCAACTAAGCTCTGCTTCATTTTTTTCTTCTCCTTAAATAATGTAATAATTTTCCCATAAAAAATCAATCAAATCATCAGCTGGCCACAAAGTCTTGTGGTCATTACCCATTTTAGCACCAATTCCACCCAATTTACAGTTGGTTAACGTTCTTTTTTGCGGCTTAGTTGTTAGCCTGGCCGAGTGGACCGCTATTGGCCGCACAATTTGTACGAATTTATTTATTTGTGTGCCACATTTACCGCACAATTTGGTATTAGCCATGCTTCAATGCCAAAATAAAGACCACGGCTAACTGTAAGCTGTTCCACTTCCATACGTGGGCGAGAGCCTCAAAGCATTTCTGGATTTCTTTCGGGGATTCTGCAGAGTTCTGAGTTGTCTGTCTACCACGCTTCACTTGGGATCTAAGTCAGCGCAGAAGCCTCGAGTAATGGCGTTTAATAGATTCGCTTTTCCCCTGCCTCCATCTCCATCTCTATCTCAGGTTGCGATAAATTCTCCACCTTGGGGCCATGTCACCGTGACAGCCAAGAACTCCGGCGTTCGATTCGCGGCGAGCAATTAAAGCCACGTAACTGCCAATTGGCTTTGGAAATTCTTTTGGTCTTCGACTCTTGGGTGCAGCCACCACATCAACTGGACAAGGTTAGCCGGTTTCAGTTGCTCTCCTCCTCCACCCTTGGCCGTTGCTATTTCTTTGGTTCCATTGCTCGTTGTGTGCCAGATATTTGAAATTCTTGCCAGGAAGTTTTATTTTTCTCCTGTGTCTTGTTTTTTCATTTTATTTGCGCCATTACCTATGCAAATGTTTGCTGCGTGACTTGGCCAAGTGCCTTCGCCTTCTGCCTCACTTCGAGCCGCGTTTGTGATCATTGTCTATATTTAATTTGCAGTCAAGCCCAGCCGAGATTGCAGCATAGGAAGAGATCTTGTGGAAACAATACCGAATTTGTAATGTGAGAATTTCTTACGTAAAAATCATCTAGTTATGAGCATGTGAGCATAGGGCTTATATATATATTATTTGGTTGTTATTCTCTTTGTCAAAGTTAATGGTACTTAATGAACTGCAGCAACAAAGTGGCATTTTGTGGGTTGAACCAGATTTTTAAATACCATACGTCAAGATGTGGAAATTATAATTTTTATGGTCATAATTATGTACATCTTAGAACTAGCTTCATTAAGTGGAACAAAGAGGCTGTAAAAATAGATTTCAAAACCTTTAAAATACCAGTTTCTGTACTTAACCCCACTTATAGCGCAATTTCGTAAAATAAGATGGAATCTGGATAGGTTAACCACACACGTATTACCCATATTTTGAAACAATATATGTCATGCCCGATTTCCGAGTTGCTATTTCAAAATTCTTGTAATTATTCTTCTTAAAGAAAAGTAAATTATAAAGGGAAAAGTGAAAACTCGGTGCGGGTTTGGCAATAAATCTTCTTCACTGTGCTCATTTCATTAACCCCATTTGCCAGCCGAGAAATTCATTATCTTGGCCATTAAATCTCTACGAAAGAGAAGAAGCTGCCAAGAAAATGAGATCTCAAATTCTGTGAGTGCTTCACAAGTTTTCCTTCAAAGGTTTTTCTGGGAAATCCTTAATTATTTACCTAATTACTTTGCCTTTGATTGAATTTGATCATTATAGTGGATAGGGCTCCCTTTGTCAGTTCCCACAGGGGTCAGTCAGGTGGATAAACGCAGACTTCCCGCCACCAAATGTGTAAAATTTTGTTTAATTTGACTTGAGCACACGCGCTTTTCATGGTTTATGATTTTCCAAGCGCCTCAATATCATAAATAAAACAACAACAAAACCTAAGCAAACTTCCTTACAAATTAGGTGTCGCTCATTCATAAATCTAATCCAAGTGTGTGCCTGCCGACCCAGAAACGTTTATCAACCACACATTGCATATACATTTTTCTGCCAGTGTACACGGCTGGATGGTTGCCGGTCGAAGAAGCCGCAAAGAACGCGCCGTTTAATTAGCTCGAAACTCTTGGCAGCTCCGCGGCGATTACTCAAGCGTGGCCAAAAGTGTGGAAGTTGTTCTTCTAAGTCTTCACGATCGACTTTGTGAAGAGTGAGTTGTGTTTGTGTTTGTCAGTTGGTCATTATCAATTTGAGGCTTTTACCGTTAGCCCCAACTCCCAAGTGGCCGCCAATGGCTAGCGGCGGTACAACTTCTGGTTAGGTTGGAAAATTGATTTCTTAGGGTATTGGAGTATTCAATAAAAGTATCAGATATCGAGAGAAAAATTAGAATTCCTTGTATAAAACATCGAAATTTTAAAATAGGAAATATCGTAGCTAAGTTATGCAATCGATATTGTCGATATTTACTATAAATGCTCTTTCTTTTTATCGATTAATCTCTTTAATGGCGAAAATCGGTCGAATGCATTAAGAATGATATCGATTTATCGAACATATATCGTAATATTTAAATGCTGATTTACGATTACAAAGTTTATTTTAAATGTGTAAAAATAATATCATTATGATGTTATATACTTCTTTAACTTATTTTGAATTCTCTTGCATTCCTATTACAACCTATAGACTTCGTATAAATACATCTGTACAAAATTCCTAAGCGTTAACGTATTTATTTAAAATTGCGGCCTTGGATACCTCTTTATAACACCATCACCATAAATCTGTGAAGACCGAACTGACAGTTAATAACCCGAGCATCATAATTCCATTAGTTGAGTCATAAAACATAAAAAAATGTCGTAAACAACAGTCTCTCCCATTCTTAGCCCATATATCTTTCGATATCGGTTTATTAGCATCGATCAATATGCAATAGCAAAATGGAAAAACTGCAATAACTGGCAAGAGTTTGGCCTATTTCTTTTCGAGCCCCAGAGTGTGTGAGTGTGTAACCGAAACCCAACCGACTGCACCCAAGACAAGTCCCAAGCCGACAGACACCTGCATATGAAAACAGAAAAAAAACCAAAGCGCGGTGAAAAAATATTTTTAAAAAAATAAAAGACTTAGGCAACGAACTCGTTTGAGAGCGCCCGTGTGTGTGTGTGTGTGTGCGAGAGAGCGAGCAGGCAGGCACAAGTGTTAATCAGCACAGCAAGCTGCACTGCAGCTAGTTAAAAGATGGACTCCTCTTTCCATCGAGAGACAGGAGCTTAGTCAGTCACTCAGTCGAGCAAGTGAATAAAAAATACAAAAAAGACAAGAAAAAGTATATAAAAAATAAACAGCAGCAGCAGCAGCAGCAGCAGCAACTGCTGCAGCGGAAAACCGTTAAGAAATCTCGTTCCAAGTCTAGAGTTGGAAATTCTTCATATGGCGCACTCTCTATATATGCTGTCATGGCTTAGTATTCTACGAACAAGAGAAAATGGTAATGGACGCGGCAAGAAACGAGTTTGGCCATATGTTATAACTGTTATGGTTTACCTATATCTTATATATGTATATACATATATGTGGTGTACTTTAGGTGTTGTAGGTGGCAGCCAATGGTCAAGTGAAAGGCCCTCCAGGAGCAAAGACTCCAACGTACTGATTGATTGGCCTGGCCACCACTTCCGTCATATTCGCATTCTCTGCACACTTATCAGCTTGCCAATAGGTGTTTCTAGTCAGCTTTTTTACCTTTTCGATTTTTTTTAGGTTCTGCTGAGCGTTAACTCGTTTAGCAGGTTGCTTATTGGATTTTGTCATTAGCTAAAGAATTTTTATAGCACAAACATATGCGATATGTTTATGACACAAATATGGATAAGCCTACACTGAGCATTAAATAGTGGTGTATGAGGAAATTAATATAAACTGGAAATAATTCACTATTACATTCTTTAGCTATGATGGATTAGATCTAATTTCATAAATCCTAGAGAATCTAATCGTGTTAATGACCCTCCATTTCTTATAGTAAACTTTTCTTGGCTTATCATTGAGGAAACTAATTTCCTAAAAAGGGAAACTCACCGCGTCATCGTTCGAGCCACCGAAAAGCAGCGTGAAATTAACATTAATTGCTTGAAATCGAAAAATGTTGAAACCAATTCATCAATTTTAAGATTAAAGACTTCAAATCATTGAGTGAATAATTTGGGTCAGAGCCACAAAGTTCCCACCGACATTTCTTCTGGCACATTAACAAGCGGAAGTGGTCCATCATACCACATTTAATTATGCAATTAGAAGCTCTTAGAGACAGCTCAGAGAGACAAAGAATTCCTAAACACATAATTGGCAACTTAAGTCACGCCTCTTAAAAACACCCAAACAAATCCATTTCCGATTGAAACGGCTGCAATTATACTCGCTTTTGATTTATGCACAGAAAATGTTTTGGCATTGGTAGGCAGCCACACCTGCGTCCGCCTGGCCGTGCACGTGTTACCAACGCAATTGCCAATTCTTACTTCATTTTTTTGGGCTGGAAAAATGTGAACTGAACTTACCATTTGGACACGAAAACGCCTCGTCCGCTCCGATCGTGTGTAGCAAATTGAAAAGCAGCAGCGACGACAGCAAAGCGGCCAGCCAATGCGAATTGGCTGCCGTCGGTTGGTCCATTTTGGCCCGATTTAATGCCCAATTAAGCGCTGGGTTTCTTACCAATCTGCAATTGAACAAGAAAATGCAAAAAGAAATGTCAGTTTGGTCGTTTTGGAATACAATAATCCAGAGGAAATTAGTTTACTGCCTCACCCTGACTGACGAAATATAAAATAATCATAAATAATCATTGGAACCGGTTGCCTCATTCACACCTTTGCACACACGCATCCGATAAACTTAGACGATTAGCAAAATTTATGCCACACTGACTCAGTCTCCGGCTGATCCGAGCACGTGTTTCTGCGGCTGCTGCGGTTTTAGAAAGTCCCTCGAGAAGCCCAAAAGCCGCAGCTTGCACAAGAGAATTTACATATACTAAGCTTTGTCGTGGCTGGTGAGCAATAAATAAAGCTAATGTTAGCCTTAATGTGTTATTTCCAGTTGAGAATGGAATTTTGGTAAGATGGAGAAATTTAGTATTGAAAGAGGGGGAAATACCAAACTTAGATTTAAATTAATGTCTTGCCACAACAAGATGGTTTTGTATACTTAATTAATCTTCATTGAGTGAGTGTTTTTGCATAAGGATAGAAACACATAATGGATTATTTCTACTAAATAAAGGAATTTTAATAAGATTCTATACAATATTTAATTAATCTTCACCCTGGCTTAGTCACGTTTTATTTGTATCTCCTAATAAATTTGCATCAATAAGTAAAGTAATCCAAACTGTATGTGTTAAGGTCACTGTACTCGAAAAAATAAATGTTTAACAAATGTCAAGTGTTGGGTATTATTACTATTTAGACTAACACGAAAGTTTAAGGCTAATCCGCTGGCCTGTTGTCATGCCTCACGACTGTGATTGCCGAGCTTGTTTGCCAGCCATTGTGTCTGTGGGTGCGTGTGTGGCTTTTCATTCATATCCAAAGCTAAATTCAGTCCGTGTCGGGAGTCTTGGGTGTCTGGGGGTCTTATTAAAGCTGCCCGGAGGGGTGTCGGTGTCTGAGTGGCTTGCCCCTCGTCGCCTTGCATCGCTTTTGTAAGCGGAGATCGAGGCGCAAGGTTGCCGTTATTGTCAAGTAATTATAGACTAGCTAACACAAGATGTACAGTTGCTAGTTGTTACAGTTTTGATTAATATTTGCGTGCTAACTGAACTTGCTTTTGGGGCTGGGAAGGCCAAGATCTCTTTTTGGGGGGTGAAGAGCTTGACCTGGAATTGCTTAATAAATAAGCGAAATTGTGACAAATTTTATTTAGCAGTTAAAAGGTTTAAGATATATGTTTCCTTGATTATTCAGTGGCAAGTTTGTTCGATTTCATATTTGACTTTTACGTTTGTTGTCCAAGTCTTTTGTTTGCTTTTACACGTTTTGTTAGTTAAACCCGATTGACATAAAGTGCTGTGTTTCTTAACTGCATTTGTAATACAAAACCCCAACGCAATACATAGGCCAGACCAGTCGCAGACCAAGTCCATTAACAACTTCCGCAAATTGTCTCGGAGAGAAATCTCAATCTCGGCTTAAAATTTAGTCAAACGCGAAGGCAAACGCCCTGCCACATGTTTCATTTGCAATGAGATACAACACAGATACTCCAACAAAATATTAGATAACTCTGTTGCATGCGAATAAAAGGCTTAAGCCCCGAAAAGAGAGAAAAAAACACACACACACAAATGAATAAAAGCCATTGAAAAGCGGCTTAAACCCCAGACAGGTCTTGGCGGCTTTTATTGAAGGAAAAGGCACAGCTAAAATAATTTGCAAGTAAGCTGAGACTGCACGCACCACTCGGCGCTAATTAAGAAAAATAGCGATGGCAACTCTTGTTTATTTTTATTTCTCTCGCGACTCAGGGATCATAATTAGAGAATAATATAAGCAAAAAAAAGGGCAATGAATTATGCAATGCGTTTGTTGTTTTCTTTTCGCCGGAGTTTTCCCAGTTTAAAGTTGAATCTGTGGCCACAGCAGCTGCAGCAAAAGCCAAGCCGCATTTTTTGTGCAATTAGTCGGCTATGCGGTTTGGCCCAGAAAGCGACTTGCAGCAAACTTGTTCGATAGCTAACTGTTTTTTCCACTGTGTTTGTTTGTTGTATGTTTGCTATTTATCTACCTGTCCACAGCAGCAGCAGCAGCACACATATTTGTGTGTGTTTTTGTGTGGGCGCAGCAGCCATTGTTTAGCCAAGACGCCAAAGTCAACTCCAGTGGCAGTCAGCGGAAAGGCGCCAAAAATTATAGAGTTTTAGCCAACATTTATTTACCTTGCTGTTTAATGAAGCGCACACCGCGGGAAAGAGGCCTGCAAGCGGCGTGGGCGTGGCTGGGAGCCAGAGTGGGAGGCTTTGACCTAACCAAAGACCAAAGACAGCATTGTCATTAGCTTTTGGCTGTGAAATCTGTTAATTTGTGAATCCATTGAAGGTTAAACAGCATCAGTATTCACATTAGCTCCATGGCGAAGATTCATTAAAATTAAATATTTAAGTGTATGCCAGAGCTAATAATTAGTAGTACAAGATTAGCTGTATAATATTACTTCTAAAATTGGTTAAGTTGATGATGAAGTCATTCAAACTCACTAACGCATAACTATAAGAAGCACAAAATTTCTTATCATAAATACAACTTATTTCTTGACTTATATTTGTTGGGACATCTTACTACTTTGTGAAGTCAACGTACTGGACAAATATTTGGCTTAAAGCTTATATAATCACAGGTAATAGTGGCAGCACGAGCGTTACCTCGGGTCTAAAAAAAAACTAAGCAAACACTATTTTATGTTCCTCCTCAAAACTGCAAACTGCAACCGCTTGCATTGGCTTTATGCTAATGTCAGCTTGGCTAATAAATAATAAAAACGATAATTTATACATCCATTTAGCATGTAAATAAGCGAAAGACCCGAAGAGAGTGAAAGGTCCACAGATCCGCGGATCCGCGGGTTTATTTGATTTAGAGTCCACGGTTTATTGGCCATTGATTTGGCTTTGATTATATTTTTGTCTATCTTTATTATGCAGACACCCAACTCATGGGTTAGCAATCGTTTCGAAATATTCACAAAAAACAAAAACAATTTGCATAAAAATGGGCGGCATGGGAAGTCATTTGCTGTGTGTTTTCGTAATTCCCATGACTGACACCGTTTAAAGGTTGATTAAAGCCAAGATAGCATATGGAAATTCATTGGGTAAGCTTATTAGTAAGTTTTGGTGTTACATCTTAACCTAAAATTAAAGTCTTTTATTTTCTAACAAACCCCACAAATAACTTAAGGAGACAGAAGAGCTGATAAGTCAGATTCAATGCAATATCCTCAATTTATTCTTCAACTTTGCCAAGTTTATTAACTTTAATAATATTTTGTTAATAATAATAATCATCTTATACTTGAAATAACAAAAGACTGAGGCAACGAACTTGTCGAAGAAGAGAACACCTCATCCATAGCACAGAACAAAAGAGTTGGGCAACATGAAAAACCTTTTCCATCCGCATCGAAGCTGTGTATGTGTGTTCCGCAATCGCCATTGAATGTGGAGAGGAAAACTGCATCACAGTGCATGAAGTGCGGAAAGCTGCGTCACTTGCAATCAAAATTCAAATATTTTCTAGGCACACATGTACCCAAGCAAAGCAAAGCGAATATCATCGAGAAAACGGAACGATCTGTGACCAAACCGGTTGGTTGTTGGCTCAGCCAGGTCTGCAGCCATTATTGATGACACCTTCGACATTTAGCCGGGCCAACAGAGACGGAAAAAAACAACATCAAAACGAAAACCTTAAGATGATGACTAAGTTGAGCTTGAGCAAATGGTAAAAGTCAAACAGGGTACATAATTTTGGTGAACTTTTTGTGCTGCCGGTTTTCGATTTTGGTGATTGGAAATGCAGCTGGTGCGCCGCGGCATGCCGGTTTGTTTGCCTTTTAGAGTCGCCTTTTAAGTTTTCCATTTTTATTTCGCACTGGCCATCTATCTTCACACGAGCTCATGATTTTCCACCATTCCGCCAAGGCGGCACTTTCACTTGCACACTTGTCTGGAGAGCATTTTCAGTGTTTTCTTTCGTTGCCAATTTTCCTTTTGTTTTTTGCTTTTTTTGCTATATTGGCCGAACAAATCGATGCGGGGAGGGGCATCTCGAACACGTTTTCAGTTTTTTGTGCCTGCCCAACTAATGACCAAATATTATTTTACTTTGATTTCTTTTGGCCTGAAGGTCAATTGCATTTTGCTTTTCCCCTTTTTTTAACAAATTGAGTTAGTTTTTCGGTGTCAGTGGGCTGAGGGAAATGGAGTTGCAGTTGTGGAGGAAAAACTTGGACAGTAAACGAGGATCGAATGCTTGCAGAAATGAGAAAGAAAAAGCTTTAATGAAATGGAGAACCGCCAATGTATTTATCTAATTTGATGGTCTTCAATTGAGATCAGTTAGAGAAACATTTAACTTGCGGATAGCAATCAAGTCAAGCAGATCAATCTGGGATAGACAGTCTAATGAATAATAAACACAGCTGGGGTTTCTATTAATTTAAACGAGACTTTTACTAGAGACATCAAAGGAAATTGATCAATTTAATGCTGAGATAGATTAACTTTAACTCGTAAAATTGCACATATTAACTTGGAGGAGTTTGTTGAAGATATTCTATTAAATAAAGCTGAATTGAACAATATTTTTCTTTTTAAAATCCCAAAAATTTTTACTTTTATTCTTAACTCTCCTATCAGAATCCCTTAAGAAGCGGCTTCTTTGTTCCACCAATCAGACTCACTCTCATTGGGCCTAAAGCTTTCCATAATCCAATCAACCCAACCGTTATGAGTCTCACTTCACCCGAGGAAAGGAGAGCACCAGAAACCAGATTTTTATGTAAATTTATGTTCTTTCTGGCTTCGTGATTTCTTTTCTCCCCTCTCCACCGCCACCTTGCATTGATCTTTCGGCTCAACATAAAAATTTGTGTTTAATTTCGATGGTCAGGTAGCCGAAGCCGCAGGGAGCTGTGGAGCTCGAGGAGATCGGGCTCAGAGGGAAAACCAGCTGGGGCAGCTGCTGGCCGATCGGTGGAGAGACCCAATGAACTAGTTTCGGGCTTTGTGGCATGTAAGTGTGTTTTTTTATATTTTCGTTTTTCGAACGCTTTGGTATTTGGGTTACTTGAATTGTTTGTGGCCAAAGTTGCGGCTAAGGCAATGAGGCCTTAATGTGGGTCCTATTGGTCGGGAAAATAAAAGGGTTTAATGAGCTTTGAAGGCTATACTTATGTGATATATCCATCAATGCATAGAAAGAAATCTAATTTACAAAATATCGTATAATTTTCAATGTTTAAATATAAGGTAATTGGATCAGATTTACTACCGAAACCATAAAATACAGGAATGTATTTAAACCATAAGTTAATCATATAATATGTTGTTAAAATACCATCAATCTATCAATAACTTGGATTTTTACCTAATAAATAGTTAGCAAACTGACTTCTTATCAACTAACTGAGAAAGATATTACCAAACTTGTTTGATTTTCCCGTCGTAAATGCCTTTTTCTGAAACCATT